AAAAGAAAACAATAAAACGAGAACAAAACCTAGGAGCACTAGCAAAGGTGGTCATAATTAAAATATTAGATGAAGTCAAATTATATCTAAAAAGTTACTACTGCTACTAATTATTTTGAGTGAAATTCTAAGACTTATTGTCAATCTTAGAAAAAAAATTACGGTGGTAGCCTTCATAGTATGCCATGAAAATTTTTGAAGTTGTTCGTATATGGTTTTTCATTTGTGTGCAATTATGTAAATAGATCTACTTAGAATTTCAAAGCTGGCTTAAAGTATTCTCCATGTGTCTTATGTTACAAAAAAGTCAAAATGCTTTTCTTCTCTTTTGGTAACCTCAGCCTCTGTTTTCTGTGTCAGGCTGAGTGTGTCTCCAATCTTAGTGTTTCTCTTCTGTGGAAACCGGATTTCAGAAGCAGCTGTAATAGTTTGCTGTTTTGCTTTACAGGAACTGTGTATGATGATATCACTGAAAATGGCTGCGTACCTGTTAGCGAGTGCTACTGCAGACTGCATGGAAAGGGGTATTCACCTGGAGAAACCATTAGCAATGAGTGTGAAGAATGGTAAGGATCATCACCGTCGTTCACCTTTCTTCAGCTGTATGTGTGTCTGTCCTTTTCAATCTTCCACTTAGTTGTAGATGACTTCCTGAAAACATTCTGAACTTATGTTTATTATATATGTCTATACAGGTTTTCTGAAAGATTTTCTTGTATTTATGCCATGTGATGAGAGAAATCTTTAGGGAGTAGTCAGATTTTTAATTTTTAAAATTTAAAACACCTGGGTATAGTTTGCTATTTGCTGGCTGTACAGATGCTTTTAGTGCTCTCAGTTCCTATAACATATACATGTATTTCTGGATTATTTATTGTTTTATAGCACCTGTGATTCAGGCAGATGGACGTGCCAAGATTTACCCTGTCCAGGCACATGTTCAGTGGAAGGAGGTTCCCATATTACGACCTTTGATGGGAAGAAATACACCTTCCATGGAGACTGTTACTATGTGTTGGCCAAGGTACTGTGTACTGTAGAGCTTTTCTGTCACACATTAAATGCGTCTGTGCACTCATATGTAATAGGTGTGAATCGTTGCTTTATTCCACTTTCATGGAATGAGGGAAGCAGAAATGTTAACAGCCTCAGTGGAAAATTCAGGATGGGCTGTTACTGCCCCATGGGAGGACATGGGCACTTACTGCAATGGATGTCTTACTTAGTCACTTAGCAGTCTTTCATATATATCAAGAAGCACGCTGACTGCATGGAAGGGTAGGCAGCAAAAACTCTGCAGTTCTCAGGATTAGAATGTCTCAGTCAGATCCGTTATAGCTGTATCTGTGTCTGTGTGTCAAAGTAAGTTAGGGAGAAGAGTTTGACAGCTATTTCATTCATTTGTCCCTAAAATATCTGGTGCGTATTTTCCAAAGATTTTGTTGAGCTAGAAACTGTACCATTCCTTTTCTTCTTTTTTTTTTTTTTTTTTTTGAAAGAGAGAGAGAGAGAGAGTTCATCTTGTGCTAAAACTGAGGTTTTAATAGCTAAGTTCTACAGCAATTGCTGTTGTAACCAGTGGCTTGAGTCTTAATTTTGGAAATCGTGTTGTGTGAGAGATTTTTTATTGGACTAAATGGACATTTATTTCCCTGTGATTGTAGAGTGCTGTGAATAATACTGATGCCCTCCTGGCAGAGCTGGCTCCTTGTGGCTCCACAGATGGACAGACCTGTTTGAAGACTGTTGTGCTGCTAGTAGATGACAAAAAAAATGTAAGTGTTGTTTGAGTTCTGCTGGGTGTTTTGAAAATTAGCAAACATCCCAGAGTTTTCCAAAATCATCTGAAGAGGGTGGATAACAGAGCTCAGAAAGGCTGATAAAAACTAAAGCTTCTACCTCAGGAATTCAGAATAGGCCTCAGCTGAGCAAATGCTGAAATACAAATAAGCTAACGTTTTCCCCTTTCTCTGCTCTCTGCCGTGTCTCACCATCTTCCAGGCTGGTGAGAAAAAAAAAGTGCCGTCCTTCCTCCCCTTGTGGTATTTTACTTTTCTTCAAATTGATTTCCTAGATCTGAGTCTTTTTCAGAAGACGTCCAATCTTCTTCTATTTGTACTTAATTCATTAATAATGTAAATGATAGTGATGGGAAATCTTTAGTGCTGTTTTGCATTTTTGATTCATATTTATGTAAAGTCGTCTTATTTACTTAAGTATTATGTTTGGTTATGGGAATACCTGTATTATGTTTACACATAATTTTACATATGTAAACATGATTTTTCTCCCATGTTTTGGCTCTCCTATGCCCTTACCAGCAAAATTAAAAAATCACACCAAATCAGAAAACCATTTTTTTGTCACTGTATGTACAGACTAGCATTTTATGAGGGAGCTTAACAAACTACTTTCTTACTGCAACAGAATCATACTAAACCATTACATGTACCATTGCCTTTGCTTTTGTAGGAAACCAGAACTATTTATATATCCTGAAGTCCCAATATTTTCTTCTATTTGTATAACCACAGTGTTTAAAAAATGACAACTCAGTTTATTGCTTGCTATATTTTGTTATAGACAGATGTAATCAAACTCTAAATAGGAAGACTAAGCCTTACTTCTGTCATACATGCCCACTGCCACATTCAGTTTTAAGACAGATTCTTCCTCTCATAGATTTTAAGTTTTAGCCACAGTCTAAACGTGCAAAATATTTTCTCTTCACTCTCTGCTCTTAAAAAGTTACTTTTCTATCAATTTTTGTTCTTCTCAATATCTGGAACCTCATCAGTCCCGTTTCCCTTCATACAGGTGGTGGTTTTCAGATCGGATGGCAGTGTGTCACTGAATGAGATGACAGTGAATGTGCCTCATGTGTCAGGTAAGGACCACAGCCTTGCATGTTGTCATGAAGCTGATACTCCAGACGAGGTTGTACTTTTTCAGAGCCAAAAGTTGGAGACAGGCATATGGAATTTGTTCAGATGTTGAAAGAAGAATTAAGTGTATTTGGAGTGATTTTGAGGTAAATGTGGCTTGATAGCTTCCACTGACAATTCACAGAATCACAGAATCACCCGGGTTGGAAGGGCCCTCAAGGATCATGTAGTTCCAACCCCCCTGCCTAGCAGGGCCACCAAACGTACACATTCAGATCAGGTTGCCCAGGACCCCGTCCAACCTGGCCTTGAACACGTCCAAGGACGGGGCATCCACAACCTCCCTGGGCGGTGATCACTGGAAAAAAATCCCTTCACTTGTTTTGATTCAGCTTGAATATATTTTGGCATGTAACTCAGGAAAGAGAACTTTTCATGGCTGAAACTTAAATTGAGTAAGTCAGTTTCCCTAAGAAGAGGGGTATTTAGAATTTTCTGAGTATGTGATGTGGGCATATTCTGGCTCTCAGTGTTATTACAACTCAAGCTCCCACTTCCTCTCCGCACCTTTTTTGTCCATGGGCAGAGAGCCTGGCAGAAGATAAGTGCTACGTTGACCAAAGCAGGGAAGATAGATGTACTATGTGGAACCCTGTTATCTTCCCTTTTAGCTTGGGATACCTGCATCTTTTTATATAATCAGTAGACTCATGCACTTTCAGAATATGACTCATATGGCCTAATTCACAAGCCTAAGTTCTGGTGGGATGTAATTATCAAACAGCAACTGTGAGGTCCTGCAGCAATTTCTGAAAGTAATGTAGAGCTTTTACATTCTATCACTCCTTTTTAGATATGCTCATGCTGCACATTGACACAGTATTCATGGAAGGGCAGTTGTGAGTGCTTGTCTAAAAGCAATTACAACATCTTAGCTACAAGTTCAGAGAAATTAAACTGTTCTAGGCAATAAAACAGACCATCTAATAAATAGGGCATATAATAATAGATTTGCTATAGGAAATTATCGATAGCTAGGAAACCCAATTCCTCTACTGATTTTAAATGTCAGTTCTAGAGATTGTTCTATTATGGCTGGTTTATGCTATGCTATTCATATAGAATATAAAAAAATCCACAGCATCCTGTTGTTTCTTATTACCGTATAACCAACTGAGGCATATTTGCATTTGATATAACATCTGCTTGTTCCCTTTCTCAGAGATATTTAGGCTGAGTCATAGTCTATCATTGCAAATTGTTCTGAGGCAGTGATATTAATTCATAGATTATCATCCTTTTTCCGTATGAAAGCAATATAAAAAAGGCAGTGTGTGATCTAAATCAAATGATTTTTTTCTAATCTCTAGGATATGAAATTAATAACAATTGTTTCTTTCAGCAATCTATGTGTGTTCACAACACAGTTCTTATTTTGTTTTTCAGCTAGCTTCTCAGTTTTCAAGCCATCTTCTTACTACCTCATTGTACATACTTCTTTTGGGCTTCAACTGCAGATTCAGTTGTCTCCAGTCATGCAACTCTTTGTGACAGCAAATCAGACAGTCCAGGATCTTCAAGGCAAGTGTCCACTGAAATAGGAAGCAAAGCATGCATTTCCGCAGCTGTTGAGTCATACATTCTTCACATGGGTGGTAATTCATAGACTTACATAATGGTTTGAGTTTGAAAGGACCTTGAAGTTCATCTAGTTTCACCCTCTTGCAATGGCAGGAACATCTTCCCCTAGGTCACACTGTCCCATTGAGCCCCAGCTAGCCTGGCCTTGACAATTTCCAGGGATGGGAAACTCAGAACTTTTCTGAGCGACCTACTTTGGTGCCTCGCCACTCTTACGGTGAAGAATTGCTTGCTAATATCAGACTATGGGGATGATCTCCTGACGCAAAGATACCGTCATGAGGGCTGTTCATCTTCAAGATTTTAGGTTTCAAATAGATCTCCTAAACCTTCAGTACTTACAGTAAGCATCAGTGTTGAGGATGAAGAATCAGGTATATTAGCTTCTATCTCCAGCGTTTATAATCAGCTGTCTCTTTCCCTTGCAGAATGAGAATGAGTAATAGGGAAAATGTTTACTTTTTCAATAGGTCTTTGTGGAAATTTTAATGGAATGGAAGGTGATGACTTTAAAACAACCAGTGGGTTGGTAGAAGCTACAGGATCTGCCTTTGCTAACACATGGAAAGCTCAGTCCACCTGTGCAGACCAAGAAGAAAAGCTGGAAGACCCCTGCAGTCTCAGCATTGAAAGTGGTGAGCATAATAAGACAAATGATCTGCTGTCTATTACTGCAACTGGAGTAGAAGAGTTGCACTGTGGCATTGACGTACTTTAGAGGACTGTCAAATTAATAATTCAATTATTTAAGTATGTATGCAGACCAGCACTGATTTCACATCAAATTGGAGTGAAAGTTTAAGTTGTGATTCAAAAGGAATCCAGAGCTAGAAGACAGGGAAGCAAGGTCATTCTAATTTTTTCTTTTTACCTAGAAAGGAAGGTTGTACATTGTAGTATTATTTCTTCTTCTGTCTAACTTGGCAGTGATGGTCCGCAAATGATAAGAGCTGTTACAAATCTATTTGCAGCAGTAAGATACAATTTTTGATTTTATGATTGTGTCTAATGCTAGATATCTGAAGTATGTGCACAGTGACTGCATGTAGTTCCTCCACTCTGCAGACTTCACAGTCCTCTCGTCTGTATTGTTACATTGCAATTATTTGATGTAACAATATATTGATGTAGCAATATAACTAGACGTAGCACAAGGGAGATGAGTGAATGTAATTAATATAATTATGTAATACCTGTTTTTTTCCAGCAAATTATGCTGAGCATTGGTGTTCTTTGCTGAAAAACTCAGAGGGCCCATTTGCAAGTTGTCACTCAGTCATTGATCCTGCAGAATACTACAAGGTATTGTAATATTGTGCTCTTCTTAGTACTCCTTTGTTTCAGATGGGTGATGGAGACATTTATCATTGCTCAAATATTTGAGGCATTACTGAATAATGTAACCATAAAACCTGGCAAAGTTTTTGCAGCTGTCAGTCAAGCAGCATAGTGTACATAGAAAAAAGATTCAACAGATACAGATATACACAGAAGTGTAAGTGATGCTTACACTCACAGATTCCTATCTTTGCAATGTTTAGTACCCAATCTGAGCTCAAGGTTTTTGAAAATCTTCATAGATCTGGTTGACAGTTTGCCATTATAATTTTTAATTTTTATGGATCTCTGCCTTTCTAAGTTCTAACTGAGAAAGGGTGATATCAAAATCCTTTATGGAAAGTGTTGTTAGGAGGCAGGCTACTTCATAAAGCTTCATGAGGCGTGGCTTTTTAGTCTGAATGAAATGAAGCAACACTTTCAGTCTCTGGGCGTTATCCATTCCTTCCATAGTTCTCTGATCACAGGAATTAATAAAAACAACAATGGAGAAAGAGCACACGATATTTTATAGCAACCAAGTTGGAACAGCCAGTTATTTTTCTGTGATCTTTTTGACCCTTTCATTCTCTTTTCAGAGATGTAAATACGATACCTGCCTCTGCAAGGACAGTGAGGAGTGCTTGTGTGCTGCCCTGTCCTCTTATTCAAGAGCTTGTGCTTTCAAAGGGATCATACTGGGTGGCTGGAGACAAAGTGTCTGCTGTAAGTAATAAAACTGTGATCCCTATGAAATTAATTAGCCACCAGAAATGAACAGGATTTCAGCTTTTATTTGTTTGTGACACATATTTTTTAGAAAACTTAGAAAGCAGTATTTTTCACTTTCACCTTCTTTCCCTACTTTAAATAATGCTATTTTGATCTTTGATTAAGTGACTTCATCTACAGGAATGGATTGTAGCTTTTACATTGTGTTTGCATATCATTGTCTTTGCTTTTCAGCAATATTGGTGGGAATAGGAGCTTGTCTTAGTGTGCTCTGTTTCTGGTTGTCAATATGTGAAATAAATGAGTATGAAATTAGTAACTGTTGGTGGTGGCTAAAAACAAATCTTCACCTGGTAAACTAAATCAGAGTAGTACTACTTATTAGTTATGGTAACTTGTACTTCAGTAAAATCAAAAGGAATGCTTTTATCATTACATGCTGCACAGACAAAGTAGCCAAAATAGAAACATCAAGGTTTCCTTGCACTTCTTTTATATGAGTTTGCTTTTTTCCCCTCCAGCTGCTGAAGTGTCCTCTTGCCCAGGAAATCAAGTCTTCCTCTACAATCTTACAATGTGCCAGCAAACCTGTCGTTCCATTGCTGATGGTGAAAAGTACTGCTTGCAAGACTTTGCTCCTGTAGATGGCTGTGGCTGCCCAGATAATACATACTTGGATAATGAGGATACATGTGTGCCCATCTCCAAATGCCCCTGCTATTACAAGGGGTCGTATCTGGAACCTGGGGATTACGTTATAAAGGATGGAGAGCGTTGGTATGTTTTATGCATCTTCCTGTTTGTTGGGATAAAAGCCCTTTTTAAATTGTTTTTTAAGTGTAAGCCATTTGGCTATTAATTATGCTCTAACAAACACTTGTAACATGATTCACACTATCTTCATGTTGAGCAGAATATCTTCTGTTGCAATGTAGTTTATTAATAATTGACAAGTACAGCTTTGTTTTGAGTTGTTATTCCTGGCTTTCACAAGTAAATGTGAACCTGAAGTGGTACTGTCAATAGGTCTTTTTTGAGCAAAAGGAAAAAGGAAGATGAAAGGCTAGCTTTTGTGTTTTATTATTTGCCTTTCTGTCAGAGACCAATTACTTGTCTTCCGCTGGAGGAAGGTCCCCTTAATCGGTGTTTAGTGTATCATTTGAGAGCAGCTTTCACGAGCCTAGAATTTTCAATCTTGATGAACCCTCTGACAACTGTTTACTGAATGAATCATAAGTGCAAAATGTGAAATACTTCCTTCTCTCCTAAAGAGGGTAAGAAAAGATACAAGCCAACAGATATGCAGTGTATGAGTAGAACAGGCATGAAAATTTATTGCATTATCCAAATTAAAGCTTTGGTTTAAATTATTGTCTGTTTACTGAGTCATTGCGAAGCATTGATTAATAAATAGCATTCATTCCTTAAAACACCACCTTTATGAATTATGACTAAAATCTCTCCACACCTTTTCTACAAGTGAGAATTCATTGAGTGCATTTCAGTAGAGTTCATGTTGAAATATCATCGGTTATGCAGGATGTCTAATCCTAAGACTGAAATTGAAGACACTGAGCTTACATGGTTCTGAATTTCTGTCTTGCTTCACTTCTTTCCTAGCGTTTGCCGAAATGCAAAGGTCCAATGTACTTCAGTGACAATGACAATGAAAAGTAAGTGACATTCTGTAAAATACAAAGAAAAAAAGAAACAAAAACAACCCAAGCTCCTCAAACCCCAGATTGTACTTTCCTCTTCAGTTCTCTATTTATTTGTTTTGCTTGTTCATTTTTTTCTCTTACTGTGAAACAGTTGTGCATTTTCACTTTGTTCTGTCTTCACAAGGATAGACATTTCTTCTTTTTTTCATAAGGATAGATATTACTTAGGATTTGTGTCTCAGTGACTACCACCCTTCACATTTGTTTTGGCTTCTCTTGATTCACCTAAATCAACCTAATATACCTTTCAGGTGTAACAGAATGTTCTTCAAACAAAACCTACTTTGATTGCAACACATCCCCAGACTGGACTTCACAAACACCTGTACAACTTCGCTGTGGTGCTTCTCAAACTGATCTTGTATGTATTCAGTTATTCTCCATGCTACATTTTCTTTAGTCAACACAGCATTTCAGAAAAAGCAATTGCGACTAGCAATTCTCATTTTCCTTTCTTTGCATCTTTTTTTTTTCCCCAATGATTTCAATCTGTTATCAGTATCACTGCAATTCCACTCCTCTTTGCCTTCCCACATAAGCATAATAAAATCAAAAAGGAGTTCAGTAGAGATGTACCACCAACTAAAATATGATTCAAATTTACAAACAAAACATAAACAAAAAATAAAACAAAATACCTTAAGAGCCTAGAAAGAAAAAACTTATAAAACAATTTGTCATGGGACTATTTGGTTATAAATGTTTTTTGTACCAAAAAGAAGTGAAGAATTGAAAGAAAAATTCAGTGCTTATTCCTAAAGTGCCAATTTTTCTTTATATTACTTAGTATCAAAGTGAATGTGTCTCAGGCTGCGTGTGTCCTGAAGGTCTGTTTGATGATGGTAGAGGGGGCTGTGTTGTGGAAGAGGACTGCCCATGTATTCATAACAGCGACTGGTATAACCACGGGCAGAGCATATCAGTGGACTGCAACACCTGGTATGTTGGTTTTCTATATTCTTTTCTAGAACATATTCCACACAGTAAATTAATAGTTATGCAGTGGTTATGGTGGCTGCAGGTATGAAGTCTTTATTTTCAGGCATTTTTTTTTCTGTTTGAGGAAATACAGATTGTACGGAAAATATCAGGGTAACTAGCAACTTCTGCTTTCAGTAGGCATCTTTTATTAGGAAAGTGTATTCAGTTTTTAGACATAATCAATAACCAACCTAAAATATGTCAGAGCCAGAGCTAAAGGTCGTGTTATAAACTTAAAATAGCCTAAACTATTGCATTTGATATGTAAGACACTAAGTAAAACCAAAATGGATGTTGTGCACATTATCATGAATCAGGTATCAGGTATGTTCTGCAGTTTTCTAAGCAACATGCTGTTGGTGAGATCTGAAAGGTTAACTCTCACTCTCTTCTAGTACCTGCCAGAAAGGCATCTGGAGCTGCACTGAAAACGTGTGCTATGGGACTTGCATGATATATGGAAGTGGCCATTATATCACCTTTGATGGAAAATTCTATGACTTTGATGGAAGTTGTGAATATGTGGCTACTCAGGTAATGCTCATCAGAACGGAACTGGAATCTTAGAGTGCTTTCCAGTTGCCTTCAAGATCTGTTTTCCTTTCTGATTTTGTTATTTCTTACTGACTGTTATCACTGTTCCTGAGATGATCACAGGTTATGCCAAGATAAATTCTGTATGCTTAGCATAGTCAAGTTGTGACTGTTTTCTAATTTTACAGTATTCATAAATTGCATGTAAAAGGATTAGTTAATAGTGAGAGTTAACAGTTTATCATCATAATCTGAAATAAGCAAAAAGTCTGAGTTTACAAAACAAAAATCTGAAGATATGTTCCTCGTTTGATTTGTTGTACTGCTTGTTTCCCAGGTTTTGTTATATGTGAGACTTTGCATACTAAATACATGCTGAGATGTATGTGCATCTGTTTGTGCATCTGTAAAAACATATGTACTGAGGTAGTAAAAATTTATACAATGTGGATATGCCTGTGTTTGTAACTATTATTATTAAATTGAAATAGAGTTGAAATATTCTACTCAATTTTTTGTGCTCATTTGTTCATTTATCCACAGGATTATTGTGGTGACAAAAATTCTGGTGGCTCATTCAGTATCATCACAGAGAACGTCCCTTGTGGAACAACAGGAGTCACCTGCTCAAAGGCCATTAAAATGTTTATAGGGGTGAGTAATGAGTATTCAGTGAGTGTATATTCAAGTAATTGAAGAAAATAGTGCTCCAAGTATATACAAAGATACAAAGCCAGCTATAATAAGGTGAAAGACCCTGTCAAAGTAATGTGTAAAGCTGTAGATTCTCAGTTACTGAAGTCTGTTCAAGTCGTCTCAAACAAAGGTGCTACACTGCTTTCTGTCATCCTGGAAAAAGTCATCCAACAGACTCTGAGCCCTTAGGTTCAGTCTGAGCTGTACCCTTATGAGTATTTAATTATTTATTTCATCATAGAAGTTAGTGTTATTCTTTTTCTCATCTTTTTACCATTTAGAAAACGGAACTGAAGTTGGAGAACAAGGATTATAAAGAAATTCAGCGAGATGTTGGTGATGATGTGTATTACCAGAACAAGACAGTAGGTCTCTACCTTGTTATTGAAGCTAGTAATGGTGTGATGCTTATCTGGGATAAGAAGACCACCGTTTTCATCAAACTGACTCCTGACTATAAAGTAAGTTAGAATCTCTCTGTCTTTTTCTGAAACAGAAGTATGAATGAGATAATGAAACATAGATAATCTTCTTTTCTGACTGTGAGTTTAATTCTACATCTCTGCGCACTGATGATTAGCTGATGTTCCTAAAACATTTTGGTGCAGTTCTGCTAGAGTTTCTTACATGACAGAATATGAATAGCATATGATTGCTTTAAAGCTAAGTGTCTAAGACCTTCTGAGTTTGTGAATAATAAGAGCCAGGCACTCAGAGTAGTTCATGGGGTTCTGAATTGGCTGTGTATGTGCTCAGAATCTGAGCCCCGAGTTAAAACCAGACTTCCCACGCAATGTCTGGAGATGGGTCAGATTTCTGAAAATCAGCATGCTGAATTATGGAGTACTGAGTTCATTGTGCTAAATGAGGTGGTGCGGAGTTTCATAACAGGATCAGGCTATTCCTTCAGAAAGTTGGTGTGCCTTTATTAGCACTACCGAAAATTCACTACTATAGTTAGGTTGCTAAATTCTTTCTTTCAAGAAAAATCAGTGCTTTTTTTGTTTTTGTGGATAAAGAAGCGATGCCAGTTACATAATGAAATTCTTTCATGTTTATATTAATAGTATTTATGTTATAATTGAGAATAATGGAAAATAAAAGAAAATAAATTCATTCTTCTCAGCTGAAAGAAGCTTAGTCACTCTTCAGTCTTACAAGTGGAATGAAGGGACACAGAGACAGAAATACAGTAGGTACAATTGGTTTTAAGGAAGGGCATTTGAATAGTTTGCTGAGTACACAGTCAAATGAAAGTTTAATTTCTGTGTAAAATGATTTACAAGTAAAGATGAAAACGTATCATTTACAGGGAGAATCTGTTGTATTTTTCAATGTGAATGTTGTTTTCCAACTTTATGATAGAGTCTGTTTCTCACTTCCATAATATATTTAATAGCCATGGATATTGTCATTTCCTTTTACAGGGGAAAGTGTGTGGTCTGTGTGGCAACTTTGATGACAAGTCCAACAACGACTTTACAAGCAGGAGTGGGCTGCAAGAGACAAGTGCTTTGGAGTTTGGGAATTCCTGGAAACAGTCATCTGTGTGCCCTGATGTCACAGAAGAGATTAAACCCTGTGATCTGAAACCACATCGCAAGTCCTGGGCAGAGAAAGAATGCAGCCTTATCCTGAGTGAAATCTTCAAAATTTGTCATTCCAAGGTTTGTAGATGGCAGTAAGTGATGGGATAGCACAGTGCATTTCTGTCACTGCAGGAATATGAATGAAGAAATAGTTGAGCAGACGTATCTTCAGCTAAGTCTTCAGTATAGCTAGAAGTGTCAGCACATTTCAGCTAGCCTTTGTCAAAGCAGTTTGAGTAGAACTTTTTCAGCAGAGGTGCCAGACTCAAATCTCAGACCTCATATTTATCACCACTTTTTTGCTGTTACTGCTGTGCAGGTTAGCTTTGTAAATCTAGCTTGAATAGGTATCTGCTGCAGTTGTACCATTTCTTGTAGAGAAAATGTCACAGCTATAAATTCTGAGAGGTCCTGCAGTCATCAGATCCATCTTGTGGCAGAACCACATACTATACTTGAAACGTGACTGCTAGAGAGACTGTTGTGCCTGTTAGTATTCAAACTTCAGAAGTGATATACTTGGAAATTGCTGACTGTGCAGTTTAAACAAGCTTAACTATTAGCACTATGCTATAAATTGTCATAGCACATCTCTGTATCTTGTCTCTCCCCTGAAGTATACCAATATAAAAAACAATTTGTTTTTATTTCATGGTGGAAAAGTCACGAAGAAATAAGATTTTTGCTGACTTAATATGTGTTTCTGCATTGATTTCTTCAGGACCTAAATTTCTCCTTTTCTGATCCCAAGCAAAAATGTTGCAATTTTTCCTAATATGTGACTGGATGAACTCCAAAAACTGGCAAGCACAAAATTATTTGCTTTGTATTTGCTATGAAATGCAAAGATGTTATATTACTTCATACTAAATACATGAAATAATTTCTAGCCTATACTGTTCAGTAGTTCTTAGAAACGTTCTCATTCCTGTCCAGCTCAGTTCCCATTATCTCAAGAGATGTCTCAGGCTTATTAGTTTGGAGATGAACTGTGGCATCATTTCTTTTTCCAATAGGTGAACCCATCTCCTTTCTATGATGCTTGTGTTCATGATGCTTGCTCTTGTGACAGCGGTGGAGATTGTGATTGCTTCTGTTCTGCTGTTGCTGCATATGCACAAGAATGTACCAAGGCTCAGGCCTGTGTTTTCTGGAGAAGTCCGGATATATGCCGTGAGTAACAGCTAAACACAACTGTATCTTTCTGTCTGCTGTCAGGGACCCTATTAAATAAATTATGAATACTGCAGGACTGTGCTTGCCCTTGTGACTTATTTTCACGGCATTTCAGGGAACAGACAGAATTAGTAAATTTTTTGTAGCAGTTATGTTTTATGTTTGAGGGGTAATGGTGGCTTTAGGAGTTTTAAGGCTAGATGTTAAGTGGTCCTTTTGTTTTGCTTGATAATTGGTAAACTGCAGCTCCTGTTGTCTTTCTTCTGTTTGCACAAATGATTCAGAATTGGCTTTTTTTTTTAAGTATATGGAAGTACTCTTGCGTAGGTGAACCTAATCAGTATTGACTGTATTAAGAAATGTCCATTAATAGTGTTCATACCAGAAATCATAAAATAATGTAAGTCAATATTTAAATTGTATTTTTCTTCCCCTCCAAAAAAAGTGTTCGAAACCAAATTCTGAGATTCTTAATGCCAGAAATGGCAATGTAATTGTAAAAATTTATTCTGGTTCCAAATTAAGGCTAAGTTTAAGTTTTCAAGTATAAGAAGTTGGTGATACAGAAAATTTCCTTCCTCTATCCATAGTCAACTACAACATGTCCAACAATGTGGACAACATATTTTAATGTTGTATCCATAATATCTCACATGCTTGTTCCTGACCTGCTGGAGGTTACTCAGCCCATGTCATACAGCAAGATAGAGCTACTTTGAATATATATACTGCAAGAGATTTTATGAATTTGCTAGTAGATAGGGGAAAAAAGCTCTCAGAAATTTACCCTTCATTAGAAATATAAATAAACACTAATTCTTGGTTGTTTTGTGTGGTTTTAATCAAACATTTGTTTTCCTTCTGCAGCTTAGGTGTAATATCAAAATCCCAGATTTTAATCTCAAATTTTGATATAGTCTATGTTTACATGTAATAGAAGGAAGTGTATCTACAAGTCCTGTATCAAGATCATTTTGCAAGCTTAACTTGTGGATTAATTTAGCTTTTATGTTCAAACATCTGGGCTGAGCTTCATAGTAACAACTGTATTTTTAATCAGCTTTCCTTTTTTCTCATCAGCAATATTTTGTGACTACTATAATCCTCGTAATGAGTGCGAATGGCACTACGAGCCTTGTGGCAGCAATGTCATGACCTGCAGAATGATTTATAATGTCAGCACCAACTTCTCAGTTCCGTACCTGGAAGGTAATAAATTCCTTGCTGTTTCAGTCTTCTATTTCATAAAACTTTGTCAAAATGTCTTCAACAACTGTGGATTAGTCATTTAACTTGACAAGATATTCCCAATTCTGTTCTCTTGAATTTGTGTGTCCAGTCATAAATACATTTTCATACAATTTAATCTATTACTTATTAACCCCAGTGGGTGGTAGCTACATTGCTAACAACCCTAAAATTAAGTCTCTGCTTGGATAATATCCTGAAACATAGGATTATTACACCACTACACCATTTTTAACCATATCTAAGAGCTTTTCAAGGAATGGAAAGCCTTTTACGTGATAAAGAAATAAATTACTGGTGGTTGTTTTTTTTTTTTAAATCTTAAATTATTTGTATGCTTGATAACTGGAAAATAATTTTCTGTTATGGGAACTTCAGTAGTCCAAGAATATGACTGAGATTACAAGTATCTTCTATTTTACTAAATGATAAAGTTGAATAAATCAGGTGTATTTTTGTCCTTCTCAGAAGTTTGGTTTTGCGATTTTAATCCTAGAACTGATGGTAAGTTTAATAAAAAGCAGGAACAAAAGTGTATTTGCATGAGAAATGCAATGAGGACTGACAGATAATTTACAATTTGCAGATGGAATTCGTTTCACTGGTTGAGGGGATGGAAAAATGCAGATAATTTTTCTGTTTGTGGTAGAGATACATAGTCTACCGATGACACATAAATAAGTTCTAAATATTCCAACAAATATTGTGAAAACTTAATTATTGAATGTTTATTATTGAATGCATATCCATATTTTTCATGAAGGGATTCCTGATATGGTAATCACATTTTAATATCTGTAGAAAAATCAGTATGTTTGTGTTCTGATTTAACCTGGCAGGCAGCTCAGCACTACATAGTTGTTCATTCACTGCACTCTGGAAGAGAGAATTGGGGAAAAAAAGTGAAACTTGTTGATTGAGATTAAAACCTTTTACTAAGACAGAAAACGGGAAGAGAAATAATAGTGATGATAACGTATGTGTGTGTGTGTGTATTTACAAAATGAGTGATGCACAGTGCAGTTTTTCACCACCCACTGATCCATACCCAGCCAGTCCCTGAGCCAGTGGCAGCCCTGCCCTGTCCAAATCCCCTCATTTGTATGATGTATTCAGATGAGCTCGTATGGTATGGAATATCCCTTTGGTCAGTCCAGGTCATCTGTCCTGGAGCTCTTCCCTCCCAGCTTCTTGTGCATCTCTGCCACTTCACTGGCAGGACAGTAGATGAAGCTTCAACAGCCTTGGCTCTGCTCAGTACTGCTGAGCAACAACTAAAACATCAGTTTATTATCAACATTGTTATTCTCCTGACGGCAAAACTAGCATCATATCATACACTGTGAAGTAAGACTACTCTGTCCCAGCTGAAACCAGGACAGTTTTTTTTTGTGTGTGTGTTGAAATTACTAGTTTCCCATAGATCATAAAGGTTGCTGCAGTATTTTGAACTAAGAAAAAATATTCCTTGGTTTTCATGAGTAAATTCTTATTTAGTTCTCTCAGTATTATCAATGAGGATTGCTTAAGCCTTTTGAAGAGGCTGAGTTTCCAAGGATTGGTTTTGAATCAGAATTTTTGATCTCTTTAACTATTCCTGGCTCAGTGAGAATCGTTTACTTTCAGAGGATACCCTGCTATTTAGTTAACTCATCATACTTTTCTTCACTCTGTATTCTGTGCTACTTGCCATCAACAGGTTGCTATCCCAGATGCCCTCATGAAAAGCCCATTTATAATGAAGAGACAAAAGAATGTGTGGCTGCAGATGAATGCTGGTGTTACCACAACGGTAATCCTGTTATCATTGGTGGAGAAATACCAACAGAAGAGAACTGTACAAAATGGTATGTAAAAATGCAAAAACATTTGAAATAATTCAGGAAATAATTTGTGAATGCTGAGCCCCTCTTCTACTTTATTGAGCCTCAAGCATGTTTTTTAGTAAGTAGAGATGCAACTTATATATTCTATACAATCTATATAAATATATTTTATAGAATAGAATATATTCTATATTATACAATATGTATATGTATGTGTATATATATATATGTATGTATATATATATATATATATATATATACATATTCCATATATATATGGAAGTTCTACTTCCAAATGGAAGTTCTACTTCTACTACATACAAGTTCAAAATTTTTCATCTATAGCTTTACAGATCCATAATAATCCGTATTTCAAGATGATTGTGTCTTTCTGATAGGTTTGTTAGTAGAATCATTAAATATACTCTTGAAAGTGTCATAAATGATGCAATGGCAGAAAGCCTAATTGTGTTTCTGGAACAGTCTTTTGATTCTCGTGACTTTTTGGAAAGAGGAGGGCTTCTCTGCCCTGTATTCTCATTTAAGACAAAGATTTTGAAGTCACAGTGGTCTGAAATAATCTGTATTATCCTTGAAGGAGGTAACTGACTCCTAATTGTTCATTTCCAGAACCTTACTAACGGTGGAATTGACATTTATGAATCCACATCGTGCTCAGAGACAAAAATAAATACATAAATAAAACACAACTACTCGTAAGAGCAGCTGTTATTACTGTGGTATTGCATCTTGCAATACAAAACAGCTCATGATAGTTTAAGATGTTGCACTTAAGGAATACAAATGGTGACTTAGTTTGAATGAGGTAATGATAGGCAATATTAGAAGCCGTTACAATCAGAAACATATCCAGTAGTATAAATGAAGATCAAGTGACAAAATTTTACATTTCTGTGATCTTGGCTCTGCTAGCCATTAAACATTAATCTGTAACATTTTAACTTTTGAAATTTTTGCTTTTAGTATCTGTCGCCCCTCAGGATCCATTGAATGTTCACCAATTCCAGGTAAATAATGTTTTTAATTTTTTTTTAATTAAGAAAGTGGAGGGGGGCAGATTGTGGAGAAACCATGGAACCACTATATCTATCTCTACAAAGGCTTTCTGGAAAAGAAATTTTGACAACAATTTTATTGAACCCTGATGCTAGTACTTCTTGTTCAGTCTTTCAATCACACACTATGTTTCTTCTTCCTATGTCTCACATCCAAACTTGAGGATTTCACTACAAGAGTTTACAAGACAAATTAATGTGACACTAGATCTAAGCTCCAAGTATAGCACTCAAAGGAGCATGCATGGTACAGTTAAATATTTGTATCCTTGGCAAATCCTCCAGTTGGTTTTTTTTTTTTTTTTTTCCTTTGTCTTCTACTTCTGTTTTGCTTTTTTTTGTCTTCTCCAAATAGTCATGGTAGAGAGAGAATATGCATGCTGAACTCTTTCTTGCAGGATGTCCTTGTGTTATCAATGGAACAAGTTATGATGTGGGAGAAACTGTTGCAACAATAAAGGATGGCGACATATGCACAATATATGTTTGTGCAGAAAATGGATCTGTAATTCCTGGAGGTTCTTATCCTTGTCCATTAACTACCTCACCTTCAACCATTACAACCTCTCCTGGTACAAGTACTATTACCACCATAGGTAAGTTTTCAAGAGAGATGCAGATTTTAAAATAACTTTACTTAAGGAAAATACTTTAAAGATTGAATGTACAAGTGTGCAGAGTTACTATAGTTGACAAAGATTGAGTGATACTTGCAAATAATTTTGTTGCGTTTCTCTGAGGAAGATTTTAATGCCCTGAGTTTATTTACCCCGCATGGAAGAAATTGTGACTATAAATGTATAGGATTCTATCTCTTGAGTATTCTGTGGGGATAATAGAAATTGTCTCAGCAGTCACAGAAAAATTGTAATTAGGATGTTTAAAACTACCATTATATGTTTTTCTGAAACTTGCAGATGATGCAGTAATTTTTTTTCTTTTCTATTTCAGTTACCACAAGTCCTCCAGTAACTACAAGTAAGTTTTAAATATAAAAACTAGTTGACCATAAGATGTCAAATGATGAGTAAATTAAAGGTGGCCACTACTGAAAAGCATTTTCTAAATAAACCAAAAAAATACTTTGAAAACCTGAAATTGCAAAAAATTGAGATGTATAAAGAGGCTTCAGATTGGTGATTCTGTTTTGATACAAAGCTTCTTGTTGAAGACACTGATCGTATTTAACCAATTTTAGAATTCTTTTCTCTTGCAAAAATGGCAAATTGAAATGCATTATTTCGGTCACTAATGGATCTGAATACAAAATTAACCTTTTCAGAATGTCTTCTGTGAGCTCTGCCACTGAACCTACGTCTTTTTTTGCAGCTCCATGCCTTGGATTAATCTGTGATTGGTCTGAGTGGTTTGATGTTAGTAACCCTGAAGAAGATGGTGGTGACTATGAAACCTATGAAGAAATAAGAAAAGAGCATGGAAACAAAATATGTACAGCTCCTGAAAATATTGAATGCAGGGCTAAAGACAGTCCTGATAAAACCTTAGAGGAACTTGGGCAAAAAGTGGAATGTAATGTTACGTATGGACTCATCTGTAAAAATGAGGAGCAAGATGCAAGTATATGGCATCTTTGCTATAATTATGAAATCAGGGTGAACTGTTGTGAATGGCATGAAATTCCTTGTGGGACTGCAAGTACACCGAGTTCAACACCAACTGCATCTTCAGTCACCACTGGAACAACTGTGCCCACTACTACAACCCGGCAGTCAACGACAATTACCACCACACCAACGCCCACTGCAACTACCACAAGCCAACCCACATCTTCAGTAACCACACCAGTAACTTCAGCCTCCACAGGTATTTAGCAGACCAATTTTCTCTTTCCTTACCTTGCCGTAAGATAAATAACAGACTGTCAGCTACTTAAAGCAGATATTTAGCAAGCACTTTGCTGATTTTGAGCTCTGTCCTTTTCCTGGAGAGAACATTCTCAGAAAGACTGAGTGTGAAATTGGAGTAGGCTTTGATTTGGTATATCATCATTTTAGGTATTGTCTGGCAGAACTGTGCAGAATTTCTTCATTCCACTTTCTCTCTGTCAGTTCTGATACTTGCCTGTGGATGTAGATCTAGGAAGAAAGGATTCCCTTACAGCCTTTGTGGAATGGTTTCACTCTTCAAAAGCTACTTGCTGTGAACCTCTCCCTCAGGCTTCCATTGCAGTATGGGGAGGTGACATAAACTTTAGATAAAAACGTATCCCTGTACGTATTTCATTCCTTGACCACAGCTTCCTCTCCCAGTTCTTACTCTCTGAGACAGCAAGGTGTTATGAGTGATAGGGCTGAGATGGGAAGAACCATAAGGCTTTTTTTCTCCATCTTATCCACTGGTGGGGGATTTTTCATTTAGTGAGAATCGCTGCAAGGCAATGTAACAAACCCCTTCAGTAGAAAAGAGTGTGTCTTAACCATATCTGTTCAGATTTGGCCTTAGTCTGCTTTCTGGAACTGGGAAGGAAAGGCAAATAATACAGGCCTTTGCTGCAGAAAAACTGGGCTGAGCCAGCTGTGAATTTGTGGCAGTTAACTCCTGTTGTGTCCCACTCATACATATGCTTGCATCTTTACCTGTTGTTTCTGTCCCTGTTGTTCATAATTATTCTTCTTGTTGATGTTTCCCAGTATCAACCGCTGCTCCCACGCCAACTCCATCAGAGTCTCCAACCAGTACTGCCACCACGACACCCTTCAGCAGCAGCACCCAGGGAACTACTACGACTGTTCCTGGCGTATCCTCATCCACTCCGACAGTTACAAGCACAGTCCCACCAACAATAGTAACTCAAACCCACTCTCCTCCGCCTTCACTGCCAGGTAATTAATTGCTCTGCGCTGTCATGTCTTGCCTTGGTATGGGAGAAATTGTCTATTGGCACCTTAATGTATGTCTTCACTGCAGTACTCTGAAGAAAACAGTTTATGCAGATGAAAAAAAAAAGAATAAAGTAGTCTCTAGAACTGTAGGGTACTGAGCTCTCCATTTAGCAGAGAGAGTGCAGAACATGTTTCTCGATGTCAGTTCCTATTCTTTGGTTATCCTGAGCGCAAGGATGGTACTTCTGCCTATCTTAGGCCAATGATGCTGATGGAAAGTCTTAATTTTGCTGCTTTTTGGGCTTTGTCCTTCAGCTGGATAGAAAGAACGTACATAGGAGAACATATGGTGTGACATGGCTTGTTTTTTGTAGCAATGTCATTTCATTTCAGGTGCTGTGTTAGGTCATGGCTTTATTCTGTTCCTTCTCTTGTGATTACTTGGGCTGTTTTACAATTCATCTGCAGTTCTAGCTCTCTGAAGGCTGATTTTCCCTAGCAGGGACTGTGGAAAGATTTCAGCCAATGGCTTACCTCTTGCTATGGAGTGAGACTCTCAGCAGCAAGGTCCTGCCAGAGTTGCTCTCCAGCTTTCTCCAATCTGCTGGAAAGCAGCCCACGATTTTGGCTGCAGTGTGCATCAAGTGCCAACTTGCTTTGTGATTGTGATTCTTTCCTGAATTTGGATTTGCCCAAGCGAAAGTTGTGAGAGTCCTTACTTGATTCTGCTCTACCTCATGTGCTGCCCTTAGGGAAGTTTTTTTGCGCACAGCAAGCCCCAAACAGAACTTGCTATTGTTCTGGGGGGGAGACACACATATCTCAACAGTGGCTGGGTCCTATGTTATCCCGGTTTGCTCCATAAGGCAAAGAAAGGGAGGACTGACCACACTAATGAGCTCTGTTATGGCCAGGGTTGCCTGACTAGTGTAGGTGAGTAGCAGATGTCAGGGTGCACCTTTGCTGCAGTGGAGGCCAAGAAAACCACCCGTAACAGTGCTGGAGGTAACACTGGTTGTCTCTGTCTCTAATGTTCCTGAATGTTACTGTTCTTGATGTCTATCAGTGACAAATTGTGAATGCATCTGGACGGACTGGATCGATTCGAGTCAACCAGATAGATCTGATGTGAACAGTGGAGACTATGAAATAATTGACAAAATAAACAACTCCTCCTTGGTATGCGTGAAAGCTGAGAACATTACATGCAGAGCAAAGGATTACCCTAACATTTCCCTTGAAGAGTTAGGGCAGAAGGTTGAATGCAGTGTAAACACGGGGCTTATATGTAACAATAAGGATCAAGAAAACAACAGCAATATTTCATACTGCCATAACTATGAGATAAGTATCTGCTGCACACCAAACAAACCAGAGTGTATACCAACTCCGGAATATACCACGGCAATCAGCACAACAGTGTCACACTCTACCACTACAACCATAGTTTTCACTTCAACTGTGTCAAGCACAACTGCCCCGCCAACACCAACTGAGTCTGCCCCCACTACCACCTCTGGCACGACGCTCTCCAGCAGCACCGCCAGCAGCACCGTGAGCACCACTCCTATTACCAGCTCGTCCACATCCGGCCCGACTTCAGTCAGCACATCCACACCCAGGCCAACACCCACCACCTCCCTAACACCTCCACCCACGACAACGCAAGGTAATGTCTGGTCATCGCGTTATGTTTTTTCTTGTAGCTTTCCCAGCTGCACCTTTGCTTAATTAACGTGTGCCCCACGCCAGTTCTCATGCTTTCTATTTTACCGTGCGAAGAATTTGTTTGTCTTGGGCCGGAAGACCTGCAGATGTAGATAAATGGCATGGCAAGAAAAAATGCGGTAGAACGGTTTTCAAGACGTGAGAGCGTACGGAGTAGAGTTTGCTTACTGTTCTAGGGCCATATAGCTTGGAAGGAAAGTAGTTGTGGTGGGAGCGGATTTGCTGCATTGGGAACGGTGGTGTCCCCATGGGATAGAATGTGACAGCAGTAGTGACGGAGGAGTGAAGCGTAAGGATGATTGGAATGCATTCAGCTGGCTTAGGGGCTGTGGAGTTCTTGTAGCCTGAGCATGGTCCTCACTGTGCACACGGTGTTTTGATGCAGTATTGGTCTTAGGTATAGTGTTTCCATGTGTCTCCCATGGAGGTTGTACGAAACCTTGGTGTGTAATTGCTGAACGAAAGTAATACCGCTAGTAAGATGTTCTGCTTTCCAATTCTCTGAGCTTGGTGGGTTTCAGGTGGTGGATTTTGATGAAGTCAGTAGAGAAACAGGGAGTTAAGGAGGAATTAGGAGGAAATGTTTTTCTGCAATGATGAATCCCTGTGTTATCCCAGGTCCCACTTCCCAGAGCACCACGAGTACAGTTGTGTCAAGCACAACTGCCCCGCCCACACCAACCACGTCTGCCCCCACTACCACCTCTGGCACGACGCTCTCCAGCAGCACCGCCAGCAGCACCGTGAGCACCACTCCTATTACCAGCTCGTCCACATCCGGCCCGACTTCAGTCAGCACATCCACACCCAGGCCAACACCCACCACCTCCCTAACACCTCCACCCACGACAACAGAAGGTAATTGTCTGGTCATTGCGTTATGTTTTTTCTCGTCGACTTTCTCTGCTGCACCTTAGTTGAATTAACGCTAGTTCTCACGCTTTCTTTTTTACTGTGAGAAGAGTGTTTTGTCTTGGACAGAAAGTCCCTTGTTCCTTTTCTCTGCACAGCTCTTTAGAACTTGTGTAATCCTGTAGCCTGCTACAAGAACTTTGACCAGACAGGATGTCCTTCTTTTGCTGCTTTGAGTTGCTTTCCTTCAGCTGGTGAGGTCCTTCTGTGTGCGAACCCGGTTTCAATTTGGCATGGAGCTTATTGTTGTGACACTTTTGTTTCAGGTCCTTTTGGGCGGTGGCTTTTCTGACCTTCTTCCCTTTCTTCTGCTGCTTGCCTTCGGTGCTTTTTGGGCACTGGCATGCCATTTTTCTGCTGGGAGAAGCATTTTTTCCCGTTGTGGGTTTCATGGGCTAGTCCTCAGATGGAAGCGTGGCACTTATTGCCATCAACACGTGCGTGATCCTCCCATCTGTTATCACCTCCTCCAAGTGATTGTGTCGTTCCTAATTGTTTACTTTTACTGATGTCCAACCGCAGTAGACTGCACCGTTCCGGAGGACTGCATCTGGACTGACTGGATCGATGTGAGTTACCCACAGTATGGCCCAGGGAATGGTGATGATGAGACCTTCGAAACAATTCAGAATAAGATCCCTTCATGGAACTGTACGAAGGCTGAGAACATTTCCTGCAGAGCTGAGAAATTTCCAGACACTCCTATAGAAGACTTAGGGCAGAAAGTGGAGTGTGATGTTAACACAGGACTCATCTGTAAAAATGACGATCAGACCGCAGGGGGTGTGATACCAATGCCAGTCTGCCTGAATTATCAGATCAAAGTCTGCTGTACACCACCATTAAGACCAGAGTGCACAACAGCTATCACGACTACAACCAGAGGAGAAACCAGCACAACGGTGTCCCTCTCACCGACAACAAGCACAATTTACACTCCGAGTGTGTCAAGCACAACTGCCCCGCCCACACCAACCACGTCTGCCCCCACTACCACCTCTGGCACGACGCTCTCCAGCAGCACCGCCAGCAGCACCGTGAGCACCACTCCTATTACCAGCTCGCCCACATCTGGCCCGACTTCAGTCAGCACATCCACACCCAGGCCAACACCCACCACCTCCCTAACACCTCCACCCACGACAACGGAAGGTAATTGTCTGGCCATGCCTGTCACGTGTTGCCTTGTAGAGGGAGAGGTGAAGGCCTGTGAGCGCCTGAACTTAGGCTTTGTGTATGGGCTGAGGGCCGGGAGTAGTTGCTGAACGTTCCTCAGTGGAGCAGAAGCCCACAGGTAGTCCTGAATCTTGCTGTTTGGAGGCACGGCGAGAGCATTTGTCCTGGGCAGAAGGTGCCTTGCTCCCTGACACCGCGTGTCCTAGGAAAAGGTTTTCTCAGCTAGGGGCAGCGGGTTGTCTTAGGCCGGCAGGGGTCGGACTGGAAGTCTTCCTTTTGCTGCTGTCATATCTTGTCCTCAATCTAGAGAGAGCATTCCCTTAGGGGGCATCTCGTGTACGGGCTGTGGGCTTTTGTTTTGGGCACTCTGGTTTCTGGTGCTTGCAGGTCACAGACATTCCGACCTTCTGCCCTTTCTTCCTCTGCGTTTGTGTTCAATTCTTTTTATTTCCTGCAGTGATTCTCTGTCAGTCATGTGTATGTTCACGTCCTGCTGATGGAGCATAAGCGTTTGATTGGAAGGCAGACGTTTCTGTACCTTGGGGTGTTTCTAAAATGCTTGTTGAGAACAGATTGAAGGAGGCAGCCCTTTGGCCTGAAGCATGGGCTGCCCAGGAAGGTAGAAAAGCAGTTGGAGTTAAATGGCATGGCAAGGAAAAACGCTGTAGAATGGCTTTCAAGACGGGAGAGGGGTATGGAGAAGAGTTTCAGTAGTTGTACTGGAGCCCCAGATGCGCGGGCAGGAAATTAGTTGTGGAGGGAAAACGGGCCTGATAGTTTCCTGCATTGGGAACGGTGGTCTTTCCATGGAATAGAGCGTGACAGCAAAAGGTAAGGAAGAATGAAGCCTAAGGATGATCGGAATGCATTCAGCTGGCTGAAGGGCTGCGGAGTTCTTGTCGCCTGAGCTACAAGCTTCACTGTGCACGCGGTGCTGAGATGCCGCATTGGTGGTAGACGTAGTGTTTGCATGTGTCTCCGAAGCAGGTTTTCGGAAACCTTGGTGCATAATTCCTGAATGACACAAATACTACTAATGAGACTGCGTCCTTCCCTACAGTCTCACCTTCTCGGGCTTGTGGTTGTGGAGCTTGATGAAGTCAGTAGAGAAATGAGGAATGAAAGAGGAAATGCAATTTGCCTGCTTGCAATGATGAAACCCTGTGTTTTCCCAGGTCCCACTTCCCAGAGCACCACAAGTACAAGCGTGTCGAGTACAAGTGTGTCGAGTAGCAGTGCCCCGCCCACACCAACCACGTCTGCCCCCACTACCACCTCTGGCACGACGCTCTCCAGCAGCACCGCCAGCAGCACCGTGAGCACCACTCCTGTTACCAGCTCGTCCACATCCGGCCCGACTTCAGTCAGCACATCCACACCCAGGCCAACACCCACCACCTCCCTAACACCTCCACCCACGACAACGCAAGGTAATGTCTGGTCATCGCGTTATGTTTTTTCTTGTAGCTTTCCCAGCTGCACCTTTGCTTAATTAACGTGTGCCCCACGCCAGTTCTCATGCTTTCTATTTTACCGTGCGAAGAATTTGTTTGTCTTGGGCCGGAAGACCTGCAGATGTAGATAAATGGCATGGCAAGAAAAAATGCGGTAGAACGGTTTTCAAGACGTGAGAGCGTACGGAGTAGAGTTTGCTTACTGTTCTAGGGCCATATAGCTTGGAAGGAAAGTAGTTGTGGTGGGAGCGGATTTGCTGCATTGGGAACGGTGGTGTCCCCATGGGATAGAATGTGACAGCAGTAGTGACGGAGGAGTGAAGCGTAAGGATGATTGGAATGCATTCAGCTGGCTTAGGGGCTGTGGAGTTCTTGGAGCCTGAGCATGGTCCTCACTGTGCACACGGTGTTTTGATGCAGTATTGGTCTTAGGTATAGTGTTTCCATGTGTCTCCCATGGAGGTTGTACGAAACCTTGGTGTGTAATTGCTGAACGAAAGTAATACCGCTAGTAAGATGTTCTGCTTTCCAATTCTCTGAGCTTGGTGGGTTTCAGGTGGTGGATTTTGATGAAGTCAGTAGAGAAACAGGGAGTTAAGGAGGAATTAGGAGGAAATGTTTTTCTGCAATGATGAATCCCTGTGTTATCCCAGGTCCCACTTCCCAGAGCACCACGAGTACAGTTGTGTCAAGCACAACTGCCCCGCCCACACCAACCACGTCTGCCCCCACTACCACCTCTGGCACGACGCTCTCCAGCAGCACCGCCAGCAGCACCGTGAGCACCACTCCTATTACCAGCTCGTCCACATCCGGCCCGACTTCAGTCAGCACATCCACACCCAGGCCAACACCCACCACCTCCCTAACACCTCCACCCACGACAACAGAAGGTAATTGTCTGGTCATTGCGTTATGTTTTTTCTCGTCGACTTTCTCTGCTGCACCTTAGTTGAATTAACGCTAGTTCTCACGCTTTCTTTTTTACTGTGAGAAGAGTGTTTTGTCTTGGACAGAAAGTCCCTTGTTCCTTTTCTCTGCACAGCTCTTTAGAACTTGTGTAATCCTGTAGCCTGCTACAAGAACTTTGACCAGACAGGATGTCCTTCTTTTGCTGCTTTGAGTTGCTTTCCTTCAGCTGGTGAGGTCCTTCTGTGTGCGAACCCGGTTTCAATTTGGCATGGAGCTTATTGTTGTGACACTTTTGTTTCAGGTCCTTTTGGGCGGTGGCTTTTCTGACCTTCTTCCCTTTCTTCTGCTGCTTGCCTTCGGTGCTTTTTGGGCACTGGCATGCCATTTTTCTGCTGGGAGAAGCATTTTTTCCCGTTGTGGGTTTCATGGGCTAGTCCTCAGATGGAAGCGTGGCACTTATTGCCATCAACACGTGCGTGATCCTCCCATCTGTTATCACCTCCTCCAAGTGATTGTGTCGTTCCTAATTGTTTACTTTTACTGATGTCCAACCGCAGTAGACTGCACCGTTCCGGAGGACTGCATCTGGACTGACTGGATCGATGTGAGTTACCCACAGTATGGCCCAGGGAATGGTGATGATGAGACCTTCGAAACAATTCAGAATAAGATCCCTTCATGGAACTGTACGAAGGCTGAGAACATTTCCTGCAGAGCTGAGAAATTTCCAGACACTCCTATAGAAGACTTAGGGCAGAAAGTGGAGTGTGATGTTAACACAGGACTCATCTGTAAAAATGACGATCAGACCGCAGGGGGTGTGATACCAATGCCAGTCTGCCTGAATTATCAGATCAAAGTCTGCTGTACACCACCATTAAGACCAGAGTGCACAACAGCTATCACGACTACAACCAGAGGAGAAACCAGCACAACGGTGTCCCTCTCACCGACAACAAGCACAATTTACACTCCGAGTGTGTCAAGCACAACTGCCCCGCCCACACCAACCACGTCTGCCCCCACTACCACCTCTGGCACGACGCTCTCCAGCAGCACCGCCAGCAGCACCGTGAGCACCACTCCTATTACCAGCTCGCCCACATCTGGCCCGACTTCAGTCAGCACATCCACACCCAGGCCAACACCCACCACCTCCCTAACACCTCCACCCACGACAACGGAAGGTAATTGTCTGGCCATGCCTGTCACGTGTTGCCTTGTAGAGGGAGAGGTGAAGGCCTGTGAGCGCCTGAACTTAGGCTTTGTGTATGGGCTGAGGGCCGGGAGTAGTTGCTGAACGTTCCTCAGTGGAGCAGAAGCCCACAGGTAGTCCTGAATCTTGCTGTTTGGAGGCACGGCGAGAGCATTTGTCCTGGGCAGAAGGTGCCTTGTTCCCTGACACCGCGTGTCCTAGGAAAAGGTTTTCTCAGCTAGGGGCAGCGGGTTGTCTTAGGCCGGCAGGGGTCGGACTGGAAGTCTTCCTTTTGCTGCTGTCATATCTTGTCCTCAATCTAGAGAGAGCATTCCCTTAGGGGGCATCTCGTGTACGGGCTGTGGGCTTTTGTTTTGGGCACTCTGGTTTCTGGTGCTTGCAGGTCACAGACATTCCGACCTTCTGCCCTTTCTTCCTCTGCGTTTGTGTTCAATTCTTTTTATTTCCTGCAGTGATTCTCTGTCAGTCATGTGTATGTTCACGTCCTGCTGATGGAGCATAAGCGTTTGATTGGAAGGCAGACGTTTCTGTACCTTGGGGTGTTTCTAAAATGCTTGTTGAGAACAGATTGAAGGAGGCAGCCCTTTGGCCTGAAGCATGGGCTGCCCAGGAAGGTAGAAAAGCAGTTGGAGTTAAATGGCATGGCAAGGAAAAACGCTGTAGAATGGCTTTCAAGACGGGAGAGGGGTATGGAGAAGAGTTTCAGTAGTTGTACTGGAGCCCCAGATGCGCGGGCAGGAAATTAGTTGTGGAGGGAAAACGGGCCTGATAGTTTCCTGCATTGGGAACGGTGGTCTTTCCATGGAATAGAGCGTGACAGCAAAAGGTAAGGAAGAATGAAGCCTAAGGATGATCGGAATGCATTCAGCTGGCTGAAGGGCTGCGGAGTTCTTGTCGCCTGAGCTACAAGCTTCACTGTGCACGCGGTGCTGAGATGCCGCATTGGTGGTAGACGTAGTGTTTGCATGTGTCTCCGAAGCAGGTTTTCGGAAACCTTGGTGCATAATTCCTGAATGACACAAATACTACTAATGAGACTGCGTCCTTCCCTACAGTCTCACCTTCTCGGGCTTGTGGTTGTGGAGCTTGAGGAAGTCAGTAGAGAAATGAGGAATGAAAGAGGAAATGCAATTTGCCTGCTTGCAATGATGAAACCCTGTGTTTTCCCAGGTCCCACTTCCCAGAGCACCACAAGTACAAGCGTGTCGAGTAGCAGTGCCCCGCCCACACCAACCACGTCTGCCCCCACTACCACCTCTGGCACGACGCTCTCCAGCAGCACCGCCAGCAGCACCGTGAGCACCACTCCTGTTACCAGCTCGTCCACATCCGGCCCGACTTCAGTCAGCACATCCACACCCAGGCCAACACCCACCACCTCCCTAACACCTCCACCCACGACAACGCAAGGTAATGTCTGGTCATCGCGTTATGTTTTTTCTTGTAGCTTTCCCAGCTGCACCTTTGCTTAATTAACGTGTGCCCCACGCCAGTTCTCATGCTTTCTATTTTACCGTGCGAAGAATTTGTTTGTCTTGGGCCGGAAGACCTGCAGATGTAGATAAATGGCATGGCAAGAAAAAATGCGGTAGAACGGTTTTCAAGACGTGAGAGCGTACGGAGTAGAGTTTGCTTACTGTTCTAGGGCCATATAGCTTGGAAGGAAAGTAGTTGTGGTGGGAGCGGATTTGCTGCATTGGGAACGGTGGTGTCCCCATGGGTTAGAATGTGACAGCAGTAGTGACGGAGGAGTGAAGCGTAAGGATGATTGGAATGCATTCAGCTGGCTTAGGGGCTGTGGAGTTCTTGGAGCCTGAGCATGGTCCTCACTGTGCACACGGTGTTTTGATGCAGTATTGGTCTTAGGTATAGTGTTTCCATGTGTCTCCCATGGAGGTTGTACGAAACCTTGGTGTGTAATTGCTGAACGAAAGTAATACCGCTAGTAAGATGTTCTGCTTTCCAATTCTCTGAGCTTGGTGGGTTTCAGGTGGTGGATTTTGATGAAGTCAGTAGAGAAACAGGGAGTTAAGGAGGAATTAGGAGGAAATGTTTTTCTGCAATGATGAATCCCTGTGTTATCCCAGGTCCCACTTCCCAGAGCACCACGAGTACAGTTGTGTCAAGCACAACTGCCCCGCCCACACCAACCACGTCTGCCCCCACTACCACCTCTGGCACGACGCTCTCCAGCAGCACCGCCAGCAGCACCGTGAGCACCACTCCTATTACCAGCTCGTCCACATCCGGCCCGACTTCAGTCAGCACATCCACACCCAGGCCAACACCCACCACCTCCCTAACACCTCCACCCACGACAACAGAAGGTAATTGTCTGGTCATTGCGTTATGTTTTTTCTCGTCGACTTTCTCTGCTGCACCTTAGTTGAATTAACGCTAGTTCTCACGCTTTCTTTTTTACTGTGAGAAGAGTGTTTTGTCTTGGACAGAAAGTCCCTTGTTCCTTTTCTCTGCACAGCTCTTTAGAACTTGTGTAATCCTGTAGCCTGCTACAAGAACTTTGACCAGACAGGATGTCCTTCTTTTGCTGCTTTGAGTTGCTTTCCTTCAGCTGGTGAGGTCCTTCTGTGTGCGAACCCGGTTTCAATTTGGCATGGAGCTTATTGTTGTGACACTTTTGTTTCAGGTCCTTTTGGGCGGTGGCTTTTCTGACCTTCTTCCCTTTCTTCTGCTGCTTGCCTTCGGTGCTTTTTGGGCACTGGCATGCCATTTTTCTGCTGGGAGAAGCATTTTTTCCCGTTGTGGGTTTCATGGGCTAGTCCTCAGATGGAAGCGTGGCACTTATTGCCATCAACACGTGCGTGATCCTCCCATCTGTTATCACCTCCTCCAAGTGATTGTGTCGTTCCTAATTGTTTACTTTTACTGATGTCCAACCGCAGTAGACTGCACCGTTCCGGAGGACTGCATCTGGACCGACTGGATCGATGTGAGTTACCCACAGTATGGCCCAGGGAATGGTGATGATGAGACCTTCGAAACAATTCAGAATAAGATCCCTTCATGGAACTGTACGAAGGCTGAGAACATTTCCTGCAGAGCTGAGAAATTTCCAGACACTCCTATAGAAGACTTAGGGCAGAAAGTGGAGTGTGATGTTAACACAGGACTCATCTGTAAAAATGACGATCAGACCGCAGGGGGTGTGATACCAATGCCAGTCTGCCTGAATTATCAGATCAAAGTCTGCTGTACACCACCATTAAGACCAGAGTGCACAACAGCTATCACGACTACAACCAGAGGAGAAACCAGCACAACGGTGTCCCTCTCACCGACAACAAGCACAATTTACACTCCGAGTGTGTCAAGCACAACTGCCCCGCCCACACCAACCACGTCTGCCCCCACTACCACCTCTGGCACGACGCTCTCCAGCAGCACCGCCAGCAGCACCGTGAGCACCACTCCTATTACCAGCTCGCCCACATCCGGCCCGACTTCAGTCAGCACATCCACACCCAGGCCAACACCCACCACCTCCCTAACACCTCCACCCACGACAACGGAAGGTAATTGTCTGGCCATGCCTGTCACGTGTTGCCTTGTAGAGGGAGAGGTGAAGGCCTGTGAGCGCCTGAACTTAGGCTTTGTGTATGGGCTGAGGGCCGGGAGTAGTTGCTGAACGTTCCTCAGTGGAGCAGAAGCCCACAGGTAGTCCTGAATCTTGCTGTTTGGAGGCACGGCGAGAGCATTTGTCCTGGGCAGAAGGTGCCTTGTTCCCTGACACCGCGTGTCCTAGGAAAAGGTTTTCTCAGCTAGGGGCAGCGGGTTGTCTTAGGCCGGCAGGGGTCGGACTGGAAGTCTTCCTTTTGCTGCTGTCATATCTTGTCCTCAATCTAGAGAGAGCATTCCCTTAGGAGGCATCTCGTGTACGGGCTGTGGGCTTTTGTTTTGGGCACTCTGGTTTCTGGTGCTTGCAGGTCACAGACATTCCGACCTTCTGCCCTTTCTTCCTCTGCGTTTGTGTTCAATTCTTTTTATTTCCTGCAGTGATTCTCTGTCAGTCATGTGTATGTTCACGTCCTGCTGATGGAGCATAAGCGTTTGATTGGAAGGCAGACGTTTCTGTACCTTGGGGTGTTTCTAAAATGCTTGTTGAGAACAGATTGAAGGAGGCAGCCCTTTGGCCTGAAGCATGGGCTGCCCAGGAAGGTAGAAAAGCAGTTGGAGTTAAATGGCATGGCAAGGAAAAACGCTGTAGAATGGCTTTCAAGACGGGAGAGGGGTATGGAGAAGAGTTTCAGTAGTTGTACTGGAGCCCCAGATGCGCGGGCAGGAAATTAGTTGTGGAGGGAAAACGGGCCTGATAGTTTCCTGCATTGGGAACGGTGGTCTTTCCATGGAATAGAGCGTGACAGCAAAAGGTAAGGAAGAATGAAGCCTAAGGATGATCGGAATGCATTCAGCTGGCTGAAGGGCTGCGGAGTTCTTGTCGCCTGAGCTACAAGCTTCACTGTGCACGCGGTGGTGAGATGCTGCATTGGTGGTAGACGTAGTGTTTGCATGTGTCTCCGAAGCAGGTTTTCGGAAACCTTGGTGCATAATTCCTGAATGACACAAATACTACTAATGAGACTGCGTCCTTCCCTACAGTCTCACCTTCTCGGGCTTGTGGTGGTGGAGCTTGATGAAGTCAGTAGAGAAATGAGGAATGAAAGAGGAAATGCAATTTGCCTGCTTGCAATGATGAAACCCTGTGTTTTCCCAGGTCCCACTTCCCAGAGCACCACAAGTACAAGCGTGTCGAGTAGCAGTGCCCCGCCCACACCAACCACGTCTGCCCCCACTACCACCTCTGGCACGACGCTCTCCAGCAGCACCGCCAGCAGCACCGTGAGCACCACTCCTATTACCAGCTCGTCCACATCCGGCCCGACTTCAGTCAGCACATCCACACCCAGGCCAACACCCACCACCTCCCTAACACCTCCACCCACGACAACGCAAGGTAATGTCTGGTCATCGCGTTACGTTTTTTCTTGTAGCTTTCCCAGCTGCACCTTTGCTTAATTAACGTGTGCCCCACGCCAGTTCTCATGCTTTCTATTTTACCGTGCGAAGAATTTGTTTGTCTTGGGCCGGAAGACCTGCAGATGTAGATAAATGGCATGGCAAGAAAAAATGCGGTAGAACGGTTTTCAAGACGTGAGAGCGTACGGAGTAGAGTTTGCTTACTGTTCTAGGGCCATATAGCTTGGAAGGAAAGTAGTTGTGGTGGGAGCGGATTTGCTGCATTGGGAACGGTGGTGTCCCCATGGGTTAGAATGTGACAGCAGTAGTGACGGAGGAGTGAAGCGTAAGGATGATTGGAATGCATTCAGCTGGCTTAGGGGCTGTGGAGTTCTTGGAGCCTGAGCATGGTCCTCACTGTGCACACGGTGTTTTGATGCAGTATTGGTCTTAGGTATAGTGTTTCCATGTGTCTCCCATGGAGGTTGTACGAAACCTTGGTGTGTAATTGCTGAACGAAAGTAATACCGCTAGTAAGATGTTCTGCTTTCCAATTCTCTGAGCTTGGTGGGTTTCAGGTGGTGGATTTTGATGAAGTCAGTAGAGAAACAGGGAGTTAAGGAGGAATTAGGAGGAAATGTTTTTCTGCAATGATGAATCCCTGTGTTATCCCAGGTCCCACTTCCCAGAGCACCACGAGTACAGTTGTGTCAAGCACAACTGCCCCGCCCACACCAACCACGTCTGCCCCCACTACCACCTCTGGCACGACGCTCTCCAGCAGCACCGCCAGCAGCACCGTGAGCACCACTCCTATTACCAGCTCGCCCACATCCGGCCCGACTTCAGTCAGCACATCCACACCCAGGCCAACACCCACCACCTCCCTAACACCTCCACCCACGACAACGGAAGGTAATTGTCTGGCCATGCCTGTCACGTGTTGCCTTGTAGAGGGAGAGGTGAAGGCCTGTGAGCGCCTGAACTTAGGCTTCGTGTATGGGCTGAGGGCCGGGAGTAGTTGCTGAACGTTCCTCAGTGGAGCAGAAGCCCACAGGTAGTCCTGAATCTTGCTGTTTGGAGGCACGGCGAGAGCATTTGTCCTGGGCAGAAGGTGCCTTGTTCCCTGACACCGCGTGTCCTAGGAAAAGGTTTTCTCAGCTAGGGGCAGCGGGTTGTCTTAGGCCGGCAGGGGTCGGACTGGAAGTCTTCCTTTTGCTGCTGTCATATCTTGTCCTCAATCTAGAGAGAGCATTCCCTTAGGAGGCATCTCGTGTACGGGCTGTGGGCTTTTGTTTTGGGCACTCTGGTTTCTGGTGCTTGCAGGTCACAGACATTCTGACCTTCTGCCCTTTCTTCCTCTGCGTTTGTGTTCAATTCTTTTTAGTTCCTGCAGTGATTCTCTGTCAGTCATGTGTATGTTCACGTCCTGCTGATGGAGCATAAGCGTTTGATTGGAAGGCAGACGTTTCTGTACCTTGGGGTGTTTCTAAAATGCTTGTTGAGAACAGATTGAAGGAGGCAGCCCTTTGGCCTGAAGCGTGGGCTGCCCAGGAAGGTAGAAAAGCAGTTGGAGTTAAATGGCATGGCTAGGAAAAACGCTGTAGAATGGCTTACAAGACGGGAGAGGGGTATGGAGAAGAGTTTCAGTAGTTGTACTGGAGCCCCAGATGCGCGGGCAGGAAATTAGTTGTGGAGGGAAAACGGGCCTGATAGTTTCCTGCATTGGGAACGGTGGTCTTTCCATGGAATAGAGCGTGACAGCAAAAGGTAAGGAAGAATGAAGCCTAAGGATGATCGGAATGCATTCAGCTGGCTGAAGGGCTGCGGAGTTCTTGTCGCCTGAGCTACAAGCTTCACTGTGCACGCGGTGGTGAGATGCTGCATTGGTGGTAGACGTAGTGTTTGCATGTGTCTCCGAAGCAGGTTTTCGGAAACCTTGGTGCATAATTCCTGAATGACACAAATACTACTAATGAGACTGCGTCCTTCCCTACAGTCTCACCTTCTCGGGCTTGTGGTGGTGGAGCTTGATGAAGTCAGTAGAGAAATGAGGAATGAAAGAGGAAATGCAATTTGCCTGCTTGCAATGATGAAACCCTGTGTTTTCCCAGGTCCCACTTCCCAGAGCACCACAAGTACAAGCGTGTCGAGTAGCAGTGCCCCGCCCACACCAACCACGTCTGCCCCCACTACCACCTCTGGCACGACGCTCTCCAGCAGCACCGCCAGCAGCACCGTGAGCACCACTCCTATTACCAGCTCGTCCACATCTGGCCCGACTTCAGTCAGCACATCCACACCCAGGCCAACACCCACCACCTCCCTAACACCTCCACCCACGACAACGCAAGGTAATGTCTGGTCATCGCGTTACGTTTTTTCTTGTAGCTTTCCCAGCTGCACCTTTGCTTAATTAACGTGTGCCCCACGCCAGTTCTCATGCTTTCTATTTTACCGTGCAAAGAATTTGTTTGTCTTGGGCCGGAAGACCTGCAGATGTAGATAAATGGCATGGCAAGAAAAAATGCGGTAGAACGGTTTTCAAGACGTGAGAGCGTACGGAGTAGAGTTTGCTTACTGTTCTAGGGCCATATTGCTTGGAAGGAAAGTAGTTGTGGTGGGAGCGGATTTGCTGCATTGGGAACGGTGGTGTCCCCATGGGTTAGAATGTGACAGCAGTAGTGACGGAGGAGTGAAGCGTAAGGATGATTGGAATGCATTCAGCTGGCTTAGGGGCTGTGGAGTTCTTGGAGCCTGAGCATGGTCCTCACTGTGCACACGGTGTTTTGATGCAGTATTGGTCTTAGGTATAGTGTTTCCATGTGTCTCCCATGGAGGTTGTACGAAACCTTGGTGTGTAATTGCTGAACGAAAGTAATACCGCTAGTAAGATGTTCTGCTTTCCAATTCTCTGAGCTTGGTGGGTTTCAGGTGGTGGATTTTGATGAAGTCAGTAGAGAAACAAGGAGTTAAGGAGGAATTAGGAGGAAATGTTTTTCTGCAATGATGAATCCCTGTGTTATCCCAGGTCCCACTTCCCAGAGCACCACGAGTACAGTTGTGTCAAGCACAACTGCCCCGCCCACACCAACCACGTCTGCCCCCACTACCACCTCTGGCACGACGCTCTCCAGCAGCACCGCCAGCAGCACCGTGAGCACCACTCCTATTACCAGCTCGTCCACATCCGGCCCGACTTCAGTCAGCACATCCACACCCAGGCCAACACCCACCACCTCCCTAACACCTCCACCCACGACAACAGAAGGTAATTGTCTGGTCATTGCGTTATGTTTTTTCTCGTCGACTTTCTCTGCTGCACCTTAGTTGAATTAACGCTAGTTCTCACGCTTTCTTTTTTACTGTGAGAAGAGTGTTTTGTCTTGGACAGAAAGTCCCTTGTTCCTTTTCTCTGCACAGCTCTTTAGAACTTGTGTAATCCTGTAGCCTGCTACAAGAACTTTGACCAGACAGGATGTCCTTCTTTTGCTGCTTTGAGTTGCTTTCCTTCAGCTGGTGAGGTCCTTCTGTGTGCGAACCCGGTTTCAATTTGGCATGGAGCTTATTGTTGTGACACTTTTGTTTCAGGTCCTTTTGGGCGGTGGCTTTTCTGACCTTCTTCCCTTTCTTCTGCTGCTTGCCTTCGGTGCTTTTTGGGCACTGGCATGCCATTTTTCTGCTGGGAGAAGCATTTTTTCCCGTTGTGGGTTTCATGGGCTAGTCCTCAGATGGAAGCGTGGCACTTATTGCCATCAACACGTGCGTGATCCTCCCATCTGTTATCACCTCCTCCAAGTGATTGTGTCGTTCCTAATTGTTTACTTTTACTGATGTCCAACCGCAGTAGACTGCACCGTTCCGGAGGACTGCATCTGGACCGACTGGATCGATGTGAGTTACCCACAGTATGGCCCAGGGAATGGTGATGATGAGACCTTCGAAACAATTCAGAATAAGATCCCTTCATGGAACTGTACGAAGGCTGAGAACATTTCCTGCAGAGCTGAGAAATTTCCAGACACTCCTATAGAAGACTTAGGGCAGAAAGTGGAGTGTGATGTTAACACAGGACTCATCTGTAAAAATGACGATCAGACCGCAGGGGGTGTGATACCAATGCCAGTCTGCCTGAATTATCAGATCAAAGTCTGCTGTACACCACCATTAAGACCAGAGTGCACAACAGCTATCACGACTACAACCAGAGGAGAAACCAGCACAACGGTGTCTCTCTCACCGACAACAAGCACAATTTACACTCCGAGTGTGTCAAGCACAACTGCCCCGCCCACACCAACCACGTCTGCCCCCACTACCACCTCTGGCACGACGCTCTCCAGCAGCACCGCCAGCAGCACCGTGAGCACCACTCCTATTACCAGCTCGCCCACATCCGGCCCGACTTCAGTCAGCACATCCACACCCAGGCCAACACCCACCACCTCCCTAACACCTCCACCCACGACAACGGAAGGTAATTGTCTGGCCATGCCTGTCACGTGTTGCCTTGTAGAGGGAGAGGTGAAGGCCTGTGAGCGCCTGAACTTAGGCTTCGTGTATGGGCTGAGGGCCGGGAGTAGTTGCTGAACGTTCCTCAGTGGAGCAGAAGCCCACAGGTAGTCCTGAATCTTGCTGTTTGGAGGCACGGCGAGAGCATTTGTCCTGGGCAGAAGGTGCCTTGTTCCCTGACACCGCGTGTCCTAGGAAAAGGTTTTCTCAGCTAGGGGCAGCGGGTTGTCTTAGGCCGGCAGGGGTCGGACTGGAAGTCTTCCTTTTGCTGCTGTCATATCTTGTCCTCAATCTAGAGAGAGCATTCCCTTAGGAGGCATCTCGTGTACGGGCTGTGGGCTTTTGTTTTGGGCACTCTGGTTTCTGGTGCTTGCAGGTCACAGACATTCCGACCTTCTGCCCTTTCTTCCTCTGCGTTTGTGTTCAATTCTTTTTAGTTCCTGCAGTGATTCTCTGTCAGTCATGTGTATGTTCACGTCCTGCTGATGGAGCATAAGCGTTTGATTGGAAGGCAGACGTTTCTGTACCTTGGGGTGTTTCTAAAATGCTTGTTGAGAACAGATTGAAGGAGGCAGCCCTTTGGCCTGAAGCATGGGCTGCCCAGGAAGGTAGAAAAGCAGTTGGAGTTAAATGGCATGGCAAGGAAAAACGCTGTAGAATGGCTTTCAAGACGGGAGAGGGGTATGGAGAAGAGTTTCAGTAGTTGTACTGGAGCCCCAGATGCGCGGGCAGGAAATTAGTTGTGGAGGGAAAACGGGCCTGATAGTTTCCTGCATTGGGAACGGTGGTCTTTCCATGGAATAGAGCGTGACAGCAAAAGGTAAGGAAGAATGAAGCCTAAGGATGATCGGAATGCATTCAGCTGGCTGAAGGGCTGCGGAGTTCTTGTCGCCTGAGCTACAAGCTTCACTGTGCACGCGGTGGTGAGATGCTGCATTGGTGGTAGACGTAGTGTTTGCATGTGTCTCCGAAGCAGGTTTTCGGAAACCTTGGTGCATAATTCCTGAATGACACAAATACTACTAATGAGACTGCGTCCTTCCCTACAGTCTCACCTTCTCGGGCTTGTGGTGGTGGAGCTTGATGAAGTCAGTAGAGAAATGAGGAATGAAAGAGGAAATGCAATTTGCCTGCTTGCAATGATGAAACCCTGTGTTTTCCCAGGTCCCACTTCCCAGAGCACCACAAGTACAAGCGTGTCGAGTAGCAGTGCCCCGCCCACACCAACCACGTCTGCCCCCACTACCACCTCTGGCACGACGCTCTCCAGCAGCACCGCCAGCAGCACCGTGAGCACCACTCCTATTACCAGCTCGTCCACATCCGGCCCGACTTCAGTCAGCACATCCACACCCAGGCCAACACCCACCACCTCCCTAACACCTCCACCCACGACAACGCAAGGTAATGTCTGGTCATCGCGTTACGTTTTTTCTTGTAGCTTTCCCAGCTGCACCTTTGCTTAATTAACGTGTGCCCCACGCCAGTTCTCATGCTTTCTATTTTACCGTGCGAAGAATTTGTTTGTCTTGGGCCGGAAGACCTGCAGATGTAGATAAATGGCATGGCAAGAAAAAATGCGGTAGAACGGTTTTCAAGACGTGAGAGCGTACGGAGTAGAGTTTGCTTACTGTTCTAGGGCCATATAGCTTGGAAGGAAAGTAGTTGTGGTGGGAGCGGATTTGCTGCATTGGGAACGGTGGTGTCCCCATGGGTTAGAATGTGACAGCAGTAGTGACGGAGGAGTGAAGCGTAAGGATGATTGGAATGCATTCAGCTGGCTTAGGGGCTGTGGAGTTCTTGGAGCCTGAGCATGGTCCTCACTGTGCACACGGTGTTTTGATGCAGTATTGGTCTTAGGTATAGTGTTTCCATGTGTCTCCCATGGAGGTTGTACGAAACCTTGGTGTGTAATTGCTGAACGAAAGTAATACCGCTAGTAAGATGTTCTGCTTTCCAATTCTCTGAGCTTGGTGGGTTTCAGGTGGTGGATTTTGATGAAGTCAGTAGAGAAACAGGGAGTTAAGGAGGAATTAGGAGGAAATGTTTTTCTGCAATGATGAATCCCTGTGTTATCCCAGGTCCCACTTCCCAGAGCACCACGAGTACAGTTGTGTCAAGCACAACTGCCCCGCCCACACCAACCACGTCTGCCCCCACTACCACCTCTGGCACGACGCTCTCCAGCAGCACCGCCAGCAGCACCGTGAGCACCACTCCTATTACCAGCTCGCCCACATCCGGCCCGACTTCAGTCAGCACATCCACACCCAGGCCAACACCCACCACCTCCCTAACACCTCCACCCACGACAACGGAAGGTAATTGTCTGGCCATGCCTGTCACGTGTTGCCTTGTAGAGGGAGAGGTGAAGGCCTGTGAGCGCCTGAACTTAGGCTTCGTGTATGGGCTGAGGGCCGGGAGTAGTTGCTGAACGTTCCTCAGTGGAGCAGAAGCCCACAGGTAGTCCTGAATCTTGCTGTTTGGAGGCACGGCGAGAGCATTTGTCCTGGGCAGAAGGTGCCTTGTTCCCTGACACCGCGTGTCCTAGGAAAAGGTTTTCTCAGCTAGGGGCAGCGGGTTGTCTTAGGCCGGCAGGGGTCGGACTGGAAGTCTTCCTTTTGCTGCTGTCATATCTTGTCCTCAATCTAGAGAGAGCATTCCCTTAGGAGGCATCTCGTGTACGGGCTGTGGGCTTTTGTTTTGGGCACTCTGGTTTCTGGTGCTTGCAGGTCACAGACATTCTGACCTTCTGCCCTTTCTTCCTCTGCGTTTGTGTTCAATTCTTTTTAGTTCCTGCAGTGATTCTCTGTCAGTCATGTGTATGTTCACGTCCTGCTGATGGAGCATAAGCGTTTGATTGGAAGGCAGACGTTTCTGTACCTTGGGGTGTTTCTAAAATGCTTGTTGAGAACAGATTGAAGGAGGCAGCCCTTTGGCCTGAAGCGTGGGCTGCCCAGGAAGGTAGAAAAGCAGTTGGAGTTAAATGGCATGGCTAGGAAAAACGCTGTAGAATGGCTTACAAGACGGGAGAGGGGTATGGAGAAGAGTTTCAGTAGTTGTACTGGAGCCCCAGATGCGCGGGCAGGAAATTAGTTGTGGAGGGAAAACGGGCCTGATAGTTTCCTGCATTGGGAACGGTGGTCTTTCCATGGAATAGAGCGTGACAGCAAAAGGTAAGGAAGAATGAAGCCTAAGGATGATCGGAATGCATTCAGCTGGCTGAAGGGCTGCGGAGTTCTTGTCGCCTGAGCTACAAGCTTCACTGTGCACGCGGTGGTGAGATGCTGCATTGGTGGTAGACGTAGTGTTTGCATGTGTCTCCGAAGCAGGTTTTCGGAAACCTTGGTGCATAATTCCTGAATGACACAAATACTACTAATGAGACTGCGTCCTTCCCTACAGTCTCACCTTCTCGGGCTTGTGGTGGTGGAGCTTGATGAAGTCAGTAGAGAAATGAGGAATGAAAGAGGAAATGCAATTTGCCTGCTTGCAATGATGAAACCCTGTGTTTTCCCAGGTCCCACTTCCCAGAGCACCACAAGTACAAGCGTGTCGAGTAGCAGTGCCCCGCCCACACCAACCACGTCTGCCCCCACTACCACCTCTGGCACGACGCTCTCCAGCAGCACCGCCAGCAGCACCGTGAGCACCACTCCTATTACCAGCTCGTCCACATCCGGCCCGACTTCAGTCAGCACATCCACACCCAGGCCAACACCCACCACCTCCCTAACACCTCCACCCACGACAACGCAAGGTAATGTCTGGTCATCGCGTTACGTTTTTTCTTGTAGCTTTCCCAGCTGCACCTTTGCTTAATTAACGTGTGCCCCACGCCAGTTCTCATGCTTTCTATTTTACCGTGCAAAGAATTTGTTTGTCTTGGGCCGGAAGACCTGCAGATGTAGATAAATGGCATGGCAAGAAAAAATGCGGTAGAACGGTTTTCAAGACGTGAGAGCGTACGGAGTAGAGTTTGCTTACTGTTCTAGGGCCATATTGCTTGGAAGGAAAGTAGTTGTGGTGGGAGCGGATTTGCTGCATTGGGAACGGTGGTGTCCCCATGGGTTAGAATGTGACAGCAGTAGTGACGGAGGAGTGAAGCGTAAGGATGATTGGAATGCATTCAGCTGGCTTAGGGGCTGTGGAGTTCTTGGAGCCTGAGCATGGTCCTCACTGTGCACACGGTGTTTTGATGCAGTATTGGTCTTAGGTATAGTGTTTCCATGTGTCTCCCATGGAGGTTGTACGAAACCTTGGTGTGTAATTGCTGAACGAAAGTAATACCGCTAGTAAGATGTTCTGCTTTCCAATTCTCTGAGCTTGGTGGGTTTCAGGTGGTGGATTTTGATGAAGTCAGTAGAGAAACAAGGAGTTAAGGAGGAATTAGGAGGAAATGTTTTTCTGCAATGATGAATCCCTGTGTTATCCCAGGTCCCACTTCCCAGAGCACCACGAGTACAGTTGTGTCAAGCACAACTGCCCCGCCCACACCAACCACGTCTGCCCCCACTACCACCTCTGGCACGACGCTCTCCAGCAGCACCGCCAGCAGCACCGTGAGCACCACTCCTATTACCAGCTCGTCCACATCCGGCCCGACTTCAGTCAGCACATCCACACCCAGGCCAACACCCACCACCTCCCTAACACCTCCACCCACGACAACAGAAGGTAATTGTCTGGTCATTGCGTTATGTTTTTTCTCGTCGACTTTCTCTGCTGCACCTTAGTTGAATTAACGCTAGTTCTCACGCTTTCTTTTTTACTGTGAGAAGAGTGTTTTGTCTTGGACAGAAAGTCCCTTGTTCCTTTTCTCTGCACAGCTCTTTAGAACTTGTGTAATCCTGTAGCCTGCTACAAGAACTTTGACCAGACAGGATGTCCTTCTTTTGCTGCTTTGAGTTGCTTTCCTTCAGCTGGTGAGGTCCTTCTGTGTGCGAACCCGGTTTCAATTTGGCATGGAGCTTATTGTTGTGACACTTTTGTTTCAGGTCCTTTTGGGCGGTGGCTTTTCTGACCTTCTTCCCTTTCTTCTGCTGCTTGCCTTCGGTGCTTTTTGGGCACTGGCATGCCATTTTTCTGCTGGGAGAAGCATTTTTTCCCGTTGTGGGTTTCATGGGCTAGTCCTCAGATGGAAGCGTGGCACTTATTGCCATCAACACGTGCGTGATCCTCCCATCTGTTATCACCTCCTCCAAGTGATTGTGTCGTTCCTAATTGTTTACTTTTACTGATGTCCAACCGCAGTAGACTGCACCGTTCCGGAGGACTGCATCTGGACCGACTGGATCGATGTGAGTTACCCACAGTATGGCCCAGGGAATGGTGATGATGAGACCTTCGAAACAATTCAGAATAAGATCCCTTCATGGAACTGTACGAAGGCTGAGAACATTTCCTGCAGAGCTGAGAAATTTCCAGACACTCCTATAGAAGACTTAGGGCAGAAAGTGGAGTGTGATGTTAACACAGGACTCATCTGTAAAAATGACGATCAGACCGCAGGGGGTGTGATACCAATGCCAGTCTGCCTGAATTATCAGATCAAAGTCTGCTGTACACCACCATTAAGACCAGAGTGCACAACAGCTATCACGACTACAACCAGAGGAGAAACCAGCACAACGGTGTCCCTCTCACCGACAACAAGCACAATTTACACTCCGAGTGTGTCAAGCACAACTGCCCCGCCCACACCAACCACGTCTGCCCCCACTACCACCTCTGGCACGACGCTCTCCAGCAGCACCGCCAGCAGCACCGTGAGCACCACTCCTATTACCAGCTCGCCCACATCCGGCCCGACTTCAGTCAGCACATCCACACCCAGGCCAACACCCACCACCTCCCTAACACCTCCACCCACGACAACGGAAGGTAATTGTCTGGCCATGCCTGTCACGTGTTGCCTTGTAGAGGGAGAGGTGAAGGCCTGTGAGCGCCTGAACTTAGGCTTCGTGTATGGGCTGAGGGCCGGGAGTAGTTGCTGAACGTTCCTCAGTGGAGCAGAAGCCCACAGGTAGTCCTGAATCTTGCTGTTTGGAGGCACGGCGAGAGCATTTGTCCTGGGCAGAAGGTGCCTTGTTCCCTGACACCGCGTGTCCTAGGAAAAGGTTTTCTCAGCTAGGGGCAGCGGGTTGTCTTAGGCCGGCAGGGGTCGGACTGGAAGTCTTCCTTTTGCTGCTGTCATATCTTGTCCTCAATCTAGAGAGAGCATTCCCTTAGGAGGCATCTCGTGTACGGGCTGTGGGCTTTTGTTTTGGGCACTCTGGTTTCTGGTGCTTGCAGGTCACAGACATTCCGACCTTCTGCCCTTTCTTCCTCTGCGTTTGTGTTCAATTCTTTTTAGTTCCTGCAGTGATTCTCTGTCAGTCATGTGTATGTTCACGTCCTGCTGATGGAGCATAAGCGTTTGATTGGAAGGCAGACGTTTCTGTACCTTGGGGTGTTTCTAAAATGCTTGTTGAGAACAGATTGAAGGAGGCAGCCCTTTGGCCTGAAGCATGGGCTGCCCAGGAAGGTAGAAAAGCAGTTGGAGTTAAATGGCATGGCTAGGAAAAACGCTGTAGAATGGCTTTCAAGACGGGAGAGGGGTATGGAGAAGAGTTTCAGTAGTTGTACTGGAGCCCCAGATGCGCGGGCAGGAAATTAGTTGTGGAGGGAAAACGGGCCTGATAGTTTCCTGCATTGGGAACGGTGGTCCTTCCATGGAATAGAGCGTGACAGCAAAAGGTAAGGAAGAATGAAGCCTAAGGATGATCGGAATGCATTCAGCTGGCTGAAGGGCTGCGGAGTTCTTGTCGCCTGAGCTACAAGCTTCACTGTGCACGCGGTGGTGAGATGCTGCATTGGTGGTAGACGTAGTGTTTGCATGTGTCTCCGAAGCAGGTTTTCGGAAACCTTGGTGCATAATTCCTGAATGACACAAATACTACTAATGAGACTGCGTCCTTCCCTACAGTCTCACCTTCTCGGGCTTGTGGTGGTGGAGCTTGATGAAGTCAGTAGAGAAATGAGGAATGAAAGAGGAAATGCAATTTGCCTGCTTGCAATGATGAAACCCTGTGTTTTCCCAGGTCCCACTTCCCAGAGCACCACAAGTACAAGCGTGTCGAGTAGCAGTGCCCCGCCCACACCAACCACGTCTGCCCCCACTACCACCTCTGGCACGACGCTCTCCAGCAGCACCGCCAGCAGCACCGTGAGCACCACTCCTATTACCAGCTCGTCCACATCCGGCCCGACTTCAGTCAGCACATCCACACCCAGGCCAACACCCACCACCTCCCTAACACCTCCACCCACGACAACGCAAGGTAATGTCTGGTCATCGCGTTACGTTTTTTCTTGTAGCTTTCCCAGCTGCACCTTTGCTTAATTAACGTGTGCCCCACGCCAGTTCTCATGCTTTCTATTTTACCGTGCGAAGAATTTGTTTGTCTTGGGCCGGAAGACCTGCAGATGTAGATAAATGGCATGGCAAGAAAAAATGCGGTAGAACGGTTTTCAAGACGTGAGAGCGTACGGAGTAGAGTTTGCTTACTGTTCTAGGGCCATATAGCTTGGAAGGAAAGTAGTTGTGGTGGGAGCGGATTTGCTGCATTGGGAACGGTGGTGTCCCCATGGGTTAGAATGTGACAGCAGTAGTGACGGAGGAGTGAAGCGTAAGGATGATTGGAATGCATTCAGCTGGCTTAGGGGCTGTGGAGTTCTTGGAGCCTGAGCATGGTCCTCACTGTGCACACGGTGTTTTGATGCAGTATTGGTCTTAGGTATAGTGTTTCCATGTGTCTCCCATGGAGGTTGTACGAAACCTTGGTGTGTAATTGCTGAACGAAAGTAATACCGCTAGTAAGATGTTCTGCTTTCCAGTTCTCTGAGCTTGGTGGGTTTCAGGTGGTGGATTTTGATGAAGTCAGTAGAGAAACAGGGAGTTAAGGAGGAATTAGGAGGAAATGTTTTTCTGCAATGATGAATCCCTGTGTTATCCCAGGTCCCACTTCCCAGAGCACCACGAGTACAGTTGTGTCAAGCACAACTGCCCCGCCCACACCAACCACGTCTGCCCCCACTACCACCTCTGGCACGACGCTCTCCAGCAGCACCGCCAGCAGCACCGTGAGCACCACTCCTATTACCAGCTCGCCCACATCCGGCCCGACTTCAGTCAGCACATCCACACCCAGGCCAACACCCACCACCTCCCTAACACCTCCACCCACGACAACGGAAGGTAATTGTCTGGCCATGCCTGTCACGTGTTGCCTTGTAGAGGGAGAGGTGAAGGCCTGTGAGCGCCTGAACTTAGGCTTCGTGTATGGGCTGAGGGCCGGGAGTAGTTGCTGAACGTTCCTCAGTGGAGCAGAAGCCCACAGGTAGTCCTGAATCTTGCTGTTTGGAGGCACGGCGAGAGCATTTGTCCTGGGCAGAAGGTGCCTTGTTCCCTGACACCGCGTGTCCTAGGAAAAGGTTTTCTCAGCTAGGGGCAGCGGGTTGTCTTAGGCCGGCAGGGGTCGGACTGGAAGTCTTCCTTTTGCTGCTGTCATATCTTGTCCTCAATCTAGAGAGAGCATTCCCTTAGGAGGCATCTCGTGTACGGGCTGTGGGCTTTTGTTTTGGGCACTCTGGTTTCTGGTGCTTGCAGGTCACAGACATTCTGACCTTCTGCCCTTTCTTCCTCTGCGTTTGTGTTCAATTCTTTTTAGTTCCTGCAGTGATTCTCTGTCAGTCATGTGTATGTTCACGTCCTGCTGATGGAGCATAAGCGTTTGATTGGAAGGCAGACGTTTCTGTACCTTGGGGTGTTTCTAAAATGCTTGTTGAGAACAGATTGAAGGAGGCAGCCCTTTGGCCTGAAGCGTGGGCTGCCCAGGAAGGTAGAAAAGCAGTTGGAGTTAAATGGCATGGCTAGGAAAAACGCTGTAGAATGGCTTACAAGACGGGAGAGGGGTATGGAGAAGAGTTTCAGTAGTTGTACTGGAGCCCCAGATGCGCGGGCAGGAAATTAGTTGTGGAGGGAAAACGGGCCTGATAGTTTCCTGCATTGGGAACGGTGGTCTTTCCATGGAATAGAGCGTGACAGCAAAAGGTAAGGAAGAATGAAGCCTAAGGATGATCGGAATGCATTCAGCTGGCTGAAGGGCTGCGGAGTTCTTGTCGCCTGAGCTACAAGCTTCACTGTGCACGCGGTGGTGAGATGCTGCATTGGTGGTAGACGTAGTGTTTGCATGTGTCTCCGAAGCAGGTTTTCGGAAACCTTGGTGCATAATTCCTGAATGACACAAATACTACTAATGAGACTGCGTCCTTCCCTACAGTCTCACCTTCTCGGGCTTGTGGTGGTGGAGCTTGATGAAGTCAGTAGAGAAATGAGGAATGAAAGAGGAAATGCAATTTGCCTGCTTGCAATGATGAAACCCTGTGTTTTCCCAGGTCCCACTTCCCAGAGCACCACAAGTACAAGCGTGTCGAGTAGCAGTGCCCCGCCCACACCAACCACGTCTGCCCCCACTACCACCTCTGGCACGACGCTCTCCAGCAGCACCGCCAGCAGCACCGTGAGCACCACTCCTATTACCAGCTCGTCCACATCCGGCCCGACTTCAGTCAGCACATCCACACCCAGGCCAACACCCACCACCTCCCTAACACCTCCACCCACGACAACGCAAGGTAATGTCTGGTCATCGCGTTACGTTTTTTCTTGTAGCTTTCCCAGCTGCACCTTTGCTTAATTAACGTGTGCCCCACGCCAGTTCTCATGCTTTCTATTTTACCGTGCGAAGAATTTGTTTGTCTTGGGCCGGAAGACCTGCAGATGTAGATAAATGGCATGGCAAGAAAAAATGCGGTAGAACGGTTTTCAAGACGTGAGAGCGTACGGAGTAGAGTTTGCTTACTGTTCTAGGGCCATATTGCTTGGAAGGAAAGTAGTTGTGGTGGGAGCGGATTTGCTGCATTGGGAACGGTGGTGTCCCCATGGGTTAGAATGTGACAGCAGTAGTGACGGAGGAGTGAAGCGTAAGGATGATTGGAATGCATTCAGCTGGCTTAGGGGCTGTGGAGTTCTTGGAGCCTGAGCATGGTCCTCACTGTGCACACGGTGTTTTGATGCAGTATTGGTCTTAGGTATAGTGTTTCCATGTGTCTCCCATGGAGGTTGTACGAAACCTTGGTGTGTAATTGCTGAACGAAAGTAATACCGCTAGTAAGATGTTCTGCTTTCCAATTCTCTGAGCTTGGTGGGTTTCAGGTGGTGGATTTTGATGAAGTCAGTAGAGAAACAGGGAGTTAAGGAGGAATTAGGAGGAAATGTTTTTCTGCAATGATGAATCCCTGTGTTATCCCAGGTCCCACTTCCCAGAGCACCACGAGTACAGTTGTGTCAAGCACAACTGCCCCGCCCACACCAACCACGTCTGCCCCCACTACCACCTCTGGCACGACGCTCTCCAGCAGCACCGCCAGCAGCACCGTGAGCACCACTCCTATTACCAGCTCGCCCACATCCGGCCCGACTTCAGTCAGCACATCCACACCCAGGCCAACACCCACCACCTCCCTAACACCTCCACCCACGACAACGGAAGGTAATTGTCTGGTCATTGCGTTATGTTTTTTCTCGTCGACTTTCTCTGCTGCACCTTAGTTGAATTAACGCTAGTTCTCACGCTTTCTTTTTTACTGTGAGAAGAGTGTTTTGTCTTGGACAGAAAGTCCCTTGTTCCTTTTCTCTGCACAGCTCTTTAGAACTTGTGTAATCCTGTAGCCTGCTACAAGAACTTTGACCAGACAGGATGTCCTTCTTTTGCTGCTTTGAGTTGCTTTCCTTCAGCTGGTGAGGTCCTTCTGTGTGCGAACCCGGTTTCAATTTGGCATGGAGCTTATTGTTGTGACACTTTTGTTTCAGGTCCTTTTGGGCGGTGGCTTTTCTGACCTTCTTCCCTTTCTTCTGCTGCTTGCCTTCGGTGCTTTTTGGGCACTGGCATGCCATTTTTCTGCTGGGAGAAGCATTTTTTCCCGTTGTGGGTTTCATGGGCTAGTCCTCAGATGGAAGCGTGGCACTTATTGCCATCAACACGTGCGTGATCCTCCCATCTGTTATCACCTCCTCCAAGTGATTGTGTCGTTCCTAATTGTTTACTTTTACTGATGTCCAACCGCAGTAGACTGCACCGTTCCGGAGGACTGCATCTGGACCGACTGGATCGATGTGAGTTACCCACAGTATGGCCCAGGGAATGGTGATGATGAGACCTTCGAAACAATTCAGAATAAGATCCCTTCATGGGACTGTACGAAGGCTGAGAACATTTCCTGCAGAGCTGAGAAATTTCCAGACACTCCTATAGAAGACTTAGGGCAGAAAGTGGAGTGTGATGTTAACACAGGACTCATCTGTAAAAATGACGATCAGACCGCAGGGGGTGTGATACCAATGCCAGTCTGCCTGAATTATCAGATCAAAGTCTGCTGTACACCACCATTAAGACCAGAGTGCACAACAGCTATCACGACTACAACCAGAGGAGAAACCAGCACAACGGTGTCCCTCTCACCGACAACAAGCACAATTTACACTCCGAGTGTGTCAAGCACAACTGCCCCGCCCACACCAACCACGTCTGCCCCCACTACCACCTCTGGCACGACGCTCTCCAGCAGCACCGCCAGCAGCACCGTGAGCACCACTCCTATTACCAGCTCGCCCACATCCGGCCCGACTTCAGTCAGCACATCCACACCCAGGCCAACACCCACCACCTCCCTAACACCTCCACCCACGACAACGGAAGGTAATTGTCTGGCCATGCCTGTCACGTGTTGCCTTGTAGAGGGAGAGGTGAAGGCCTGTGAGCGCCTGAACTTAGGCTTTGTGTATGGGCTGAGGGCCGGGAGTAGTTGCTGAACGTTCCTCAGTGGAGCAGAAGCCCACAGGTAGTCCTGAATCTTGCTGTTTGGAGGCACGGCGAGAGCATTTGTCCTGGGCAGAAGGTGCCTTGTTCCCTGACACCGCGTGTCCTAGGAAAAGGTTTTCTCAGCTAGGGGCAGCGGGTTGTCTTAGGCCGGCAGGGGTCGGACTGGAAGTCTTCCTTTTGCTGCTGTCATATCTTGTCCTCAATCTAGAGAGAGCATTCCCTTAGGAGGCATCTCGTGTACGGGCTGTGGGCTTTTGTTTTGGGCACTCTGGTTTCTGGTGCTTGCAGGTCACAGACATTCCGACCTTCTGCCCTTTCTTCCTCTGCGTTTGTGTTCAATTCTTTTTAGTTCCTGCAGTGATTCTCTGTCAGTCATGTGTATGTTCACGTCCTGCTGATGGAGCATAAGCGTTTGATTGGAAGGCAGACGTTTCTGTACCTTGGGGTGTTTCTAAAATGCTTGTTGAGAACAGATTGAAGGAGGCAGCCCTTTGGCCTGAAGCGTGGGCTGCCCAGGAAGGTAGAAAAGCAGTTGGAGTTAAATGGCATGGCTAGGAAAAACGCTGTAGAATGGCTTTCAAGACGGGAGAGGGGTATGGAGAAGAGTTTCAGTAGTTGTACTGGAGCCCCAGATGCGCGGGCAGGAAATTAGTTGTGGAGGGAAAACGGGCCTGATAGTTTCCTGCATTGGGAACGGTGGTCTTTCCATGGAATAGAGCGTGACAGCAAAAGGTAAGGAAGAATCTCCTTTACTTCTTCATTGGAACTACTGCTGGTAATGTTTTGGTCTTTCCTTCAGGTGTTGCATTTTGTTGTTAACAGTGTTTCCATCTGTTAGCACTTGATTTTATTCTTTCTTTGTGATTCGAGGTCTGTTAAGGCTATCTTTTTGTACTGCTTATAAAGACTGGATCTTCAGGTGGTGTTTACAAACTTGGTGTTTTAGGGGTAGGAGCGTGCGTTTGTTAACAGGAGAATGATTATTGTTCATTTATCCAGATGTGGTGGAATTTTTTTGTCAGTTAGAGTCAGCTGATTCACTGATGTACGTAGTGATAATATGTGGAGTATTACCATTCGTACTGTGAGGTCTCATCCTTTAGCTCTAGAGAATATCTTGATTTGTAGGCCTCTTGCATAGAGGAAGTGTTCTTGTTCTTGTTACACTTTTATTTCAAGTTCTGCTAGACCTTGGATTTTTAGGTCTTCTGTCCTTTTTTTACAGCTTTATTCCTGTACTCTTATGTGCAGGTATTGAATTTTTTATCTGCCATGTGTACCTTCACTTCATGTTGTACGAGAGCATTCAAGATGTTCCTGATTATGGTCTCCGTCTGTCATGAAGAAATTTTAATATTATGCTTGTTGACAACAGTTTTAAAGGTCCTTCCTTACGGCCTATGGCTTGATCACCTTCAAAGCAGTTATGCAATTAGGCATTTAATTTTAATGACTATGAAAGGAATGAGAGGGTGGTTTTGGAGACCTGAGAGATTTATAGAGCAGAGTTTGCTCTTTGATCTTCTCAGTGCCAGTCAGGCCAGTAGCTTGGATCACAGGCATTTCTGTTGGATACAGGCTCTGTGATTTCATGCAGTGTGAACTGTGATCCCTCTTCTTTCACTCTAATGTACTCCACCTCCAAAATTCTTAACATTTCTGTCCAAGCTACCTGAATTTTGTTGTCTAGACATGCTGTCTCCTGTTTCCTTTCAGGGTGAGATGGCTCCCTTACTTTGTGCTCTTTGTATGACATCAGGGTGGGTACTAACTGTTCAACTGTCTGTTTTCTCAGGAACTTCTTCGTACAGCACTACGAGTTCTTTTAGCAGCGAAGGTACGACCACAGTGTCTGAGAGCTCTTCAACAGCTTCAGTTTCTACACCCATTAGTACACAAACTACAGCAGCATCCTCTCCATTGTTGACTCCATCTGGCAGTATGTCACCACCTTCAGTTTCAACAGTTCCATCAACAGTCACAACATCTGGAACAACTCCTACGAAGCCCTTTACCACCACTTCAGGAACAACCTCTAGTTCTTCTAGTACTGTCACTGCAACCTCCATTACCACCTCAGAAATTGTTTCTTCTGGTTCAGCAACTACTTCTGGGACAACTCCTATATCAAGTACAGTCAGCGTTTCAGGAAGCTCTACATACAGTACAGTTACTACACTCAGTACTTTAAGTTCAACTACCAGTGCCAGCTCTAATTGTACGATTTCACCTGATGAATCTTATGCGGTTAGTGAATTTAATTATGTTTATTTTTATCATTGTGCTTTGGTAGGAGTCTAGGTGAATGTTCAGAGTGCATGTATTAATCTGGATAGAAATTAACTATCAGTCCATTTTGTTTGTCCCCGTTCTGTTGGGTATCAGCCTGACTTCTAGTGAATTCTTATTTTATAGTGTTTATGCTGACATTAGTTCTTCAATAATAGTTTTAAAAAAATCTTTCTTCAAGGTGTTAGATTGCAGCTCAATCCTTCTCTTTCTCATCAAAAAGTTTTCTGAGGAGGTAACCAAGGGCTAAAAGGCAGTAAATTCTCTTCGCTTTTTTCTACTTTTGAATAGGTCTAGTGTGTGATCAGAAGTTTGTTGTATTCATAGTACAGCCCAAGAAAATTAAGGGCTGAACTAAGTCTGTCTTGGTTGTAGACTGATTTAAAGAGCTAACTTTGGAACAGAACACCATATTCAATGATTTTTTCACTCCAATTCTAAGGTTTTTGGAAAGTTCTAATTATGCAGGGATAAAAATTATTGAATGGCTGAGAAACTCAAGCAAGATGGAAAAAAATGCCTACATTCACAACGCATGCATATAGTGATGTAATACATTACACTCCAAGTAGCTTGTTTTCACTGTAGCTTCCGTAGACGTCTGTGAACAGAGTTGATCATATCCTCTCTTTCCCTGTCTAGGTGGTGAAATTAGATATCTAACTTTTAAACAAATTAAACTTGAAAAAAGCAATTCCCCTTTTTGTTTACTGGCTTAGCGGTTATAATTATGCCTTTCACTCAGCAACTTTGAATAAATCTAGCTTTCAGGCCTTAATGGTGCTGAATGTTGTTCTTCTTTCCCAGTTTCAGACTTCTGGTGGGAAGAAAATTGCCAATAAACACATGGCATTTTAAAACTTTGTAGAAGATATTCAGGCATAAATGTTAGTAGTCTGATTCAAACTGACTGCTTCATAAGGCTTTTTTTTTTTTTTTTTTTTTTTTTTTAACTTCTTTCCAAATACAGCCAGGCGAGTCGTGGTGGCTGTGTAACTGCACCAAGGCTATATGTGTAGAAAACAATACTGTTGTGATTGTTCCAGTAATCTGTGAGCCACCTCCTAAACCCACCTGTTCCAATGGGCTCGCTCCTGTGCAAGTCATTGATGATGATCAGTGCTGTTGGCATTGGGAGTGTGATTGTAAGTATAATATTCTGTGTAATATTTTATTTCCTATGGGAACAGTACAACTGTAAAGAGCAGCACTATTTATTGAGGACAAATATTGTGCAAGATGTGCTCTAAGACACATCTGGTCTGTTTAGAGTGCTTCATTGGTTCTTTTTGGCTAAGTGGGGGACTTTACTTTGATTTCCGTCATTTCAATATAACAGTTTTGCCAGTAGAACCAATTGTTCTCCTAAGAGGTTTTAAATGTCCAGATGCAGACATCTATAGACTGCAAATCTGCATATAGTTGTTTCGGCAATCTGTAATGGTACTTCTAGGGCACGATTAGTCCTATTCTTTGTTGTCATTTAGAAATAAGTTGGATAAACAGTGCCTTGCAAGTTCCTGGATTCTTTTCTGTTTTGGGTAAGTTCTAGAAAAGTGCTCGTGCATTGACAGATATACTTTAAATATTTAAATTCTTCAAGTTAGAGTAGGTGAATCTCACACCTACAGGTTTTATTTGTAGTCTGATTGGATTCTGGATGTTTCCATAAGTTGCTAACCTGGCTGTATGTTTTTGCAGGTTACTGCACTGGCTGGGGAGACCCACATTATTTGACTTTTGATGGATTGTACTACAGCTATCAAGGGAATTGCACATATGTTCTTGTGGAAGAGATTGAAAAAACAGTTGACAACTTTGGTGTCTACATCGATAACTACCATTGTGACGCACAAGATGTAGTTTCCTGTCCACGAGCAATCATTGTGAGACATGAGACTCAGGAAGTGCGCATTGAAACAGTGAAACCAAATACCCTGGAAGTAGAGGTATTGGAGGAAGTTACCTTTCATTTCTTGACAGAAATATTAATAAGTCATCAACCTCGTAATTATATTCACAGCATTAGGAGAAAATTAGAAATTGAACGTGTGTTTCAGATTTTAAAACGTTTTGGATTATAGTACTGCATTGAAGGAATGCTTTTCTGAATCTGAATGCTGGGAAGAGTTTCAACAACTCCTTTCCTTTTTTATTACAAATCTTTGCAGTGTGTTCTCTCTCACAAGTGCGTAAATACGGATGAATGGCTAAGAGTTAAGGTTATAAAATAAATTAATTTACAATTGATATTTGTGTAAGAAGGGAAAAGATTAGATTTTGATTGGGAGGATACAATGTAAACTAGACATTGGAATTAAAGAACTGGGCTTACCCATTTTAAAAAACAATTATTACTAGCTTTGATTGGTATTCTTAAATTTTTCAGAAAAGAGACTCTTATGTGTTTAACTGATAAATATCATTCCCAATTTTGGGGATTCAAAATTGAGAGAGAAGTGTTTGTTTTTAGACTTGACTTGTCCAGTTTTCATTGAACATTACTGTATAGGAGTATTATGAATTAGTTTGATATAAATGCATCACAAAAGACGGTTGTAAGTATCCTGGATGCATTAGGCAGTACTTAATGCCCTAGTCATCCCAAGAAATCTGTAGAGTGTTTAAACTCCTAAGTATATTCTAATTTATTAATGACTGATAGGACTTTCCGGCTTGGAGAAGGCAAGTTTGGCTTTCCAGTATCATATAAGGAAAAACAGGGACATTTCTTATAAACTAAAAGTGTTTACAAATTTATCTCCAATGCAAAGTAATGAACAGTTGATTGTTTTCTAAAGTCAAATGAAATGTATGTCTCTTTTTTGTTTTCTTTTATTTACTAGGTGACTGTAAATAAACAGGCTGTGGCTTTGCCTTATAAGAAATTTGGCTTGATGATCTATGAGTCAGGCATAAATAGTGTAGTGGAAATTCCTGAGCTTAAAATGAATGTGACCTTCAATGGCTTGTCATTTTCTATCAGAATGCCCTACAGCCTGTTTGGAAACAACACTCAAGGACAGTGTGGTAAGGCTTATTCTTATGTTTTTTTGTACTTTCAGAAAACTACAAACAGGTAAATCACAGCCCTGCCATAAAGATGAATGGCATTTGATAATGAATCTGTGAGTGAATTCTTTTTTCTCTTATCCATTTTAGGCACTTGCAGTAACAACACAGCAGATGATTGCAGGTTGCCAAATGGAAATATTGCAGAAAACTGTGAAACCATGGCAGATTATTGGCAAGTTGTTGATCCATCCAAACCACAGTGCTCTCCAGGCCTAATTCCTACAAAAGCACCTAGCACAACAACGGGGCAGCCTTGCAAAGAATCTTCCCTCTGTGAGCTTCTTTGGGGAAGGTAGGCATGCATTCCTCTGGTGTTTATATAAGCATTTGATTTTCAAGTGTGATGACAGTTTTGGGGTTCATTTCTCAATAAAAATGTTTCTAACTACTCTCCTATCTTTTGCAGCTCTGTGGGTTTCTCGGCTTTCTTCTGTTTCTTTTGTCATTTTAAGATGTCATCCTTTGCTGACAGATTTTACTCACAATCCTCTGGCTGCTACATTAGCCTTACTTGATGCTCTTACATTCTTTTGTGCTGCCTTCCGCTCTGGTGGAGTGGTCTTTGTCCATGTTCTCTGAGCAGCAAAGAGACCAACTGAAAAAAAATCTTAGTTTTTTGAACCTAGTGTCAGAATTAAAAAGTGAAAACTAGCTAATGACTGTACTTCATAATATTCATGTAGCTCCTGGAGTGAAAATATTGGTGCATAGGTGTATTGTGGATGAGAGGAGAATATTGTAAAATACGTTGGAAGGTTGCAGTCTAGTCAGATGCTCTTAGTGGAAATCTGTCAATAATAATCCTGGTTCACATCTCCTGAAGTGTCACTTTTACCACAATATAACATGCTTAGCACATTGGAGAAATCATGTATAATTCAGTAACTAATAATGATGTACTTTTCTATTTTTAGTGTGTTTGAGAAGTGCCATGCAGTTGTTAAGCCTGATAAGTACTACGCAGCTTGTGTTTTTGATAGCTGTATGCTTCCCGACTTAGACCTGGAATGCTCAAGTCTGCAGATCTATGCAGCTGTCTGTGCAGATCAAAATGTCTGCATTGACTGGAGAAGTCATACCAACGGTGTTTGCTGTAAGTATTTGGCCATTTATCTTGAACTGTTAAGGGAATCTTGTATTGAACTTTTATTTCAGCTATTTCAGTTTAAACCACAGGAATCTGGTGCTAGCAGCAACAGTAGCTGCTGATGCTTGCAGGGTGCCTGGAGGGCATCTGAGGAGCTTTCCAAGTCACTGCCCTCCTTGGGCTGTGTGTGTGTGGAGGGGCTGGCTGGCACACAGCAGGTCTAAGGAGAGGGCCAAGTGAGAGTATGGGAGTGCTGGCTGCCCCAGCTATCAGTTCACAGGGATCTGCATAGAACCAGCCACTATGGAGCTCCAGCAACCAAGGCTTTCCAACAACGAGTGGCATCTTTTGGGATGTATGTCTTCTTATTGAACTGTTATGCAAATAGGAAATGCATAGGCAGTGAAACTGATGTCATGTGTCCTGGGAAGAATACAGGGACAGTGTCTGGATGGAATCAGGAAAGCTAACTGATAATTAGAGCTGAATTTAGCAAGGAATGTGAAAAATGATAAGATGGGCTTCTACAGGTATTGCTAGTCAGAAAAGCCTCACTTTTCTCTGGTAATCATCCTTGCCACGTATCTCAAGTCCAGACAAGCAGGGACTGGGATATCAAAGTCCTTCCCATTGTAATAGAAGAGCAGATGTGAGACCGTCTGATGAACTGGAACATACACAAGTCCATGAGACCTGACAAAGAGTATCCCAAAGGGAACTCGCTGATGGAGCTGCTAACCCACACTCCATCAGATTTGAAAAGTCATGGTAGTTAGGAAAAGGACCAATGCTAATCGATGGCATCGATAGTGGGATTGAGTGCACCCTCAGTAAGTTTGCAGGTAATACAAAGGGAGTGATGCAGTTGATATGCCATCCAGATAGACCCTAACCTGATGTGGGCCCATGAAATCTACTGAGGCCAAGTGCAATGTGCTGTACCTGGGTCAGAACAAAATTGCCAATATCACTGCAGACTAGGTGATGGAATTCTGCGCCTGCAGTACTGTGTCCAGTCCTGGAGTGCTTGTATGTGAAAGATATGGGTGTGGTAGAGTGCATCCGAGGAAAGTTGCAAAAATGATCAGAGGGTTGGAGCATCTCTTTTGTGTAGAGAGTCTGAGAGAACTGGGGTTGTTCAGCCAGAAGAAGAAGGCAGTGGGGAGACCTTATTGCAGCCTTTCAATAAATAAAGACAGTGAATAAGAAAGATGGGGAAAGAGTTTCTACCAAGGCCTGTAGTAACACAATAATTGGCAAGAATAAAAGGCGCAGTAATTTTAAACTGAAAGAGGGTAGCTGTAGATTGTATACAGTGTATAGACTGTATAGAGTGTATAGAGTGTAAAGAGGGAAGAAATGTTTAATGATTAGTATGGTGAGATAGTGGATCAGGCTACCCAGAAAAGTTGTGGTTGCACTATCATTGAAAGTGTTCAAAGCTGTGTTTAACAGGACAATGTGATCTAGTGAAAAATGTACCTGCCCATGTCAGGGAATTCGACTACATAATCTTAATGAGTCCCTCCAACCCAAACCATTCTATAATAATGCCTTAATGATAGGTTATATTTCTTTCTGAGCAATTAAGACATGAATAAATCACACCAATAAATAATTTCTTCAAGTTATTTTCAGGTGTATTTTTAACAATAGAAGTAATAAATGAGCCTGCAAAAATACACATCCATTTACTGTGTCTGAAAGATCTGTATTAGTAGATATGTCTCTTTTTTTTTCACACAGTCAACTGTGTATTTTGCAGATACTGGCAGATGACTCATTTATTTAGTGTAATCAAAAGAGAATGGCAGGGTAGGAATACATGTCCCTTTAAGAACTTATACAAAAGAGATCTCAATTATGACAAAATTGTAATCAAGATGTAGTTTCCTGGCTTTATCTCCTTGAATGTAAACAGTGGTGCTGTGTGGTAAAATTGCTTGAGTCTGATATCTATTTAACCTCTTTGCTTCTTAAGGTTGTCAAGCGTTCATAGGAAAATGAGTACTTAATGTTTAATTCCTTGCCATAAGGTCATGAGAACTTTGTATGATATTCTTATTGAGCTCTTCCTCTTTTTTATTCTCCCATTCCAGCTTATGAATGTTCCAAACATAAGGAATATAGAGCATGTGGTCCTATTCAAGAGACAACCTGCAAATCAAGGTAAAGAATTCCTCCACTGTTAGTTACATCTCATACAAGTGTTCAGCCATATTTGAAGCATATGTTGCTGAGAGAAATCAACCAACCTCCTGTCACTGACTATTTCATTTGTTACCACTATTCTCTTGATCCTAAATGCAGATGCCTGTACTTTTTATGTTGTTCAACTAAACCAAATGCAAACAATGGCAACTTCTAAATCTCAGAAGTACAAATTATTTGCACCTGTATTTTCAGTTAATAGTTATTCAGCTTAACCTTCCTCTGTATGCCTGTGATAGTAAAGGTTTTCCTCTGAACATTTTGTCTCACACAGTACACATAATGAAACTTCAGTTAAACAAGTGGAAGGCTGTTTCTGTCCTAATGGTACAATGCTGTATGACTCTGGTGTGGATGTCTGTGTACACACCTGTGGTGAGTTTTACTACTTCAGTTGGGTACTTATTTGTTTCCTCTTTATTTTGTTCTGATGCATTCAACATAGATCTGACTGTATGTGGTATTCATACACTGTATTCATACAACATATAGTGAAGATGTCTACTGCTATTTGAGTAGTAATCAAATTTATTTTGATGTTCTCACAGGCTGTGTTGGATTGGATCTGATACCAAGAGAGGTATGCTGCCATTTGCTTTTGTATTTCAAGGCGAGGTTGGGTATGGGGAGAAGAAAGTAGTCTGGAGCAGTTTTGTGGTTCCCCAGCTTTTCATTGCTGTTTTCATTGTTGTTCTCTATGCAATCATTCACTTTATTTTCTTTAATGACAGTTTGGAGAAAAGTTTATAGTAGACTGCCAGGACTGTGTTTGCCTGGAAGGTGGAAATGGCATTGTATGTGAACCTCACACATGTCCTGAACAAAATATCAGGAATTGTTCTGGGAAAGGCTTCTATGAAGTCACTGAAGTCAACTCTGAAGATTCCTGCTGCCCCATTGTCACTTGCAGTGAGTTAATGCTTTTGTTTCTAGTCTTTCTCTATTCTTTAGGAACAGAAAGGAAAAGAGCTTAGGTAAGCGTTGAAGACATGAAGTAGGGAGCCAAGAAATATGTTTTCTTAAATCTTTTTGTCCAATGTTAAATAAAATTAAAAAAATAAATAAATAGTGAATTTAATAATGCTGTGACACAACATGGAATTTTCTGTTCTGGGATTCAACATAACTGCATCTACAGTTCTTGAATTTAGAATCAGATTTTTTTTCAAGTAAAATTCAGTCGGGTCGCAGAATTCGCTGTGGCTGTATGGTTTTCATTTTGCAACAATTGCCTACACTCTTGGAGAGAGAGATTTCTTAGCAAAGAGTTGTGGTACTTTTCTTACACTTGGTAATTATGTACTAGGGAAAAAAAAAAAAGAGTGTAGTTCCCCATCCAGTGCCGGATGCCTGGATTCACTAGGAAAAATGCATCTTCCATGTGTAATTTGTTTCTTTGGAGAGGGTCTGGAATATTTATTAGCAAGGAAATATTGCTTAAATGGGGATTCTGAGAGATACCTTTTCTTACCTGTGATTTAATGTAATTTCTGGGTTATTCCTTTTTTTTTTTTTTTTTTTTTTTTTTTTTTTTTTTTTTTTTCAGAATGCAACACAAGTTTGTGCACAACTGAACCCCTCAAGTGTACGCAGGGATTTGAAGTTCATTCTTATATTCCCAGTGATGAGTGCTGTCCTGTGTACCAGTGTGGTAAGTCCTTTGGAAATGTGTTTTAAATGATTAGCATTATATATTATGTAATTTAGTATTAGATTTAATGAGACGGCATGCAGTACCCTAATGAAAGCAGTCAGATTCCATGAATTGGTTACTATTAACTTTTTTTTAGTAATATTGTGGTATTACAACTATGTAATTAGAGTTCAACTGAAGTTTTTCCTGCTTGTAGGTGCCTGTAGAAACTGCTATAGAATTAACTGAGATTGTGGTCTCAGCTTAACCTAGCAAAATGTCCTTGTTAATGCATCTAGGAGAAGATAGATTGTTGATAATTGATACAAGGAACTTCTTGTAACTGTTACATGGACATTATTGGCTAGGAACTGGACTATGTGAATTGGGTTAAAGGTTCCTCCCTTGTTGCTCATTAAGTATTTGTTCTTTTACTTTACGTACACCACATCTGCTACCAGAAATGTGGAATAACCAATGTATTTGAACAAGAGCATTGCAATTCACTGTGGAAGAAATGAGTGTGACTAGAGTGGAGTAAGGACTTTTTTTCTCTGATGTAACTGCCTGTCTCCTTTCTTGTTAACAGTTCCCAAGAACGTTTGTGTACATCAGAATGCTGAGTTCTTGGTAAGTTAAGACTATTTCAATAGCCTTCTGAGAATGCTTAAAAGACCATTCAGCATACTTTAACAGAAGTGCTATAAGGAAGTTTATCCAGCAATATTTTAGAAATTTTCAATTTTCTTCAGGGATTTTTCAGCTCAACAGTGTTTAAATATTTTTTGAAAAGGTTGCTGTGAATAGAGAGTTGTTTTTAAATGTCAGTATCAGAGCTAGATTTGGCTTTAGAGTGAAGTGTTTATGCATTTTAGAAAGTCAATCCATGCTTACTGTCAGTACTTCATTTCAATTTTAATTTTAATGCTTTCAGAAATTATTTGTAAAGAAAGATTACTCTGAGCAGACATAGATCCCTAATAATTTCTTTATGGTCTAGTAACTATTTTCTTACATATGTTTATATGACTCCTTAGCTTTTAATATCTGAGTTTATCTTTGCTATATAGGAGTTCAATAAACACATATGAAGTTTAATTCAATATTATTTATACTGTCTTCATAAACAACTAGACAAATATATTTCCAGTGATGTTCATGATAAATTCCTATTCCATGGTTTGGTTTAGAGGTTTTTTGGGAAATAAAAAATGTCTATTACATGCCATATCTCATTAACATATGAAACTTTGTTTCTTTAAATTTACAGCCTAATTCCTCAGTCTTTGTTGATAAGTGTCACGATTGCTTCTGCACTAATGAAGTTAACATCAGCACTCAACTGAATGTCATCTCCTGTGAACACATTCCATGCAACACATACTGTGAACCAGTAAGTGATGAATGTAAAACTAACAAAATTAACAAACATAATATCCATGTCCATAAAAAACATTGTGATTAATGAGTTGCATCTATTATGTATGGGGGGCAGAAAGTGAGAATCCAGCTACAGCATGGACACTAACTGTTGTTGAGCTATCTATTTTGTGTAGCTTGATAGTATAACCAACAGTTCACCCTGGGAGGATTAGCTAAGAAATGTCTGAAGCAGTGCACTTAATGGAATGATACTTAGTTTTTAGGCATACTTACCAAAGTCTTTAGTTTATTCCATCTGTAGCCTTTTAACCATTGTAACCATTCTAGAGTATGCTTCAAGGCATAAGCAATTCATGGGTTGGTATGTTTTCAATTATTTTTCCACAGTACATCTATCACTGCTGTTATTTCAATCTAATTTTACTATGTAGGGATACGAACTGAAACAAGTAGAAGGTGAATGTTGTGGAAAATGTGTGCAGACAAAGTGTATTATACATACATCACATGGTTCCAGTCTCATATTGAATGTAAGTATGCTCTACATGTTACTTCTCTACCAAATTTGTGAATGTTCTTTTTTCAAAGATAAGGCTTTATGTAACTTCACATCTGAAATATCAACAACATACCTAATGCAAAGACAATCTACAATATCTTGGCCTGAAGGATTAATGAAATCAAATTTTCTGAAAGGCTTTTTGAGGAATGACAAGACAGTAATATCATGGAAAGGTTTTTGTATTGTTTGCTTATTTATTTATTTATTGGTGATTAGAAGCTTGAAATTTTCTCTATTATTTAGTTTCTGTATACTGAAGAATGTTAGAAAAGCCTGTATATGAAACAATCTTATTGTCCCTATTTAGGTTTCCCTAAGCAAAATTCATAGGCATGAATGACTTTGCCAGTATTGTTAATGTACTTTAAGTGCTGCAAGTGCTGTTTTTTTCATGTAAAACTGAAGATTCTCTCCACTTGTGGCATACTGAAATGTACACAAAATTCTGTATTCAAAGTTGCTGTTAACCTAACTGAGAAACAGTAAGAAAGTCATTTTCAGAGCAGAGAACCATTTCATTCTGAGCTCCCTTCACCTTTTCCTGTTACATTTTGTATTTCACTTGCAGCCTGGAGAGTTTACAAATGATCCTTACAACAACTGCACCGTTTACAGTTGTACAAATCTCCAGAACCAGCTTATCCCTTCCACATCTGAAATTATGTGTCCTGCATTCAGTGAGGAGAGCTGCAAACCTGTAAGTACATATGGAAAACGTACCCTCAATGCATAAATTGCTTCAGTTGAGTTCATTCACCTAATTAAACAATGTCTCATTGATTCTGATGATCATTCTCCAAAGTTTCTCTGTCCAATGGCACAGATTTCTGCTTCATCTGTGTGCAGACCTACAGAGTGTATTAAATAAGATATGTGACTGAGAGTTTAAGATTCTTCTGTCAACTCTCTTAGTAGCCAAAAAAAACTGGTCGTGTCTAAAAAAGAACCACGTTTTTTGAATGTCACAGAAATACAAGCTGTCCAGTCAGTAGGCAGTAACACCATGTACCATACAAGTATAGAAGTCTCTGAGAAAATATTCTGTGACTTTTTTTGAATGGTTTGATGGTTATTGTAGACTTCCTTCAAAACTTCACCTGTATTTCTACGGTCCTCAGTAAAAATTGATAGATTTCAAGTCTGTTATAGACCATTTCATTCGTTTATTCTCATGAGTGCTAGAGTTTTAGCTAGTAATTTCTAGCCATTGAAAAATAGCTCTCCTCTTTTATTGAACTAAAAACGTCTTTAATACAGGAAAATAAAATAATACTATTTTTCCTGTCTTTTTTTGTTTTTAGGGAACTATTACACTCTTACCTAATGGTTGTTGCAAAACCTGTAAGTATGTCGGTGTACCTGAATTAACAGTACAGAAAACGGATTTTCTTCTTAAATCAGCCCATTTTATTATGCAGAGGCTGATATGTTTGTATTTACATAGATGCACCTGTGTTTATGTTTGTTACTCCAAGCATTCAGTGCCCAAACTGTATGGGAGGGTTTAAACTGAAGCAGAAAGACTTCTCAAGACAATTCTTCCAGTGCACTAGCAAAGCCAAGTGTACTGAACTTCAGGGAAAAAATGGAGCTATTTCACTGAAAGCATTTTCTGATCTTTTCCTTTAGGTGAACCTCTGGATAGCCCCACACCATGCTTTGTCCGTGAGAGAGAAGACTTTATTGTCTATAAGAACTGCCGTTCTCTGGAGAGAGTTGTCCTGACTGAATGTGAAGGAACATGTGAAACTTTTTCACTGTAAGTAAACTGATTGGACAATGAGATTTGAATTCTGCAACTGACATTGTTTATGTAAAAGGAACAAAAAATTGATGGACTACAGAGTAGCAGAAGACGAAAACTATCAACTCCCAAACTCAAGGGCACAAAATCATGAAATCTCTGACTCAGCAGTTGATTCACAACACAAAGCAGAAAAGGGTACTGGATTGCATTGGGATTAGGACAGCTATGGCAAGTTCCATTTATGTTAAGAGGTGACTCGTCTTTCATTTGTGTCAGACTGTCTTGGACAGAAGTCACTGCAAGAGAATATGGATTGTTTCCCGTAATGTGAATGAGATCAGAGAGTAGCCAGTCTTGATATTCATAAGCTGAAAAGCTGCCTTTCAAGAGTTAGCATATAAACATATAGATTAACATAGAAAATGAAATAGGCATGTATCTTTTCAAACATGCACAATTTTTATACAGTAAAGAATTGAGAAAACAAATGCCTTAGGAGTTGCATTGGTAATTTCATTATATGTTACTCCCTAAAAATCTGCAAGAAAGTGGCTAGTGTGACACACGATATCAAGCTATTAAAACACATCAGAATAATATAATTCTAGATTCCCAAATAAACTGTCACTTGCTGCCTGTTGCTGCATGTACCACTGGGTACCTTACATGAAAGAAAACTGGTTTTACTCTGAGATTGAACTCCAGTTAGCCAGATGGTTTTATTAGCATTTTCAAATACCTCACAGTCTTAGAGTCCTGTTGGAGCTGCCTCTGCATGCAAGCATAAGAAAAAGATGGCTCTTGACAGAGTTCATGGTGAAGTCTGATATGAACAAATTCTGCATGTCAGCATTGGTGATGGACAAAATGCTGCAAAAAAAGACCCTACTGTGAGACAGCAACAGAAGGAGCTACTGGTTCCTCTTCTTGTTAACACTGCTTGTTTTGGAATACACACTTGGATTCATCTGATACAACTGTACCTCTTGCAGCCGATTGATATGATGTCTTTATAGGTGGCATTGTAGCCACAAGGCTCAGCAGTTTTCTTTCTCAGCTCAGGGCTGCATCTGCCCTTAGTTGTTTGATCCAGCGTGTTTAAAATCTATCGTGCTGGGATGATGAGAAGAATATGAGGAAACTGAACTCCCAGAACTCATTGCATTTCTTCAGTAGGATCTAGACAATTTTTTTTTTTTACAAGAAAATCCCATCCAAATGCACAGAATTTTAAATGCATATTGTTATAACAGTTATAACCACTGCCCTGTGGTTCAGCACAATTCATCAGCCCCAGATATGGCTCTTTTGCATACAGAACAAAACTTCTTGCAGGAATTCTGCACTCTCTCCTTTGTATTCTGGTCTAGCACAAAATGATGTTCCCTTTCTCCATCTTAACAGGTACTCTGTTGAGGCCAGTTCTATGGAGCACAGTTGTTCCTGCTGCAAGGAAGTAGAAACTAGCATGAAGGAAGTGGAACTGCAATGTCCCTCTGGGAAGTCAATTACACATAAATATGTGTATGTCGAAAAATGTGGCTGTCAGGACACTCAGTGCGTTGTCTCAGAATCTAGTGAGTCTCAAAGCACAGAAGAAAATGATGAGAGCAGTCGAAGTCACAGGAGAAGAGCCATCAGCTTAACATCAAAATGAAGCAGAAAAAAGCTAACAGCACTCAAGTAAAGGAACTATGCACCACTCTGATCTTCCTTGACAGTTTTTGAACTTAGCTTTTCCCCCTACTGTATCCTGTATGTTCTCTAGTTATTTTTAACAATGCTCTATTTATTTGTGTACAAAATTACACTGAACTTTCTTCCAAGTTGCATACCCCTCTGGATCATTTTATAATCAACTTATTTTCTCTGAATGATTAAAAAGCACATTTAAAAAACCATGGGTTTTGTGCTTATTCATATACCACCTAGATGAGCTTGAGTTTTAAAAGAGGAGGAAAGGTATTTTTTTGTTTTTTTTTTTTTGTTTTTTTTTTGTTTTTCTTCAAGTCAGAGGAAGTTTGTTGATCTATTTCTCAAACTTTTGCAGTATCAATTTTGCATTTCACTAAAAACTGAACTATTAGAAGATCTTCCCTGGAGGATACTGTCTGGGGCCAAAAGTTGATTATGCCTGCTGAATCTGAAAAAGAATAATGCATCATAAAATTATTCAAGAGACTCTGAGAAACTTTCAATCAAGTCTGGCACCAGGTCTCATTTTAGCATTGTTAGAACAGTCTCAGTTCACCACAGTTTTCAAAAGATAGCAGTCCTTTGGCTTTGAGAATATGAACTCCGTTCACATTGTTTGAACTTTGAGAGATGAATAATTAGTGCTATAGCAGGAGATCTTCAGATTTCAACTTTCACAAAAAAGATGCCCATATCTAGGCTTTCCCTACAGGAGATGGAGTGGCACAGCCATTTTCAACATTCATTCATCTCATACCAAAGGAGATATCCAAAGGAGATTAACTGAATTGCATTCTGAAGTGCCTCTTTATCTGATCTCATTGCAAAGATAGCTGAAGGGCATTAGCTGAGAGCCAGAAGACAGAAAACAGCTGAAGTACAATTAGAGTAACACATGCTTGCTGTGTGCAAACATTTTATTTTGTGTTATTTTTGCCTCTGTTGATAAACATAGTTGTCTTAACTTTCTGAGAGCTAAAAGTAACTCTTCCTGTGCCATCAACTTGAATACATGCATTTTTGCTACCTGAAGTACTAGAACTTTTGAGTCCATTCTATGCTGCTATGAGCCCTGCCAAATGCGTTACAGCTTGAAAGACAGAAACCAGTAGAGATGTACAGAAAGTAAAACACCAGACATTTTTCATCTTCAGAATACTATTTTTAGAGAGCTGGGGGGTAAGAGATAGCAGATCTAAGAATGAAGTTCACTTTAAGTAGCAAGCTCCAAGACTAATGAAGCCTGATTTCTACTTCAGCATGGGATTCTGATGATTTCTGGCTGTTGGTTCATCGTGAGATATGGCTGAGACTTTTGTTCTGGGGCATTTATCAGTTCACTTTCTCTGTTTGTTTCTTTGTTTTCTAGCAGCCTCTGTGCTGAAAATACATGCATTCTCTTCCATTAGTTGTTTTTAAGACCATTTAAAAAAAAATCTGATGATGTCTGGCCATCTTTGAGATCTTCATTTTTGCAGCTAAATTTGGTTGGAGTCAGCCAAAAGTTTTTGGAGACAAACAGATTCATGACATGAACAGATTTGTCTTATTTCCTATGAAAAAGATAAACTGTGTCATTTTGATGCCACTGCAGGGTTTTCTTTCTGTCCCTCGTAGTAATGGGCAAACTAGTTCTAATTGCAGAAGTTAAAACATCCTGTGTAAACAGTATTCCTGCAGATTTTAGCTTTGCCACTACAGGGCAGTGTAAGGCTAAGAATGTAAAATGGCTCTAGAGGCAATAAAAAGCCTGCTGCCTACAACAGGGAGTTTGTATTTTACCAGGTAGAGTTTTACTTCTGAAAATAGCAGATGCTGTTATTTCCCCACAGGATTTGTATGCTTTTAGTAAGCATTAAAATAAATTCTTCTGGCAGGAATTGATACATATGCAAACATGGTGTTCTTCACAGTGCTTAGGAATACAGCAGCCCCTTTGGTTTTGCTCTGTATAAGTAGGTTCCCAAAAGGAGGCATTGTCAGAGAATTCTTACTTACAAGTGCTTTGCAGTTCCAGGTTAAACTGTACATGTCAAACCTCCTTTCTGCACTCTTCATCACCTTGGAACTTTGTGGTTCAATTCACACCTGTGTTGAACTGGATGACAAAATCAAATCTTGAACAGTTAAAACCTTTTCTAGCAGAGAAATCCACAAATAGTCTTTTTAAGGGAGAGGAAGGAATGAAGCATTAATTTTGCATACATTCAAAGAGTGAGCAGAGGTTTTGGTCCTTCCCACAATCCCCTTGAAAGCAAATGGAGACTTTCCCTTCCTGACCCACAAAGTATTTAACTTCTTAAGCAAGAACTGTTGCATCTGCAGGATACAATCTCAGACTAATTTGGAAAATGCAGGAGACTAACTGAAGAGATCTTTCACAAAGCTTTAATAGCCCCTTTAGTGGCTAAAGAGGAGGTAGTGGAATCTTCTGATCCCAAGCAAGACATAAAAGGGAACTGACTTCACCAAAGCATTGGTACTGGAAGAGCATGAGCTGGCCTCCAAGAATTTCTCAGTTCTCCAGGAAATCTCCAGTGTCTAGCAAAAAGGAACAGCAGCAAAAGCTCCAGAAGAGTTCATCTGGCTGACAGATTGGCTAAAACACTGGCGTGTCTCCATACCTGAGACTCGTATTCTTCTCCTCTTATACTTTCTGTCTAGTTTTCCACTTCAGTTGCTGTAAAAGAGGTTCCATTAGGTTTGTTTCTTACTTCTATTAATCTCCAGTTGCTTTGCAGTTTTGCCTTGAAAAAGGAGGAAGTATTCTTGGTATGCAAGTGGAATTTCTAGCTACATCAGCTTTGAAGGCACCAAAAGCAGAGCCTTAGCTCTTGCTCTACAAGAGCTGCTTGGTTTGGCCTCATTTTGGCATACCATCCCTAAGCCAGAGACAAACAAAATGCCTTTAAGCATGGGGTTTGAATTTGTACCCAAAGCCTTCGTTACAGCGCTTGAGCCTGCATGGCCATTCTGGTGAACAAAACAGAAAAAGCATAACTCTATTGTTGCCTTCCCTAATCACAGAATCAGTCATAGAATCATAGAATGGCCTGGGTTGGAAAGGACTTCAAGGATCATCAAGTTCAACCCCCCCTGCCACATACAGTCTAAGGAAAGGAAGAACAGATAGTGGCAGGCTGAAATACCCCAGATCGTTGCCTTGCTCTCTAGAGGTTGTGGTTTTGAATCCCTGCCTCAGATACAGGCTCCTCTAAGGTGATCTAAAGCTCAGGCAAATCCTTTCTGGCAGCAGCAGTCTTACAGCCCAGCAAAGGAGACCAGTGCAGTATGCTGAAGTGGGTTGACTGTAGCTCAGAGAAGGTACCATTGTCAATGAATAAAGAGCACTGCAGCTGGGGACCAGCTCTGAAATGCTTGGCTACTCTAATAAGCTGAGGTTGCACACAAGTATTCCCTGAGATGCACCCCAAGTCTTCTTTCACCAATAGGTTACATGCTTCCTTGCAAGCAAGGTGATTGTGGTATGCACCACGTCTGGAAGTACATGGTTTTTATTCTCATACGGTGTTTTTTCTGAGGTGGTTTCAGTCTTGGACAGCCTCTTCCCAATTATCTGGAGCTGCTCTGGAAACTCACTGCTGTTCATATGAATCTACCATTAATAGGGGGAGAACTTCTCAGAATATTTTCTCTTAAAGTGAACACAGTTCTGTCGTGAATCATTGCTGGACAACTGTTTCCAGAGCTCCAAGGCCAGAAAGGCAAATGATAGCAGCATGTCAAAAATCACTGCTACTATCTCAGGTGAGGTGGATAGGATTCAGAAGTGGAAGAAAAAAACCCCATGCAAAAGAAGAACAACCCCTCGCAAAGGAACACAAGGAAGAGATTTCTGATCTAATTGCTATCTTGTTTAATGATGTAATTTAATTTTAGGAGATCATCCTTTTATGCTATGGGAGAGGAACGGCAAGGTAGAATTTTCCATATGTTTACTGTTGAACTGTACTTCGCTAAACCAAACTTCATCGAACTAAGCACATGAAACTCTGCACATAAACCCCAATCAAAGGACTTCTGCAAAGGCAAAGCCCTGAGTAAATAATCATGTAGTTACGGTGCTTGTTATACACTGTTTGAGCTTGTGTAGCAAAGCAAACTCAGATACTGTGAAAAGAGAAGGCAGAGATAGATTGACAAACTCTAAAGTCATAGGAAAGAAAACTGTAGCGAACTTTAGGTGCCGCAAAAAGCTGAAATACTGTTGAACAGTTTCTTATATTTCATCTTCTGGCAGCAGTTTTGGAGAGTGGGAGGTATTTTAATGGAAAACAAGTTCTAATTAAGCAGCCCCCTTCCTAAGCCTGTTTTCCTAAATTAACTCAGTCTTTTCGGACTACTGAAAAACTTTGTGCTCTTAACTGGCAGCCTCACAGCTTACCTTCCAATCAGGTAATCATATAAGCCATATTCCCATCAGTAATATAGAAAATCATGATACTTCTTTTTTTTTCAGCATAGCCTTTTAAAATTTGGCATGGACTTCAAACTGGACTTCCTATAACATTTCAGTTTTTCAGCATTCATATGTAAGAATACTTGAATTCCTTTTACAAACTTGTCTCTAGAACAGCAAAAAAACCCCTACTTGCACTTTATTTCAAGACTTAAACTTTGATAAAAATTACAAAAAATTGTAGAACTCAATGTAGTTTTGATATTTCTTCAGTGCAACAACTTCCATATTGAAACATGTTTCTGTTGCAGATTGATATAAAGACAGAAAGCAATGTATGTCACATTTTGCTATGCTTCTGGCTAGCTCCCCTCTCCACGTTTGATAAAGAAATGTGTTCTCCCAAACGCTGCCAATTTTCCTTAGTTCCATGAGATTAGAGATTTTCCAGTGAAAAGAAATTCCTCTTCAACATAAATTATTTCTGAGACGATTCTGTTTTCATTTATGTGGTAGACAAAGAATACCTTCTAAGAATCATCCTGGAAATTTGTTCCTGGACATACTGTAGAATCATAGAATCCTTAAGGTTGGAAAACACCTCTAAGTCCACCTTTAAGGTTGAAAAACACCTCATCTAGTCCAACTGTCCACCTACCACTAATACTGCCCACTAAATCTTGTCCCTAAGTATCACGTCTACATGTTTCTTGAACTGTGTGGTATATATGGCAGGTAGAACATTCTCATTTGCTTTGAAGGCTAAAAGGAAGGACTAGTCATCAGCCAGCCACACATATGCTGGTTTCACTCACAGAAGCAGAAGTGAAACAGACCATCTCCAGGCAGCTAATCTCTGTCTGACTTAATGACAAGAGAAGCATCATGGATTTTCACATTCTGGCAAGTATTGCAAGCATGTGGGGAGTGGGGTGGAGAAAAAATCTCTTTCTTCTTACATAAGTGAAGCAATATATGTCTAACTACTCGGCAGCAATCAAGTATAGCTGGGGTTGATGTTGCTTCACACAGCTCTCTTTTAAGCAGTAACAAAAGCAACAGGAACTTTGATTGAGGAATACAGCTTTGCACAGTGCCTGTGCCCTGGCACAGCAATGACATTTCAATAGCCTGTCTCTCTGGACTAGTGTAGCTACTCTTTGTTTGCAGTATCTGTGTGAGCTGCACACTCCTGCTCCCTTTTGAAAACATACGCAGCCTGAGGGCCTTGAATAGGAATGCAGTAAGTCAAATCCTGTGTTTCTTTGGGTTTCTAGTAACTTTCAGTGTGGTGAAGATGGTGACTCCATGTGTAATTTCGTATAATTTCATGTAATTTCACAGTTATACTGACTTCAGTATTAAATATGCAGTGGCCTTTTCTGCATTGCCTTGGCATCCGTGAAGGAAGAAACTGCTTTTACAAAAGGGAGGGGGTAGTGTCTGCTCTAGCCTGAAACCCATGAAGCTGTAATTTATAAAGCATAATTTTCATATCCTCACTCAAATGGAGTCAGGGTTTCCTTTATTCTGCTACTCTACATTTTTCACTAGGAAGGTTATTTAAAGAAAAATCTTCTGGGTAGAGCAAGCCCAAGGGCTCCTGATGGCTTTCTGTGCAGGGAGTCTTTCTTATGTGAGGAAGTGCCAATAGGTCAATGAGACCTGTGTGTGCAAACACCAGTCAGCCATGTCGTTGCAATCCATGGGTTTGGATTTTGAAAGATCTACATCTTCTTGAAAAAAACAGAAAAGGAACAGCTGAACTGATTCCCTGCAAATGGGAGTAACTGATGTCCTTGATTAGTTCTGGAAAGGTCAAGGAACCCTAAGACGAAATGAGAGGTTAAGGAGTTCTTTTTGTTTGTAAATGTAAGAAAACACCCACTCATTTCCTATGAAAATTGAAATACCAAAGGCATTCTTCATGTGCTTTGATAGACAATCAGCTTTGCCTGATAGAGCTCACCTTATGCCCCCAGCTAATTCAAACTGTATGGCGGATACAAACTTAATGAACCAAATAAATCTTTGAAGTAAATTCCCTGAATTTTATGGGATAAGAACATAATCCATGCTGAATTATTTTGGCAATTAGGAGGGTGCAAAACAGTGTTGTAATCATCGGTTATGCAAAATAGTTTGCCAAATTTATTTCAGATGTTACCATGTCAGCACAACAGGGCTTGATACCAATTCCTAACTAGTTGTTTTCCCAGCTAACTTTACCTTTTTAATGAAGTAAATAGCATTTCTCTAGTTATCATTTAGGCCAGGCTGGTAAAACATGATTTCTCACTGGATATACATTGTAAGAAATAGTATAGTTACTTTTGCCTGAAAAGGTCTGGAATACTAGAGGATTTCCAGGCCAAACCCTCCAGCACTGGTGTTCACCCAGGACAGAGAATTACAAACGTCTTGGTAGCTTGGACAGTTACAGTACATATGGGATTACCCTTTGACAGAGGTTGCAATTCAAATGCAACTGCCAGACTTGTTGCTGGGTATGAGCAGTGTTGACCCCTAAGATGCCTCCAGTTTGATTGCCCCTTTACCAAGCTTGCATGGGATGTGAGTCACTGATGTATTGCATTACCTTCATGACGGTTTATCTCCAGTGAGTCAGTGGCGATAAAGAAGCTGAGTTAATATTTGCCAATTGCATTTACTAAAATCACATACCCCTTAGTGGCAAATGATCCATGAAATGGGCTGTAAATGGGCCAAAAGGAATTGTTCTTTTTGATAGTACAGCTGCAGCTGTGTGAAGGCCTTGTGAGCTGGAGGGCCCAATAGGGGAAAGAGACATTTTCCCAGTGTTTCACTACAGGGGGATTAGTTATAACTTGCATGCCTGCCTTTGCAACAATTCCATGGTAACCAACCAACATATTCATAAATTACCTGTTGGTCTGAATTTCCTTCCAAAAAGCTACCACGTAGTCCTTCTGAAACCCTCAGTGTTGCCACATTTGCCTACAAAAATTTCGTTTGAAAAACCTATCAGTTGCTCTGAAATGATTACAGTGTACTGGAGCATCCTGTGATTTTCAAGAAATGTAGCTCATGTTCTCTGCAGAGAACCTGGCAGCAGGAGACCTGGTTAGTCCCAGGCAGGATCTGTGCTCACCAAGAAATGGCAGAGGAATGGCAAATTTGACAGAGCAGACAAGCAGAGGTAAGAAATGATACATGGCAAAAGGATTGGGTCTCCTGACTCCCCTTTTTGTTTTGCAGGAGAGATCAGCCAGGTGTCTGATGCTACTTTCTCTTCTGAATGGAGCAGAAGTGGATGGTAGTTCTATGAATTGTTTTATTCTGTCTGTCCTTTGGTCACCTTTTTAACGTGTGCTGCTCATGTTCCTCTTAGGTCCGTATGTGCTAACTGGGGCTTGCAGGGCTAAGTCATGCTTTAGCTCATCCCTCCCGCCCACTCTGTCGTGCCCCGAACCACATGCAAGAGACAAAGGGCTGGGAGTTGTGGTGGTCAGTCTCACTATGGCTTCATCATGTAAGGGCCACTGTAATCTGTATCTTTGGCAGTTGTTTCATATGTGGCTCCTGCTGCTTTTGTGCTACCCATCAGAGACAAAGGCATTTTGTTCTAAAGTCAGGAATCAGATCTCTGGGTTCTTGGTTTGTTTTTTTTCTGCTGTCATATCAATGTGAATGAAATAGATGTATTGATTGCCTGTGTGGGAATTGGAAAGGAAGAGGACCATGATTTAAAAAAGAAGAGCTATATCTTAACAGAGTTCTACATTCAGATTTTGAATCTAGCCTTGATGTGGGAAAATCGAGAAGGAGGCTCCATCAGTCAAAACTCAATCTAAAAGTTATGGTGAGAGTCTGCTGACACTGAGTGTTACTGTTGCACTGTGTGGGATTTCAGATCATCCTCATAACTACAATGTCATATTCTCAATATTTATGTTATTTTCTAGGTATCCTGCAGTTCTACATCATGACTGCTAGGGTGGAGAAGAGTGGGGAGGACGATTAAAAGGAAAAGAAGCAGAAATCTATTACTTCCATCTCTGGTGCTGTGAAATCCATCAGTTTGTACAGCAGCCAAAATGGCATGGCTTCAAGAACGGACTTTACCTTCCAGTAGTGCCCTGCCTCGAGTGCGACTGACAATGGAATTAATGAGGCACAGACAGTGGGAAAGGGGTAACGTGAACTCATGTTTCATGCACTGCACAATGCTCTCACCTGCTACTGCGGGACTTTCTTAAGAGCAGCAGCAGCTGCAAATCTTTGTCTGGCAGATGTTTGCACCTGAGTAAGTGGCTCAGAAATGTGTGAGGGAACAACTGCAAGAACTGGGGGGCAGTTTTAGGACATTTAACTTTGTTCACACTAGAAAGCTTGGTGGAGTGGTGAGCTAGGCACAGTCCTCAAGGCTGGCTCACTGCCTGCCAACAAGAAAAAAGTCCATGGGCTGCTCTGGCCTGAAGACTCAGATCATAGAATCACAGAATTGTTTGAGCTGGAAGGGATCCTTAAAGGCCATGTGGTCCAACTCCCCTGCAATGAACAGGGACACCTATACCAGATTAGGTGCTCAGAGCCTCGTCCTGCCTGACCTGGGGTCTCTCCAGGGACAGGGTATCCACCACCTCTCTGGGCAACCTGTGCCCATGCTTCACCACCTTTTTTGTAAAAAACCTCTTCCTTATATCCAATCTAAATCTTCTCGTTTGAAATCATTTCTCCTTGACATGTTCCCTCCTTCAGGGAGACCTGATAGTGTTGTTCAGTACCTAAAGGGGAGGCTGTAAGAAAGAAGGGGACAGAATCCTTAGTGGGATCTTTGTGACAGGACAAGGGGAAATAGTTTCAAACTAAAAGAGGGAAGATTTTGATTTAGATATCATGACCGAATCCTCTGAATGTTTTATGCTTATGACTCTTTATAACTGTACATAATGCCTGATCTTACAGTATTTTTAGTTGTAACCTTTAGAAATACAGCCATCAAGACAGCAGAAGTGACAAACACTTCCTTGAGCTGGAGGACTGCGTTAATGTGCAAGCAAGAGAAAAACTATAAAAAAGGCAATGATTGCTTGTTTCTAACCCAGTGCTATAAAAAAAAAAAAAAGAAAAGAAAAAGCTATTAATCAAAGAAAAAGCAACACAGTAATGAAAGTGAAAACAAGCATTTTAAAGAAAGGAGATAAGAAAAGCACAATTCTCCATCCCCATAGAGAGAAATGGATACTTTTCCAAAAGACAGAGGGTTGTTGGGTGCTGAACATGGACAACTGAGAAAAATGAATGAAGCTCCACCTTTCAGGTACTCTGCCATCAATGTTTTGTTCTCACGCCAAATTCCTGGACTATAAAAATCTGCCTTATAAGCCAAGAAAAAAACACTTCCCTAGAAGGATTTTCAAGTTACCACTTCATGGCAAGATGGAAATAAAAAAGGGGAGGTCATTTTGGATCTTCTGCCTCATTTGGAGTTTTTGCAAGGGGAAAGAACCAGTTCAGATAGGTAAGAAAAAATCCAAATTCTTTCTTCACATATTGATGTCCATAGTTGATAACGAGTTGTTAAATGAAAAGATGTAACATATTCAAGCTGTAGGCATGCCAGATACTGCATTTTGCCTTCTCATCTTTAATTTAAGTCATTTAAATCATTTATTGCTGTTTCTTTTTTTTTTTTTTTTTTTTTTTTCCTCCAGCACTGGCTGGCTTATCAATTGCTTTATGTCCTATGTGACTAATCTTAAAAAAGCAGACTCTCTGCATGTAATTTGCATCATAAAAAAGTGACGCCCTATTTAATACATTTTGCATACATTTTTTATATAATGCCTGCTAGACTTGGTTGGCCAGTGTGAGTTACTCCATTGGGAGTAACCACATTGTTGTGCTCTCTTTCACTGTTACCTCCTGGTTTGGCTTTGAATGTCTTATACTTTTCTAATCACTTGATACACAAATAATTGATGTGACTGCTACTGCTGTCTTAGTAATTCTAGCAAATACACTTCCAAGAAAGAGTGAAAATTTCTCATTTCCCTTCATTATTGTGTAAAAAAAATGCTAAATTAAACCATTCCACTTCACTGCTGTGAACTCCTATAGCAAATTACAGTCTCTTCAACAAGTTATTCTTGTAAGAGCCTTTTGGCACTTGAGCTTTTGTTGCATACTTCTGACTTCAAGATGCTGCTTCTTAGATTTGAACATCTCATAACACTCTCAATATACCAGTGGCTGATTCTGATTTGATCTTGAAGGACGTTGTGTGTTGATATTCCTAAATGTGATGTGTCAACAATGCAAAGAAAGTTGTTCATTTTCTTTGCTATTCAGATAGGACCAAAAGAGATGCCAAAAGCACAGTGTAGCAAGAATATCTTATTTAATTCTATACGTAGCTTTCTTTGCTTCCTATTTGCCTTATGCTTCAACGATATGGAAATTACTTTCTTAAGAGATGTCTTACATGCACTTCAAGTATCCAGGTTCCTCCAAAAGCAATGCTTCCTAATTTTTCCACATTCAGTGGCACATCTTTGCTTCATAGGCACTTCCATGTCAGATGCCATTTTGTCAGACTGCCCATTTGCTGCCATCTGTTACACAGCAATAAAATGTAACATGGGAACATTGGTGGGACTGCTACTGTACTACTATTGTAGTACAGTACTACTGCACCATCAACATCCTCCTCTGACATTGTGGGCCAACGTAATCAAATAAGAGGCATTACTTTTGGAGCAGCCTTCCTATCAACACCATTGACGGAGATACAGCTCAGCTCCAAGAAATAAGTTTGTCTGAGATGAAAAACAAGCAGGTGTGAGCTGATTTCTGAAGCTGGTGCAACCTCAGCTGCTGAGACTGAAGGCTGCCATTTTGCTAACAACTTGGGTGACCTGTGGTGCATCCTGGCATCTTCCAGGATTTTACGTCTTCTGAATTCAGAAATCTTTCCATTTACAATTTTAAACAGCAGCAACAGAAAAAAACAAAGCAGTTCATGCAAGGTGAATCATTAACCTCAATGCTCTGAATCTTTCTTTAGTTCAGGTCTCCACTGTTGGTAGGAGCGAGTGTACCACCTGGGGCAATTTCCACTTTCACACATTTGACCACGTTAAATTCACTTTTCCTGGAACCTGCACATACGTCTTTGCTTCTCACTGCAATGACAGCTACCAGGACTTCAACATCAAAATCAGACGCAGTGACAAAAACAGTCACCTGATCTACTTCACTGTCACTACTGATGGAGTGGTCTTGGAGGTGAAAGAGACAGGCATCACAGTGAATGGGAACCAGTAAGTAAAGATACTGCTGCTGCTTTCTAGTGTTGTGGTCTTATTGCTAGGTATTAGCAAGGTGTGATCTGTCTGAAAAGGTATCCCACCATTCAAAGAGCTGTGTGTGTTAACAGCACACTGAACAGTGTATTGTGAAGAGTCAGAGTAGTGGAGATGGCAAGAAGAACATAAATGACAGCCCCCAGAGGTCACAGAATCACACAATCACAGGGTTGGAAGGGACCTCAAAGATCATGAATCTCCAACCCCCCTGCCACAGGCAGGGCCACCACCTCCACATTTAATACTAGACCAGGCTGCCCAGGGCCCCATCCAACCTGTCCTTCAACACCTCCAGGGACGGGGTATACAACCTCTCTGGGCAGCCTGTTCCAGAACCTCACCACTCTCTCTGTGAAGAATTTCCCCCTGACATCCAACAACAACGTGTTTAGAAAGGGCAATGTGTATGTAACAAAGCATAAAGTGTAGATTTCCTTGATGCTGCTTTATTCAAGGGTAGGAGAGGGGAAAGTTAAAGTCAACGCTTTAATTATAAAATGAATTTTGTAGAAAATCTGTATTTTTTTTCCAAAGCATTACTTCTGTGGTACTAACCTTAGCATTGTTTGTTGCTACTCAGGAACAGATCATCCTTTCAGAAAAAGTTTACCATTTCCAGACTGTGCAGAAATGGCCCTCCTTTGCAGATCACAGCTTGCCATGGGGTCAAAGAGCACGAAGGGCAGAATTTCTAGAAATCAAAATTCACATCTTTAATTTCAATCTGAAATAAACCAGAAAGTGATCTGAAAATAAAATAAAATAAAAAAGGTTAAAAATACTCCATGAGTATTACAGTGTCCTACTCCCAGCATTTGGGTATGATGGGCTGAGGCAGGCATTGGCTCTGGGAAGGACCCTCACAATATTGTAGGAGAGAAGATCACACACATTATGTACTGCCTTCTATTTATATCCATCCTGAAACAACCAGATAACATCACTCAGATGTATCTCCTAAATTGAAGGGGCAAAAATCTCACATGTTCTAGCCATTTTCTGATCTATTTTTCAGGCTTCAGGAAAGTGACAATTAATTGTCTTGGTAAGATCAAAAAGTAACACAGGTCTGAGTCACATCTATGCATTGGTAGCAAAACGGACAAAAATATCACTTCCAAGTGACAAGGAAAAGCCTGGAGAGATTGTGAGAACCTGTGGATCCTCTCATGCAGAGCAATATCCCAGTATTGGGATCTTACTCCCTGTAACACTCTGCGTTAGATCCCCAATTCACATAAAGCAGAGAAGCTACTTCGGTGTCAGTAGAGTGGCTAATGTGATACATTACTGTATGAGCATGTAATGACATGCTCATGACCAAAATTGTGTTGTGGGTTATTAGAATGTCACAGTAGACAAGGTGATAATACTAACACTTAATGCATTAGTGTGGATGCAGGCTGACCTTCATGGCTTATATGTCTCCTTTTGACTCTTATTCTTTTTTCCTGTATCCCTAGGAAGCTTTGATTTTTTAAAAAACAATCATTTTGTTCTTTTTTCCCAATGTAATCTGTTTTGTTCCCTCCAATTTCCAGGATCCCTCTGCCCTTCAGCTTGAAGAGTGTCCTGATTGAGGACACCTGCACTTACTTCCAAGTCACCTCCAAGCTGGGTCTGACGCTGAAGTGGAACTGGGCTGACACTCTCCTAGTATGAACAGCCAGTTAGTTGTTTTTCTCTTAGTGAAGCTCATCAATGATGAAAAGCAGGCACCATGTTAATATAAGAAACTGAGAGGTAGTGGTGGTGGGGAAGTATCACAGTATTCCATGTTGACAGGGCCTACCACAGTAGGTAATGATTTCAGAAGACAAGAGAGTGGGGTTGCAATGCCCAGGCCTCTCTAAGCAGTTTTACATGACAAAAGATTCCACTGTTAATGCTGGAGACAGCACTTGTCTGCTTCCTATATGGGGTACAGCTGGTGATCCGAGCTCTTTCCCAATGCACATCTTTTGTGGGAAACTAATCTGTGTGGTCATTTGAGAAGACCTTGGCATCTCTCATTCCAAGGCATTGTTATGGGGCAATTCCCCAATACACTTTCAGTCCAAAATACCCTCTGCAGTGGTGGTGTATTTAAACTTTTGTGTGTGAGCATTTGTTCTCCTCAGTCAGGATTGAGATTAAATAAGCAGAAGTTGTTTTGCAGTCCTGAGAGACAGAAAATAAGTGGAAGGTGAACAGAGTGGGAAAAAAAAGTATATATCAGGAAGCAATCGAGAGGTAATTCAGGATCTAATTTAATGAAGTATTTATCATCCCCCATCCCATCTTGTACTATTTCATATCTGAGACATCATAGGCACCACCTGTGGAGTAGACAGTTTTAGCTTGAGACACACCTGTGGGAAAGGTATTGCCATTTATAGCTAGACCTGAGCAATGCCAGTATTACCCTCCAAGTATGTAAGAGGGATAAGTTGCAAAAGTTCTGTCTAGAAAAGCCATACTGTGTTAACCAGTCCCTGCTGCCTCTATGTATTGGCAGAACAAGTTATGCTGGGCACATCCCTTCATAGAGATTCTATGAAGTTTTCCATTTAGCCTATGAACTAGAAAAAAAATCAGATACTGCTAAAAGCTGACCAGAAACTGATTCTTTGTAGCTTTCAGCATCAGGATACACTTATCTATCCAGTAGTCTGTACTGGGAGACAATGAACCAAGGATCAGTCCAGTATTCAGAATGCTTCAGTTGGCTGTTTGATAGGTAGGACTGCCAGTTGTTGAAAAATCATCTTTCTGTTTAAATTCAGCCTGTCTGTCAGTAGGTTTTATGGCAGGATTGTAATGGAAAATGTAACTGCTACAAACAGGTGACGAGAATTTCTGCCACTATGCTTTTCTGTGGCGAGACATATGGTAATATGCTGCTGATGGGAGAAGAAACCTTTAAACCCTGAGCTTCCTCTTTGCTTTTCTTTCTTAGCTGGACCTGGAAGAAACATATAAAGAGAAAATATGTGGTCTGTGTGGGAACTATGATGGCAATAAGAAGAATGATTTAATTTTGGACGGTAGGCCATGAACACAGCATGCTGAATGTAGGAGTGTGTTATACATCACATGAAACTTGGCATCTGTTTCTTCTATGTGGGGTTTCAGGTTTCTGGACAGACATCTTGAAATACCCAAACATTTCCATAGATGAAGCACTTCAAAGGTTTGTGGAATGATTTGAGATTCTCTGCTGCTTGCAAGTGTCTCTCAAACCTCACTGACCCAATTTAATTGCCTACTCGTCATGCAGCAGCATTGCCAAGTTTCCCACTGATTGTACCAAACTTTAAGGCATTTGCAGTCTCAAATGAGGCATGGTTGCACTTCTGCCCTTCTGCTTTCATCTCTTTCCAGTTGGGTATCAGGTGTGATTAGTTTTGGCTACGTAATGAAACGAAAGTGCCATGGGTGACCCAGGCAGACTTCACTGAGCATCTCTGCAGAAACCACAGTGCCATCCACTGACATCTTCAGATGCAGTTCTGAGATGGAATGAAGGCAGCAAAGCCTGCATTCTATTGTATTTGGTGCAGGACTGAAGCCAAAATTTTAACATCAGCCTTTTGTGTAATATCTGGGCTTTTTAAGTCCCAAACAATATACCGTCACCTGCCATTTGGAAAGAATAATTAAATTTCAAACTTTGTCAGAAAGATTTTTCAGATGTAGGATCAAGTGTCTGGTAATGCTTTGGGAAAATATGTCCCTGTACTCAATGCTGTGTGCCTGTTTTCCCATCTTCCTTAGCCTATACAAAGTAGCAAGTTACTGGATGAATGCACATGCTTTAGGTTGCAGTAGTACAATGCAAACTGATCTGTACGACCATTACACATACAAATACAAAATTCTGTAAGATCATATGTACTCATAAAGAACCAAAGTCTTTGAAAGTGATGAGATGAAATAGAAAAGTCAAGTCTCATGTGATTATTGTTGCCATGACTGTCAGCAGTTCTTGATAGAAATATGCCAGATTCCTGATCCTAACCCAAATGGAAGTTACACCAGGAAATTATATACTGTGTTAAACTGAGGCATTTGGTAAAGATGAGGTACATATTTATAGCAAAATAACTGATCTAAAGGATTGTAGGCAGTTATTCAGATGAAGCTGGGTATTTTGCAGGATATAAAATGCACCCAAGGCAGTTTGGGAATTTTCACAAAGTTGAGGATCCATCAGAAAAGTGTCCTGATGTGAGGCCAGATGACCACAGTGGAAGACATCCTACAGAGGATGACAATAGATGCAGTAAATATGTAAGTATGCATGGCTAAGAAGTATAAACTTTCCTAGACTATTAAAGTCCTGGAGTGACTGTGTTGAAACAAGGGCTATTTAGAGAACAGAATGTTATCTTATACTTGAAGGACTGTCCTACTATAGTGATAAAGAAATAGATAAGTGGGAAAATATGCAATTTTATGACTGCGTCCAGTCAGAGAAAAAGAACCTAACAGAAAGTTAGACTGAATGACCTCTGGAGGTCTATGTGATCATGGACTTGTATCATCAGAGGTTAGGATTCACATCCATCAGCCTGAAAGTTGCTAAAATGTCAATTATTGCTTTTCTTTTCCTCCTCTTTTTTTTTTTTTTTTTCCCCTCAGAAAAAGATGTGCAAGAAACTTTTGTCTCGATTTGGAAACTGCCCCAAAGTGGTTGCTTTTGATGATTATGTAGCTACCTGCACTGAGGATATGTGCAACTGTGAGGTTAATTCTTCTCATTCTGATTTGGTTTCCAGCTGCATATGCAGCACTTTAAACCAATACTCTCGAGACTGTGTCCTCAGCAAAGGAGATCCTGGGGAATGGAGAAGCAAAGAGCTTTGCTGTAAGTAGTATTGCTCTGGATGTTGGACATATGTGCATGAATCCTAATACCAGCAGAGCAAAGATAATTTCCTCCTTCAACTACACTGACTCAATCTGTAGAAGTACTTGGACAGAAATGTTGTTAATGGAAAAGCTTCAACAAGTTTAACTTGATTTTGCTCAACAATTAGTAACTGTAACTTAGCATCTTCTCTCTTCTTTTTTTCAGTTCTTCTTTGAGTTTTGCCACGCTCATTTAATTCATAACTAACCTTGTTTAAAATTTTGATGTCTAGTCCAAAGAAGTAACACAGAAGTATAACATACCTGTTCTTAGCTGCTCCTTTCCTTCCTACTCAGTAGTTGCAGCTACTGAGCAGGAAATCTCTGTCAGTCTGGGGTGAAGACTAACGGTAGTTCTTCCAAATAGCTGTTGTGGACTAGGGTGGAAGATTAATGCCAGAATGAGAGTTACTTGAAGCCTAAATAAAAATAAGTTATTGCAACTCCTGGTGTCTTTTGTTGGTATCATGACTTCAGCCAACCTTGAGTTAGTTAAATAATGTTTAATAGCTAATATTTCCCAACATTATTATTATTTTCTTCCAGAGATGAAGTAAAAGCAATCATAAGACATTCCTTTAGAGGGTAACAAGACATGGCACATCTGGATAGAAAGTTTTGCAACCAAGATTTGGGAGAAGGGAGGAAAAAGGAGTTGGGCAGTGATGCAGTGATTTTTAAGTGTTCATAAATTCATCATTAACATACCGCATTTTTCTTTGGTTTTGCAGATCAGGAATGCCCAAGCAACATGGAGTACATGGAATGTGGAAACTCCTGTGCTGACACCTGCGCTGACCCGGAAAGGAGCAAGATATGCAAAGCCCCTTGTACAGATGGTTGCTTCTGTCCTCCTGGTAAGGCAGTTTGCTTCTTCCAATAGGCCACACTACAAGGGACAAAGAAAGAATATTTCTTTTTCAGTTAGTGAGTTGTTTTTTGTTTTTTTCCTTTATGATTTTACACTCAAATCAGTGAATAAACTGTTTCTTCTAGTATAATTTAACAACTTCCTTCTTCTCAGAATCACAGAACTATGGAATCATAGGGATTGAAAGGGACCTCCAGCAATCATTGAGTCCAAATCCTTGCTAAAGCAAGTTCCCATAGGAAAGTATCCAGCTGGATTTGGAAGAACCAAATCTCTAAAGATTCAAGATCCTGATGCTGGAGAAGGGGGCAGAAAGGACATTTTTTCAAAAGATGTGGAAAAAGGAGAGGAGTTTTCTAGTTAGTAGAGGTATAGGTGAGGATGTCTGATGAAGTGCCTCCCGGTTACAAGTCTAGGTGTATATGTAGCCTAGTGGAGAATAAGGCTTGCTGTAGGTTGTGTCATATATAAAATAAATGCATTGGCATGTTCATTCATGAGCAGTCTTGCACATGAAGAAGTTGAGGTTTGATCTATCAGTTTCACTATTAGAAATGGATGGAAACTGGCTGGCACTTGGTAATCCTGCTCATTGTGTAGAACTCCAGTAACGCACAGGGATATTCTTTGGGATATTTTATCTTATGTTGCTTTCATCTGAGCCCCAGTGAGAATTCTTTCACATCAGTTAATGCCTGAGGGAGCCTGGTGTGTTACTTTTGATAAAACATGCCCCACTCATTTATCTGTAGAAATGCTACAAGGTTTTTTAATTTGTTTTGACCTTTCTTCACGGTGTTCCCCAGACTTACTAAGAAGTATTAACCAACCAATGTATCTGAACAGGAACTATCCTTGATGACCTCAGTGGCAAAAAATGTGTTCCCAGAGACAGCTGTCCCTGTATGTTTCAAGGCAAAGTCTACTCATCTGGAGGGACTTACTCCACTCCTTGCCAAAACTGGTACTGTTGTGAACTTGATTGCACTAACAAGATAGAGGCAGCTATTGGAAAGCATAAATTAGTTGCATTCTGTTCTTTAATCCTTTTTACTATTCCTAACATCCTAAGTAATCATGACTGTTCCTAACATCCTAAGTAACTATGGCACTAATGCAAAAAACTGGGGTCGGAATAGCAACAACATTGGGAAAAACTTTGAGGCAACCCTCAACCACACATTGCTATCACCCTCACTTGGAGTTGCCAGCAAGTATTAAGCCTGGGATACCAAAATGCAGAAAAATGAGACTCTTTGCCATTAGTTTAGAAGCATTGGCCTCTATAAAGTGTAGCAATTCCATGCTAGTGAGTAATTTTCCAACCACTGCTTGATCTCTAAAGGACTGTTCCAAAGCTTGGATCTCAAAGAATTACTCTGTGGTGCATGGCTGGGTAGAACAGAAGTTCTGCAAATCCCTTTGGATTAACTATTTCCTACCCCATTCCCAAAGACAGGAAATACTCCCAAAAACCCAAATTTTGAACGGCTCTGAGTGGTTCCCATATAGCTGTAGGCTCAGCCTTCGCAAAACATGAACATGGCCTGGCTGTTCTCCTCTTGCATTAACAGCTCTAATTTTCACATCTGCTCATTAATTCAGCCTCTGAAAATTTGCAACAGCAACTTGCTGAATCATCAATAGCATGAAGTGATACAAGATCCTGTTTGAAGAGGCTATTTCTTTTAAAAAGTTAAGTAAGTGATTTAGGCCTTGGAAAATATTTCTTATTTGACCAACTCAGTGTCTCTGAAGGATATAGCATGAAAGCCCAGTGCAATTAACTCATACTGACAGACAAGTAGGGTTTTAATATAAAATCTTTCTCCCTCAGGGATTTAATAAGCAGCTGAAAAACAAGCAGCTGATGAGACAAAAAAAAAAAGAGGAACTGATCAGATATAGATCTCAACCTTTGCTCTTTTGCAGCTATATTTATTCTAACTACTCATTTTTGTGTTTTGTACAGTACTTGCAAAGGGGGCCACTGGAGCTGTATCTCTCTGCCTTGTTCTGGAAGCTGCAGTATAGATGGAGGATTCCACATAACAACATTTGATAATAAGAGGTTCAGTCTTCATGGTAACTGCCATTATGTCTTAGCTAAGGTATGAACAATCTCCCATTTCACTCCTGAATCTCTAGAGTAACATGAAGCATTAAGCTGTGCTGGAGCTCTGTATGACTTTGTTTGACTAAATGGCCTCAGTCCAGCAATGCACTTCAATACACACTCAGTGTTAAATCACATACATTTTTCTATTTGCAGTGGAGTGCAGTTCAACTGTGATGCTAAGCATCAAGCTTTTGCATTTTCAACACAGTTCTACATCCCTTTTTTTTGATGAATTCATTTTCTTACTGGATATATTAATGTAGATTAAAGCATTTCTCCTGAAGCTTTCTTCATCTGTGACTGTAGAAATGAAGTGGATAAGCTGATTCCGTCACAAAAAGTTGAGTATTATGTGACTCTGCACATACACTATCCACACAGCTTGATGCAAGGAAAGAGTAAAGGGGAAAGGCAGTGAACATCATTGGGTTTGGAAGTGAAATTCAGCAACTTGCAGTTAGAAATTAAATGCCCCAGATCTTTCATTCTTACATTTTAGCCTTTCAGAGATGTATTTTCTTCCTTTTATTATAGCATGCTAATGATTTCTGCACATCCCTTTTCTCACCTGTTTTCAGAACACCAATGACACATTTGTGGTGATTGGGGAGATCATCCAGTGTGGGACGTCAAAGACAATGACTTGCTTAAAGAATGTCTTAGTCACACTAGGAAGAACAGTAAGTAACTTGCTTTAGCTGGCACACAGAATGTCACTTTTATTTAGGTCCACAGAGTTCATTTATGTTCTCTAATACCGTGGACTCTTTCTGGTCTGGTGCAGTCCTGGGACTGCAAGATTAATGGCAGCAGATGATGCAGTGCATGTGTTTATTAGTTTTGTTCTACAGGAGTTATTTTCTTCCCAGTTTTTTGGATTCTGGCTTTTCCATTTTCTTTAGAGGTTAATGGCTCAAAATTATCCTTGTCAGTTTTTCCCGTCTTTTCCACAACTTCAAACTTTTCATTCACTTCTTTTTGAAGAATGGAGATTTCTACAGGACCCAAGTATTTTTTACAAAAATTTTGATTCCTGAGGTTTTCCCCTATGAAGAAATGAAGTATTAGGTATGTCACATATCCAGTGGGATGCATCGGAACCCATAAGTAGCAACTCGAGAGCAATTCTCAAAAAGATAGCTAACTTCCTAGATATGCAAGAGCAATTATCCAAGGCTGCTACCTGTGGAGAGGGTTTTTCATTTTGTTATAGCCTACAAATTTGTTCTGTGCCATTGCATGGAATCCAGACATTGAGTTATATTTGCCCCAGAGGTAACCATATTCTGAAGACATTGCTTCTTAATGCTTAAGGAAGCTTGTCAGGTTGTTACTGTCTGTCTCATGTGCATTCATTTCCACGGGCTTTTTTCTTTTCTCTACAGACTATAAAAATCTGTTCCTGTGGAAATATCTACATGAACAATTTCATTGTGAAGCTTCCAGTAAGCAAAGGTAAATGTCTTTTTCCACAACTCTCTCAGAACAGCCTACATCAATTTACAGTTTGATTCCTGCTCCTGTCTCTGAAGAACCCGATCCTGCCCATTATAAGGTCACTGATTTAGGTGGATACAGTCTGGGACTCCCTGGGGGATTCCTGTGTTACACTGAATGTGCTGGTAAAATGGAGTTCCTGTTTTCTCAGCCTCATAAAGGTTTGTGAACCAGTTTTTTTCCTTTCACTTTTTTCCTCTCTAGATGGCATCACCATCTTCAGACCCTCAACATTTTTCATCAAAATCTTGAGCTCAGCTGGAGTACAGATTCAAGTGCAAATGAAACCTTTGATGCAGCTCTCCATAACAGTTGATCATTCTTATCAGAATGGCACATCTGGTAAGAACTATCATATCCTTTCAGTTCACTCTTTAACAACTTGTAGCTGCTTATCTATAACTTTAATTGAACAAAATATTTGATTTTATATTGACTTTTTTAATGTTAGAACCTGTGATTAAATCTACACCTTTTTGCAACAAAAGATTGGCCAAAACCTTCAATTTGCTGAAAATAAACTCTGTAATGTTTAGTGTGTGCAAATCTTTTGGACTCTATCTGTAGAAGCGTGCTTCCATCAGAGTCTTGTGAGATGCAGGCAGTGTTCTCAGTTTTGCCACCAATCTCCTGTTAACATCATTTAAGCTTTTTGTGTCTCTGTTTCCTATCTGTGTGATTGGATAACATCTGATCCCTCCAACTCATTTTGGTTTGCTTTTGCCATTTTCTTTGACTGTAAATGTTGGAGAAGGGACTTCTCTGCCTGCTAGTGATTACTGTATCATATTTATCAGCTTCCAATTTCTGTGCTCTCACTAATACAGGAAATAACAATTACTCACTAAATACATGGTCCTGTCTGATTTGTGGGGACATCAGGAAAATGAGCTTCTTTCAGGCAAGCACCATTATAGAGATAAGGGTGTTTATCTTGAAGTCATTGCTTTTCCCACTTGTATTATGATTTCTTCTTCTTCGTCCTCTTCTTCCTCTTTTTTTTATCCCTGCTGCCATCCACTCAAGGTCTTTGCGGCAATTTCAATAACATCCAGACTGACGATTTCAGAACAGCCACTGGAGCTGTAGAAGATTCAGCTGCTGCTTTTGGTAACTCTTGGAAAACCAGAGCCAGCTGTTTTGATGTCGAGGACAGCTTTGAAGATCCTTGTTCAAACAGTGTGGATAAAGGTAGCAGGCTTTTCATCCCTGAGTTATCAGTGCTAAATAATTTTCATGTGATAAATAACTGAAAAAGCTTTAGAAGTCTCATAAACATCAACTGTCTCTGCCTTTGAGGCTATTTCTAGAGAGAACACGTTGCTTTCTGTGAGCCTCTATGGTGACAGCTGTGGTTTTTTTAAAAAGCAAAACAAAGCAAAACAAAATATACAGTTCTGGAAAAAGGGCCAGCACCTTCTTTGCTGATGACTTGAAAAGCATACACAGCATCAATGAGAGCAATTTAGGCTTAAGGCAGAGCATAATTGGTTGTCAGTATTTGGGCCCAATCTTCCAACCCAGGTTGCTACAGCTGTGCTGGGCTTAATAAGTTATCATCACTACTGACTTCAGCAGGCACTGTACTGTACCAGGTGCCTGTCCAGCTTCTCATTTTGACTGGATCTGAATATATAGGAGATTTACAGTGTAGTCTCCTAGGTATTATCATATATTGTAACATCTCACTTATTATGATATGCTTTGTGTAATTCCATGACCATATTTCATGAGGAATTAGACAAGTTTAATGGAAAACAATGAAAATGGGGAGGTTTCTTGTCAGATACTTTGTAAATCCAGCCACTGTAATAGTGTTAGTATTAGGAGGATGAAACCTTTATTTCAGGAAAATGACTGTTCACTCTGTTCCTGCCACTATTTCCTTCCGCATTATTGGAACACTTCAGGACTTTCTAGAAGTGTGTGATAACTTGTAAGAAAACAAATTCAAGTAGTAATTTGGTTTAAGTAACTGTGGACAATATTTTTCCCATTCAGAAAAATTTGCCCAACATTGGTGTGCTCTTCTGTCTAATACAAGCAGTACATTTGCTGCCTGCCATTCTGTTGTAGACCCTTCTGTGTACATCAAGGTAAGCCAGTAGTCTAAATCAGTGGTTTGTTCTCATCCAGAAGCTGATCTGCCAGGGAGGTGGTCTGGTCTTTGGGAGTAAAATGGATTATAGTAATGTGAGTTTGCAAAGAAGTTCACTGATGCTGATGAGAAAAATAAAATGAGAGTTTATGCAAGACACAGTGGGTCTTTTTGCCTGCTGTCCTGAAAATACTGATTAAGTGACTGTCTTCCATGAGCAGCACTGCCATCACCGACAGTCCTGTTGCATGATCCTGAAGAAAAATAAGTCAAATGGGGTTTGCTGCTTTTGAAAACTGTTTAGTCTTTAAAAAGATAAACCAGTGTTTCTGTTTGGAATCAAGCCAAGAGGTTTTGATCTCATGATTTCATTTAAAATTGATGTCCAGTGGGAGAATATACACTACTTTAACAGTGTTCACATTTCCTTTATTACTGTGGAAGGACGTTACTCTATTTGTATTTTAAATGCAGGAAGCTGCCCATAACAGCTCGTGGTGCTCAGCTGTATAACATCACTGATGAGCTAGCAAGTTCCCACATTTCTGTGCATAGTAAAGCAGTTCCTGCAAAAACTGCAGAAAATTCATGTAGGGTTTGTGTGAGATACAGCTTACTTAGAAAATACCTGAGCCTGAAATTTTGTGTAAGATTTTATGTGTCTTCAGATACCTATTAGTCAGATAACTGTGGCTTACCCTTTACCCCATTAAATTGCTGAATATTTCCCTGCTCTTTCTGTGAACCAGGCCTAATACCCATGTCCTTTTCTGTCCCCTAGAGGTGTATGTACGATACCTGCAATGCTGAGAAGAGTGAAGTTGCACTGTGTAGTGTGCTCTCTACTTACTCCAGAGACTGTGCTGCAGCAGGCATGACCCTTCAGGGCTGGAGGCAGGGGATCTGTGGTATGCATCCTATAATGTCTTGAGTGGGGACGCAGGGGAACATCTTCAGACTGCAGTCTGTGGCAGCTTGTAGCTTCTGAGCTCAGTCAAGCTCATAGATCTTTGAAAACTAGAATAAGCATATATAAGATTTTTAAAAACCTCTACCTGCCAATATCACTTCATGAAGAGGTTCTTAGGATGCATGCTCCTTGCATCAGGTGAGTTCTGTATTGAATCACAAGGAGTCACAGATTAGTTTAGGATCCATGGGCCTCCCAGTGCATTGTAATCCTGACAGGTTTTTTACAGTACTTCTCAACTTTTCTGTCTCAGGCATTGGCCATGCACACAGTATTGTTCTCATTCATTGCCTTTTTCAAGCTATAACTTAACTTTTAATAAATAAGTGTTGCTTTTTTTCTGAGAACATGAAAGTGTTGAAAAGTATATTCATCTCAGGACTATCTAAGAATAAATAAAAGTTTCTTGGAATGTAAGTGTATATTTGAGCATATACATAGTCAGTAAATCCTAGGTTAGGAGTCCACAAATAAGTATCTATTTATATGCTACTGCCAGAATTTATTATGGGATGCTATCGGAGCTGAGAGTAAAATTCATGAGTTGTAGTTTCTGAATTTTAGTATGAAATTTTCCATTTTTCTATTAATTACCAGGTAGTTCAAGTGAGATTTACCTTCTTCAACACGAAAATAAATATATGGGCTTCTTAATAACTTATCTGAATAAGAAAGATAACAAGGATGATTTTTATGCAGCTATGATATATTTTATTACCTGAGCTAGAGGCCAAGTGGAATGCTTAATAGAAACGATGCAGCTGGTGCTTTGTAGAAGGCATGGAAGGTTGGAGTAAGAACAATTTAACAAGTCTGTGCTGAAATGATTATAAGGGAACACAATGCAGTCTACAGCCTGTTATCCTAGACTCATGCAGATTTATGCACTAGCCAGTCCCTGTCTATGGAGAGATTTGTTGTCAGGATAGAATTACTGACACACTGCACACCAAAGCAAGACAATTCTGCTGCAATGGTCTGAAAAACTGACTCATGACACAATAGGCAATGTTGACTCTAACAGTGCAGTAACCTTGAGAAAAGTTCTAATGGCTTAATTATCATGATCATTTTAGCCTTTTTTTTTTTTTTAAGAGGAAATAATCTTTTGGGAACATGCCTGTGATAAGATTGAAGGTTGTGCTATTCAGGAGTGAAGAAGTAAATGGGCCAGAACAACTGCACTCTCAGTGCTCTGTCCCCTGGTGGCAGGTGGGAAGGGTCTTTCAGCTCCTGCAGCTGTGTGCAGCTGTGCTGCACTGCAGGCACAATCTGAGACAGGTTGTGTTGCACAGGGTGGCTGCAGTGCAGTAAGTAGAGTGTATGAAAAAGAAAACCCCACTTGCTAATGGAAGGCAGTTCGTATGTATGGCAGTCCTTAGTGGAAACACAAACCATTAGCTGAGCTACTAGTTTCTGGGATTAGTAGTCTCTTCTAAATCACATCACTGTTCTCCTTGTGCAAGCTGCCTTGAAACTATCTTTGGTGTGCTCATGTGCTATGCACTTATGCCTCCGTTGTGATACCCACATAATCTAAGATTACAAATCTGTGACTGTGGGTACTGTGACCAAATAACCTTTTTCTTACCAGACCTAGCTTTACCAAAATTGGTCTTTTCCCACCAAATAATTGAAGGGAGAAAGGAGACACATTTGTTAGAAATTATATTATTAATAATTAATAATTGAAACACCCATTCAGTGAAATCTTTTGGTATATTAGATGGATTGTGATATAAACTAGAGTTCAAGGACTTTATTAATATCTTTATTACTTGACCTATTGTGATTTCTGTATACCAGTTGCTGCATCCTCATAACACTCCTATGAAATATGAAAATATGGCCAGCCTAACTGACCCATGGGATATCATGCCTGCTCCAGCTGAGAGCAGGAAACCAACTGGCTTTTGTTGGTGGAGGTGGTTTTCCATCTGTACACACACCTAGCACACAAACTAATCTAAGAAAGCATACAATGGTCATTGACTGGAAAACCATACAGAGCTTTGTTTAAGCATGGAGAGCCTATGGCTGATATGGTGATAATACTGCTGCAAAGATTAGCGCAGTTCCCCATAAGCAACCCTCCTGTACCTTCTGGTACCTTCGTGCATGTCTGAAAAACAAAGCAGTGGGTCTTATCTGTGGGGATCTGAGTCAAAAAGAGGTCCAAGAGGGCTAGGTCCCTAGTTCTCATTGAATTTCAGAAGAATCTGGATGCCAGCCTTTCTTGAAAGTCGCATTCCTGATATTTCCTTACACAACATGATCCTACTGATCCCTACTGCAGATTTTATGGCAGAGTTTTTAAGTTAATATTTTTTATTAGCGCATAAAGATTAATCAGCTTTTCGTTGTCTTACAGGTTTAGTTGAGATCTGTAGATTTTTAGTATTTAACTGTTTGATCCACCCAACAAGGTGCTTAAAAATTTGGTTTCTCATTTCTTTAAAGGATAAAAAGAAGAGGTACCATCAAATGATTAGCAAGTTCCTTATCACTGCCCATTTAATGCCCAAAGTTAACCCTATAAAATAGCTCAATACTTCCTTTTTTTTTTTTTTCCTATCCAAATAAATCATTAGTTAGGGATAGAAAATTCGTATTTATCTACATGGAAAAGCGAGAAGTTACTGGCTTCAATTCTTGACGTAAGATGGAATTGTAAATTTTACAAATACAAAATGACACTGACTCTTATTCAGTCAAGATACACCCTCTTGGGTATTTCAGAATTCAACTTCACCTAGTTTTAGGCAGGCTTATGTGAGCAGGCTTCTCCCAGACCACTGGGAGACAAGGTGTTCTGGTTAGGAAAATGTACTTTTATGGATCTCAACTTGCAGAGAGCTGCTTTAACAGCATGAATGATGATTGAACAGAGAATGCCATACATCCATTTTATTTCTCTTGCAAAGATCCCTCAGAGGAGTGTCCTGAGACTATGGTTTATAACTATAGCGTGAAGTACTGCAACCAGTCTTGCCGCTCGCTGGATGAAGCTGATCCGCTGTGTAAAGTTCAGATTGCTCCTATGGAGGGCTGTGGTTGCCCTGAAGGGACCTACCTCAATGATGAGGAGGAATGTGTGACTCCAGATGACTGTCCTTGCTACTACAAAGGCAAGATTGTTCAGCCTGGCAACTCTTTTCAGGAAGACAAGCTGTTGTGGTAAGCTGCACTAATGATACAAAGGTTGAATACCTGGGCTTGCTGGGGAAGTCCCTGCTCTAATCCTTGAATGTGGTCATTTTACTGTAAGGAATCACGATTAATTTCTACTTGATTTTACAAAAGCAAATGATCTCCTGGCAGGACTGGCAGCCACAGTGAAGATTAAGATCCTACATTGCTGCTGACAAACAAGAACCTTAAAACATGTAGTGTTTGTGACCTGTCTCTATGCAACGTTCACTGTTGAGTAAAAAAATATTCACTTACAGCAGGAGCAAGATAGGGGCTTTGTGATGAAAAGGAGTCCAAAACATCCCCCTAGCATCATCCTGCAGGCTGTTAAAAAAAATGTTGCTCAAGGGAAAGAAGCAAAATCTCAGTTTTTAAACATAAGGAGAAAACTAGGGAGGTGAATACTAAAGGTAAGGTAATTCTCTTGCATCTCCAGTGCAAAACAACTGCCTTTTCCTCATTTTCAGCCAGCTCAGGGTAGCAAATAAATGCAAACAAATATCACAAGAGGGCTGAATTATGCAAACAATGTATTTTTATTTTTAGATGTGTTTTCTCTTTCTCTCTTCCAACTCTTGGATTTCTCTCTGAAAATTTTTTGACTGCTTTGTAAATGCAAATTCGCTTAGTAATTTAGGAGGCCTCTTACTTAAGAAGGTACTACTCCCATCTCACAGAGCGGAAGAGAAATGCTGAGGAAACTCTTGATTTAGGAAAGGCATACACTAAACTAGTGGCAGATGAAAGGAAAGAATTTCATGTTTAGAACTTCCTTCTGGGGATGGCAATTCACATCTGTACCAAATATTAATTTTGCTGGGAATTTGTTATTTGTGTTACTAGCAAAGCTTCGCAGAGGCTTTCTCTCTAGTGAGAGAGACAAATGTGAAGAGCTGATGTGTTTCATTTTATGGAATCTCTTTAGCAAATGCATTCAAGGAAGATTAGACTGCATTGGAGAAACTGTCCTGGTAAAAGGTGAGATTTTGTTGAATAATAGCATTATAGTGTCAGCTAGTGTTTATAATGTTTCTCTGTACATCTCTTGCTTTCTGTAGCATTTTAGTCTTTTGCACATTTTTTACTTTCTCCCTGTAATTTGTGAGTTATTGGTAACAGTTGTCTTTATAAGAATGTCCCCAGAGTTGCTGAATTCTTTAAAAGATGATACTTCCCCAAGCTCAGAGGTTGTTTGCCTCCTTCTGTTGGTAGACAGAATGGAAACCTAATGGAAACTGTAAATGAGAGACATATGCTGCCCTCTGAAATGCCCAATTCAGTCACACAGAGGGGCTGATGACATCCTTATCACTTTCACCAAATGACCCTCCTACAATGTTCTTCATCCCATAGATTGCCCAGCTCCTATGTACTACTTCAACTGCAGCTCGGCGGGTCCTGGTGCCATTGGATCAGAGTGTCAGAAGAGCTGTAAGACGCAGGACATGCACTGTGTAAGGGCTTCACCTTCTGTCACGAGTGAGGGACAACATGATTGTGCATGTGTGATTGTCCTGAACAAACGCCGGCAGTAACAGATTACACTGCTCACAAGACCAGTCACCCCACTGATAACACTGCAGCTGCAGCTGCTCACCTAGCTGTGACGCCCGTAGCCTGATTGTTATTAACTTGCTGGCATGTAAGATTTTGAAAAGGCAATCCCAAAAGTTTGAAGTGCAGCACTAACACTTCTGGTTCCCTGTACGTTCTGTGCATTAATATATTGCCTTGTATCATGTTTTTATATATGCAGTATGTCACAGAATGTGTCTCTGGCTGCATGTGTCCCGATGGGCTGGTGTTGGATGGCAATGGGGGATGTATTCCCAAAGACCAATGTCCATGTGTCCATGGAGGGCACTTTTATAAACCTGGTGAAACCATCAGAGTTGACTGCAACACATGGTATGTTATTCCAGGGAGTCTCATTCTGTAACAAAGGCTGTTAAAAATAGTGCATAGTACATCCATGGGGCAGGATGCCTTTGAAACCTTTCTCTTCACCATCAGAATCATTAAACATCTAGTAAAAATTTAAAAAAGGGAGCATTCCCTCTCTGCACCACAATGCATGAGCCTGTATTTAAGGGAATGGGTACCAAATGTCGAAGAATTTCTATCGTTTTTTACAAACTGCTTCCACTCCAGCTTTAGAAATCCCAGACACATCCAGGCTGGTTTGTGGCTGCTCATTGTATAAGGAAGAATGGAGTCTGTCACTGTGGGACTCAGCTCACCCCCAGAAAAGGGCTGAATGTTGAGGAAGGAGGAACCACAGTGATCTTGCAGCAACCTGCAATTCTTCTGGGTGCACAGATCTCCCAGTAAGACAGATGAATGTTCCAGTTGTTCCAACTGCTGGTACAACGCTGCTGTAGTTCTCATAGATATTATTTATCGTGGTGGGTAAAATTCTTTGAATCCTTACCCATTATTTAGTGAGAAAATAAGAGAAGATAACAGCCAGAAACACTGCTTTGATTATCACTAGTACAAGCAATACGTTTAACATGTGAGGCCAAACCCTGATAAGCAGTTGTTCTCCCAGAGGCCATTAAGAGGTTTTATTGCAGTGAGGTCTTTGTTTTCTTATGAGAACAGATTGCACACAGGGAAAATAACTGCAGAGTATCTGTGCTAAGGGAACAACAACAAAAATTTTCTGTCTGTGCTGCCCCTCAGCTGGAGGTGAAGTCTGCCAGGGGAGGGTGGGAGGTAGTGTTGGGTTGCACACCGTGATAAGGAACTGAACTGGCTGCAAGGTATGTTAAATATGGTTGAATTATTATTATATTATTATTAGTTCTTCATCTTGAACTTAGATCTTAAATCCCCACTGTCAGCTGTCAGGCCTTAATGATTACAGTGCTATTTAAAAAAAAAATATCAAAATACACAATGTGTCTTGATAGAAAACATGAATTTTGTAATTAGCAGTCCATTATATGGCATGGTCTCAGAGTAGATTACTTTGAAGCACTGCAGAGGATTCAACTTTCAGTTATTCAGCCTATGTTTGGAGTTAAGGAAAAAACACACCTCATACAAAGATGGTGAACCTTTGCATTTCAACCCCCAGCACCTGTAACAAAAGGCAGTGGAACTGCACAGACAATCCCTGCAAAGGAACCTGCACTGTGTATGGCAACGGGCACTACATGAGCTTTGATGGGGAGAAGTTTGATTTCCTGGGAGACTGTGACTATATCTTAGCTCAGGTATCCCACTTTTTGTATTCTTATCCACGTGCTCTTCACAGCTTACACTGCAAGGTTCCATTTGAGAAATGATTTGATAAGACAAGGAAAAATGGTTTCAAACTAAAGGAGGGGAGGTTGAGACTGGATTTGAGGAAAAAGTGTTTTACAGTACGGGCAGTGAGACACTGGAACAGATCGTCCAGAGAGGCAGTGGATGCCCCATCCCTGGAGGCACCCAAGGTCAGGCTGGAGGGGCTCTGAGAACCTGATCTAGTGCAGATGTCCCTGTTCATTGCAGGGTAGTTGAACCAGATGGACTTTAAGGGTCCCTTCCAGCTCAAATGATTCTATGATTCTATAAAGGCTGTCTCATGTAAAGTAATGAACACCGGTGAGCTGAGCTGAGCCCCCCCTGCTCTTGTACTCAGAGCAGATACATATCTTCCATACAGAACCAAAGCAATTAACCCTCAGAAATGACACAAGAGGGCACTGTGTGATCCTAAATGATTAACTTCTGGGCTAGGCTGCCCTTTCCTGGTGTAAATCCACCATCTGCAAAGGAGGGGATTGATGTGGCATTGAAAATTAATGTTTCTCTGGATCATTCAAGAGTGACAGTAGGGACAGCAGGTTGACAGAGCATTCTGATCTAGCTGTAGGTGTCCCTTTTCACTGCAGGGGAGTTGGACCAGATGGCCTTTAAGGTCCCTTCCAATTCAAATGATTCTGTGATTCTGTTTTATTTATTTATTTATTTATTTATTTCCATCAAAAGCATGTAGAAGTTAGCATATGGATCTCAACTCATGTACCACAATTACATGTAATAAGGTAGTACTGAATGAGAGACTTTCTCATCTCCAAATCACAGTTGTTTTTGCTAATATTAAGAAGTATTTAAAAACGTGTTGGCTATGCAGGACTGGTGTTATGAGAGGCTCCTTTTTTTATCTCAGCTTTTCTCTTTGAAATTCCTGGCCAAATAAGTATGAACAGTTCAGCAACTGTTTCTTCTAACATGCCTGGAATTTTGGTGAACTCATGATAAAAAAGCAGAAGTCAGGTTGATGTATTTAGAGCTCTTGAAAATGTTTAAGACTGGAGTAATTACATGAAAAGATCTAATTCAATGTTATCTTATTTTTCTAAGGATTTTTGTCCCAATAACATGAATGCTGGCACCTTCCGAATTGTAATTCAGAACAATGCCTGTGGGAAGTCACTCTCCATCTGCTCCCTAAAGATCACACTGATTTTTGAGGTTTGTCTAGAATCATTCCTAGCTGAGGAGCTGTAGTCTTGATTTTGCAGCTCCGTTATATTCCAGCTCCGTTGTTGCTATAGAGTACCTATGTTAATCAAATAGCTGGAAAGCAAAGGCAAGCAAGCTGAAAAAGGTGTAGGTAGTTGGCATTAGCAGGGCTGGGTACTTCTGCAGGGAAGGGGGCAGGGGGTCAACAGCACTCTGCGTGTGTATGTGTGCATCTGTGATATTAGTGGTGCATGGGTGGGAAAAAAAAATTAGAGACCATATTGCATATTTCTGTGCCATGGTTTGTGCACAGGGCAGATGTCAAGCATGGAGGGAAGAGTTTCTTCCTTCCAGCTCAGCTTTAGCATTTCCCCAAAGCGAACACAAAAGAACAAAGAAACGTATCCCAGAGTGGGGGGTGAGGGTAGGGTGAAAGAAAGTGGCGTGACAAGGAGTGTTCCGGCATGCCCAATTACCCTTGCACTCGGGAGCTGTTGTGCCAGCAAAATTGATTTCATCTAGAATGAGGACAATTTATGTGACCGTGAAGTAAGACTTGTCATGCATGGGCAGATGTTTCCCATTGAGCTCAGTGGGTCTTGTCTTTCGCTCACGTGTCCTGGGATAGGCCAAGACGTAGTGCAAGAACTACAGAAAAATGAAATGAAGGACAAAAGCCAGAATACCAGAGCCGTTACTCTATTTGGTTTCCTTCCATGCAATACATTTGTTCTTTGTAGAGCAGTGAAATCAGGCTTTTAGAAGGAAGAATTCAGGAGATAGCCACTGATCCAGGAGCTGAGAAGAATTATAAGGTGGATCTCAGAGGAGGTTATATTGTGATTGAAACAACTCAAGGGATGAGCTTCATGTGGGACCAGAAGACGACAGTTGTTGTTCATGTGACACCATCTTTCCAGGTAGGTGCAGAACAGACTGAGTTACAATTTCAAACTCAAAGTCATACACCCAGAACTGAAACCCCAGTTTGAAATTCAGGGCTTGGAGAAGTGTTGAGTCCCGTGGGCAAGAAGCAGTGAGTGGGCCGTGCTTCGTGTTTCATTGTCCAGTTGGTATGGAATGCTCCAAAAATTTGGGAGCTAGAAGTAAAGCCAGATATTTTGAGTACTGGTGGGCTAAAAGAGTGATCTTGTCACTTCTAGTACAGCTTTTTCTGAAACATATTTTGATGGCTGTTTAGAAATTCGCAGCTATTTTTCCTTGGCTTGTTCTGTAGTTTATTTCTGTCAAAGAGTGGGCTACACTTAAAATAACCAAACCACTTACTGCGCCTACACAAATTACTCAGGGAAAAGTCTGCGGCCTTTGTGGGGACTTCGATGGCCGCTCAAGGAATGACTTCACAACCAGAGGGCAGTCTGTGGAGATGAGCATCCAGGAGTTTGGAAACAGCTGGAAAATAACAAGCACCTGCTCCAATATCAACATGACAGACCTGTGTGCTGATCAGCCTTTCAAATCTGCCTTGGGACAGAAGCACTGCAGCATCATTAAGAGTAGTGTCTTTGAAGCATGCCACAGTAAGGTAATCCTATTCTCCCACCATCAGTACTTTCACACCAGGCATTAGTTGCTATTATACAGCACATTTGTGCACAAATTGTTACTATTAAAGGCTATTACACAACATCTTGAGAACAGGGGCTACCTCTCTCAATACCTTTCCTTACTGCTATGGCAGATAAATCCTGCTGTTTGGCACTGGGGAAGCAGTGGTGCCTGTTTTGAGTAACCAAGGACAAAGAGGATAATAGTTGGCTACCAGACGTTAAAAGCTGGGTATCAGTTTGTAACATCAGGAGATAACACCATAGGGCTGTTTTTATGCGTATCCTTGGGAAAGTTTATTCAAATTACCGAAAGAAAAAAGTTACTTTGTTCATTTTAGACACATCAAATTAATTTAAACTGAAACAGAGCTGCTAATTCTTAATGAAAATGCCTATGTGAGGCTTCAGTGCAATTTAGTAAGTCACTTAAGGAGTGAACTTGGCCTAATTTCCTTGGATAGCTCATGGTGATACAGGTTATAATGCAAGAAATGTGAAATTCAGTGGAAAATACAATTTCATTTTATATTCCATCACTATCCATCAATTAGAAAGCACACGCACCATATAGTTGTGCTAACCCAAAGCCAGGTAGTTTAATTCTGCAGAAATTATGCTTGGAAAGATACTTGATTGTAAATGCCAGTGCACAAATAAGAAAGAAAAGATTTAAAGTCACATCTACCAGACAGGTGAAAATAGAAAAGTACCTCTTGTAAAACATCCTAGCTCTGTCTGACAAGCCCAGACTGTCACAGACAGTTCTGCTGAAGAAACTGCCAGGGATGGCAGAAATTCAGAGCCCTTTCATTAAAATGTAGAGCAAGAGGTACAGCTGTGATAACAGCTCTGTTGGTGTTTTGATAGGTGAATCCAATACCATATTATGAATCCTGTGTTTCTGACTTCTGTGGCTGTGACAGTGTGGGAGACTGTGAGTGCTTTTGTACCTCGGTGGCTGCTTATGCAAGAAGCTGTAGCACAGCTGGTGTCTGTATCAACTGGAGAACGCCAGCCATCTGCCGTAAGTATTGCACTGGAAATGCACACAGAAAAGAGGTGCTCCGTGTGTTTGGGCACATGGGGGAGAAAGAAGAGCAGAATTCTGGTATCTCAACATGTTTGTGACTTAATAGGATCTTGTTTGCAAGAATTAGAAAACAAATCCTTCCCAATGTCTGAGACTTGGAGGATTTCTTGTTTTTGTTTTTCCTTCTGTCCCAGCTGTGTTCTGTGATTACTACAATCCACCTGACAAACATGAGTGGTTCTATAAACCCTGTGGAGCACCTTGTCTAAAGACCTGCAGGAACCCACAAGGAAAATGTGGAAACATACTGTACAGTTTAGAAGGTAATTCTTCCTTGACTTTGACGCAATTTGTTGAAGACTTGTCTGATTTTAAATGCTTTAAGCAGCAAGATTGCTGTCTTACCTTGGAGGAATATCTCATTTGCTCTAGAAACTCACTGACTGTGCCTCACCTGAGGCTAATTCTCTGTGCCATAGTACCATTTGAAGCAGAATTTGCATGTTATTTTTAAACTGGGCAGAGATAAAAATTCACTGAGTCTAAATTTGTGAAGAATAATCGTGTTGACAGAATTCATTAAAACTTTCAGAGGAGAGGGAAAAAGGGGATATGGAAAATGGGAAAATGAATAACATTTATACTGGATCATGTTCATACTGGGATAAAATCTGCATCTGATAGAGGTGTTTATGATTGCCTTGAATCTTCGTAAAGCAGGCTAAAGACATTTTGTTTACTTTAACTTTCCAGGCTGTTACCCAGAGTGTAGCCCTGACAAGCCCTATTTTGATGAGGAGAGGAGGGAGTGCGTCTCCCTCCCTGACTGCACTTCATGGTAGGTCAGTTGATGGTAAGGAAGATACATAGCTAGAGAGCTGTGCCCTGTATAGTTTATGTTCACAGGAATTGCTGGCAGCAACAACCATTAAAACCTGAAGGAGCAGGCTTTTTTGTTGAAATAGTTATGTCTGCAGACAGATATCATTGCACACGTATTTCCACATACTGATTCAAGTCAGTAAAAACAAGTTTTCTCTCCTCCTCTTTGTCTTCAGCAATCCTGAAGAGAAGCTGTGTACCGAAGACTCCAAAGGTAACGTTTGATCACCTTTCGTTGAGACTGGAACACCCAACATCACATGTTGAGAAATCTTCTAGAGGTGCTATTTTCTGTCCTCTAACTATATAAGATACCTAGACAGTTAGGCTTAAGAGCAGCCTGATGTGCTTCAGGGACACACTTGCTTGTTAATTGCCATTATATAGGAGAAGCCACATCCTCAAAATGCAGCGTGACTCAGTCAACAACACTTCTTCAATTGTGCTAATTTTTTTACAGTAATATAGATACATCTTTTCGTGTTTCCTGAATACACATTCTCAAAAAACTACAGCACTTCTTATATACTTACAGGAAGCTGTTCATTGCTGCACATTCATCACTAGTGGTAATGGAAGCTCCAGGGTCTTAACAGTTATCAAAGCATTAGTCCCAGCCATATGCCCTGCCAAGAGGGAATATCCCTGTGCTCTATACTGGACAAGGACAGTGCCAGTTCTGATACTTTCACCAGCCAATAAGCTGACTCTAAGAAGAACCAGCAACAAAAAAATTCCAACTCATTTAAAAAAAAATGAGGTAGACTCCCAGTGCAACTTCTCAAGTAGAAACTGGTCATGTTTTTCAGATTGGTAATTCAGTTTTGCATACATGAATTGTAAATCCAGAGTTTGATTTTCTTCTCATTTATATTTATATTTATATTATGAGGCAGTGTTCTCTGGTACCATGGTATTTACTCTTTTATTGCCTCAGATTGCCTTTGTTGCTACAACGGGAAGACCTACTCATTAAATGAAACTATATACAGCCAGACCGATGGGACTAAGTGTGGTAATGCTTTCTGTGGCCCTAATGGAGTGATCATTAAAACATTCATCCCCTGCAGTACGCCATTCGCACCAGCACAAGGTACTATCAAGTCTGTAATTTTGTGTAATTTTTGAAATCCTTATGGTCAATGTAAAGATCGCATAGATTTAGCCATTTTTCAACATGGCTTTTCCAGTATCTTTGGGTCTTCCATAGCTGACATTGCTGTTGTTATTCTCAAAAATTTCGTAGTTCTAAATCTTGTTTTCTCCTTCTCGTCACCTATTATTTCACACTATTGTTCTTACTGTATACTGTTTTCTACATTGGATTAAGTCAGTCTCAAATGACTCATTGGAACAAGAAAATAAAGCTACCTTGTGGTTTAATCTGTTCATAAAATAGAAGTTGCAGGAAAAAGATCAAAAGAAAAAATGAAGCTGTGCCATGATTATAGGAAAAAAAAATCAGTGATTTAAAAATATATCCTTTGGTAGCAAATTGTACAAAATAAAGCAATCAAAACTAACATCTTCTCCATTCAAGTGAGTGGATGAACTGAAGACTTGATGGTAAGCTTATTTGTCTCCTGTTTACTACATTTGGTAACAGCTGGAATAAGCCATATAATGCTGTTATAGCTAGGAAAGGAGAGGCTATTTAAAGCAGAGTATAGGGTGGCCTCATTAAATTTCTAAGTGACCCATCTGTATTTAAATCAACAAATTCTTTACAACTAGCCTTTACAGAATAAAACGGCTTGCCACTGGAAGTCACCTCTCCAAGGTCAGGAGAAGTCCTATGGGATTAGAAAGACAAGAAGACCTTAGTTGGGAATAAAATAAGAGACAGTGTAAGGGGGACTTGCTCTCTTCTGTATAAAAATACCTGATGCACACACCTGGAGGAGTGTGTGCATTACCCTGGTAGCATAGTGTGTGTATGGGGGTCATTAAGATATATGGACTGTTTTTAGTGTGAACCTGTACAGAATGTGGTGGTGTGTAATAGTGACTTTGTTCCTCTTCTTGTAAATGTAGAGAATGTGATAGATGTCATCGAGCTTGAATATAGATAGAGTAGCAGAAGCTTTGGATATTAACTGGTTTAATTTTCTGCAGAACAACTTATGCAGCCTGTAACATCACCGTTACCACCGTTATCAACAGAAGCCACTCCCTGTTTCTGCACTGACAATGGACAATTGATACAAATGGGTGAGAAACCAAGCTATTTACTTTTTCTGCACCACTGATGTGGGAAGATGTACTGCTAGATAAATGTGCTCCAGCGAGTGATGATTCAGACTGCTGCAATTACACATTACCAGAAGTTGTTACATCTCTGAACTGTAACTAACACCTCCAAAACTGCTTTTCACCTGCATCCTGTAACATAGTCCTGGTTTGTATATCCCCGGTATAAGAAAGCTTATATTAGATGTTAACTTTAGTGTAATGCAGCACAACTCCTGAATCCCATAACGTAACACAGTTTTGTAATCCACATTCCTATTCCAAAGTTACAGGAGAGAAAGCTTTTCTTTTTATCTCTTAGTAGCTCCTGAACATGTATATCATGGTCTTTGTGAAGCACTCAGTGATACACTCAGTTTTCTCTTCTTTTGGACTCATACTCAATTCTCTCCAGTGTACTTACAGATGAGCTGACGAAATGCAGATTTGCCACCTGTAGCTCTCTCTCCCTGAGCACTTTTCATTTAGATGAATTGAGACCTGATCCAGTCATTAGATTCAGTGCTCAGCAGGCAGACACACTGAATGTATGGTGCAGGCAGACCCAGTTACTTCCATGCAAGGCTGAGTATGTGTCTGATCTGTGATGCATAGTCCTTGAGAGTTCACAGCAAACATTTACCAGTTCCAGGGGCAATTCAGTACTAACTGTTTGGTTTTGGCCTTCCAGGAGAAAATGTTTCTCTGCCAATGAATATATCAGGTCATTGTGCTTACTCCATTTGCAATGCATCGTGCCAGATTGAATTAATCTGGGCAGAGTGTAAAGTCGTTCAAACTGAGGCCCTTGAGACCTGTGAACCAAACTCTGAAGCCTGTCCACCAACAGCTTCTCCCAATGCAACAAGCCTAATTCCTGCTACCACGTTGGTTCCTGTGAGCGACTGTCTTGGGCTCGTTCCTCCTAGAAAGGTGAGAGTCTTGAACGAAGATACAGTTCTTTAGCTAGAGCATTGGAGGCAGGCAGAGTTACCTGAGCTGAAGAACAGCTAGGAAACCACATCTAGTCATGTCACACCTGCAGAAGCAGTCAAGACCTTATTCCCGAGACGTGCACAAAATGTAGAACAGAAGAAGATATCATAGCTGCATTGATTGCTACATACGTCATATTTTCTGGGTTACAGACACTAGATAGTAAATAATGCCATACCAGATAGGGATGTGAGTGGAGTGTGGTTGGTACATACGTTTGTTACATTACTTTGCTATGTTCTTCTCCATCTCTTTCAATCTGTCAATAGTTCAATGAATCATGGAACTTTGGAAACTGCCAGATTGCCACTTGCCTGGGAGAAGAAAATAATATTAAACTGTCCAGCATCACTTGTCCTCCTCAGCAGCTGAAACTCTGTGTCAATGGTTTCCCATTCATGAAACACCGTGATGAAGCTGGTTGCTGTGAAGTCTTTGAGTGCCAGTGTAAGTACTGTGGCAAGTGAATTTGTGAAATTTTTGCTATGAATCTTTGTGGACAACATTTGTATTATGTTTGTATTGATTCAGTAAGGTGAAATAGAGCAGAATTCCCACATAAAACATTAGGCATTAAGAGCAGATAAAAATGTGTTTGCTAAGTTAGCTTTTCTTCACCAAACTAGTATTTTCAGATCTCACTGAAAAAGATTAAAAGAATTAAAACCAGCTTGAGGCTGAGAAACTAAACTTGAAGTGTGTCTTCCAGGTATTTGCAGTGGGTGGGGAAATGAGCATTATGTGACTTTTGATGGAACATATTATCACTTCAAAGAAAACTGCACGTATGTCCTCGTGGAGTTAATTCAGCCCAGCTCTCAAAAGTTCTGGATTCACATAGATAACTACTACTGTGGTGCCACCGATGGAGCAATTTGTTCAATGTCCCTACTCATTTTTCACTCCAATTCTCTTGTTATTCTGACACAAGCAAAGGAACATGGAAAAGAAACAAACTTGGTAAAGTATTTTGTTAAAATGAGCTCTCATTACTTTGCTGTAGTTACATTACTCTACTGCCAAATGCCTTGCCATGTCAAAGGATGAAGCTTGAGAAAAATAGAACTGTGGGAAATGCAGTTACATTACTTCCTTGTTCTTTCTTTTTTCTCTGTATCAGCAAAACTTAGTATATTCCAAAAGCTTGAAATTGTCACACAATTTATGGTGTTTTTTTCTTAACATAAGTATTTAGATGTAAATTACAACATATTAAAAAGGAATAATCAGGAACTGTCTAAATGACTGCCTTTTTCAGATTTCATTTTGTGTACCTGAGAGCTGAGAAGTGGCTCTTCTGAGTTACATGAATTGTATATACTGTTGAACAGAAAAATATCCATAAAGACCTTTTGTTTCTCTTCTTTTTAGGTTTTGTTTAATGATAAGAAAGTTGTTCCAGACATCTCCAAGAATGGAATCAGGATAACCAGTTCTGGCCTTTACATTATTGTTGAAATACCTGAGTTAGAAGTTTATGTCTCTTACAGTCGACTTGCATTTTACATAAAACTCCCTTTTGGAAAGTATTATAATAATACCATGGGACTGTGTGGTGAGTGTGCTCATCAGCTGACAGTAAAGAACACAGTAATTTTTCCTCCTTCTTTCTCATTTCCAAATTCTTGCAACTTCAATGATTGCTATGTTACAGAAATCTTAACAAATGTATCTCTTTTTAATAGGAAGACACTCTCAGAAGATAATGTTTTGAGCCACTTCCTTCCACTCTATACGTTTGCTGGAGACAAGCTCTTTCTAAGCTCTTACTTTTGATCATACCTACTCATTATGTAGGGTCTTCAACAAGTCAGAGCCATCTCAGTTGCTTTAGCCATCCAGAGAAATGCACTAGGCAACACCTTAGCTCTGATCTTCATGGCAAACTATTCCCTCTAGCCTTCTACAAAGCTCTTTTGAGCCCATTCAGGATTCTGTGTGTCATTTCTTTCCCACAAGAACTTCCCACCAGGTATTATTCTGTTATGTAAAAACAGCTTTATCAGCATCAAACAGCCCTGAATTGTCTCTTTGTTTATATTTTGCAACCAGGTACATGTACCAACCAGAAGTCTGATGATGCTAGAAAGAGGAATGGTGAAGTCATTGAGTCCTTCAAAGAGATGGCTTTGGATTGGAAAGTCCCTGTTTCTACCAACAGATACTGTAACCCAGGCATCTCAGAACCAGCTAAGATTGAAAATTATCAGCACTGTGAGCCTTCTGAGCTGTGTAAAGTCATCTGGTAAGATAACTTCCACGGAGGCCAAATAATAAGTCCACAAGACAGTTTTGTGCTTAACTATATTACTTGGGTGAGTTGCTTATAGGACACAGTAAAAATATGAGTTCTAGCATACCTTCCAAAACTGAGCAGTGAACGGATGTAAGAATGTTCCCAAGTTTGGCAGGTGTTTTTCAGCTGCAGCAGCATCAGACCTCCCTTAACTGTGTGTGCTCCCTCTGCCTGTGGTTTCTTGATAAGTTTAGCAGAAACCAGCAATCACTCAGCACCTGTCTGAATGCTGTGGATGAAAAAGAATACAGTCAGAATATAGCAAGCAAATGTGTATGTCTGTTTTTTAAATAATGTTGTTTAAAATATGATTGCCAACCATGTTGACATTACAATGTCAATGTATAAAATTACAGACATGAACTGCTCAGAAGCCTTGTCTTTGCACATGTCATTCCAATGTAAAATTGCTTTGTTTCAAAGCATTGTAAAGAATGGGAGGTAAAGCTCATTCTTAATTGAACCATAGAATCATTAAGTTTGGAAATGATCTCTAAGATCATCAGTTCCAACCATCTACCTACTGCCAACATTGCTCACTGGGCCACGTCCCTCAGTGCCACATCTCCACAGTTCTTGAACTCCTCCAGGGATGATGATCCACCACCTCCCTGGACAGCCTGTGCCAGCGCCCCAATGCACTCAGTGGGTGTACTGCCAATCACAGCAACTTCTCTTTGTACTTTTGCCTTGATGTTTTCTCTGAGTGGGGATCGGTTCAGCTGAGTTGAATTCTAGCGCAAGGAAGTAAAATGCTCTGTTTCCTTGTTTCCTTCCTTTGCAAAGGAACCTGACTGAGTGCCACCACGTGGTCCCCCCGCACCCCTACTATGAGGCATGTGTGGCCAGCAGGTGCTCACAGCAGCACCCCAGCACTGAGTGCCAGAGCATGCAGACATATGCAGCCTTGTGTGGGCTCCACGGGGTCTGTGTGGACTGGAGGGGGCAGACGAGGGGGCAGTGCGGTAAGCCTGGCAAACACCTGCTGCAGAAGTGGCTCTGATCAGCTTTTTCATAATGTACACACGCATTTCTATTCCTCTGCATCAATACTTCTTTAGCTGCTCAGGACCTAAGAAAAATGGGAACAAATTAAAAAAAAAAAAAAATTGCAGTCTATAAATAGTGCAAAACAAGTGGGAAGCAGGTCCATAGGCTCTTCTGAGAAGCTTGCAGAGTGGGTTGGGACATTTCTCACTTTTCTCCCCTTCGTGTTAGCTACAACTTCATCACTAGATGGCAATGCATAGCTTTTCTTCTCACTGCCTGCGCAGGGGCCTTTGATTCTGGTTAAGCACTACTGGTACTGCTGCAAGCACTTGCGGAATTAATGAAGTTCCTCTTGCTGAAGATGCAGGGACCCCTTGCCGGGCAGGAGCTTGGGCTGCTTGTCCATCATGCACTGAAGGGTACAGGTGGTCCTGGGCTTTCTAATTCCTGTGTTGTGATGCTCTACAGAGGCCACCTGTGCTCGGGATCAGGTCTACAAGCCTTGTGGGGAAGCAAAAAGAAACACTTGCTTCAGCAGGTGAGTCATTTCCTATGGCAAAGGCTCATAACTTGAGGAGTCCCAAGGAAGGCTCAAAGATAACTTTCCCCTGGGTTTTAGTTGTCTGCTTGTCCCTAGCGCACGTTTCTGCCTCTCATTCGTTTCTGTTTGTATTCTAATTGTGCAGAGAAGTTGTTATGGACACCTTCCCCTCACAAAACAACACACCAGTGTTTGTTGAGGGATGTTACTGCCCTGATGGAAATATTCTGCTGAATGAACATGATGGCATCTGTGTTTCTGTCTGCGGTAAGAAATAATGTAAAAACTGGGATAAGGTGGGATGATAAGGCCCCATGTAGAAGTGCACATAAGGGAGATGTTCTGGGTACAGAGGAAATGAAGGAGGTCTTCATACAGGCCCTTCCTAGGTAGGCTGGAAATGCTTCTGATTGACAGTTTCCTCCTACTTTTACATATAAAGTGAAACTTTTGCAAGATCAAAGGCATATTTAAACTATTAAGCTAATATAAGATATTTTGGCTACATAACCTGTGAATTTTCACACTTAATCTTTCTGTTTGTGTCCATTTCTCAGATTTCAAGAGCCTCCTATTTCTGTCCTGCTGCTTCTGCTGTTTTCCCCAGTTCAGTTATCACTAATGGAATCTAATTTGTTTTGTAGGTTGCACTGCACAAGATGGATCGGTGAAACAGGTAAGGCATCCATTAATCTAATGCTTCTAGTTTTTTTCTTCTAATGACTACCTCTACTGTTTTTACAGCCTAGGGAGGCTTGGGAGCATGACTGTCAATACTGTACTTGTGATGAAGAGACCTTCAATATCTCTTGCTTCCCCCGCCCTTGTGCTAAATCCCCACCAATCAACTGCACTAAAGAGGGCTTTGTACGTAAAATAAAACCACGTCTGGATGATCCATGCTGCACAGAGACAGTCTGTGGTAAGTCACTGATTCATGTGCCATCATGTCATCAAGTAGCATCATTTGCCTCATGGTGACCCAACAGCTAGCAGATTCAAACAAGCGCACTGGAGTAGTAATTTATTCTTGCTGTCAAAAAAGTCCTCCTCTAATTCAATTTGTATTCTAAACTACTGCTATGACCTACTAGGCATCTTCTCCTCATAGTCTACTCAGGCCCCAGATATTTATTCCTAACGTCCATAGGACACTGCAGGACAAGGTTATCCTGGCAGCATTGGGATGTTTTCATCTTCCTTATTCCTTCATACCCCCGAACAAAGATTCATTGCCTCCTCTGGATGTCCGGTGGGCACTGCTCAGAGCAGAGTGCTCTGCCTTGCATCTCCCTACTTCTATGTCTCTGACCCTCAACCACTACCTCTTCATTTTTTCCACTCTAACTCATTTGCTTTTAACCCAACACTTATCTCTGTCATTTCACTTTTTCTCTGATGAGCATGTATATTTTGTTAGAGATGACATCCAGTAGAGAAAACATGGGCTAGAACTATATGCTTTACAGTAAGAAAAAGAGCTTTGCAGCAGGTCAAGCTTCAAGAAACTTAACCTGAACAAAACCCAACCTCGAAAGATGTTTGGTTTGAGAATCATCTATTTTCTGGATGTTTGAGCCTTAGGCTGTGAGTAAAACAGCTGGACAGGATGATCTGATTTACTTTATCTCCATTTGTCCATTGCAGAATGTGATATAAAAACTTGCATTATCAACAAAACAGCGTGCGACTTAGGTTTCCAGCCAGTGGTAGCTATATCTGAGGATGGTTGTTGCCCTATCTTCTCCTGTAGTAAGTACCATGTTTCCCTAACATGCTCCTTTGAAGTCTTACACTGAGAGGGTGGCGAGGCCCAGGCACATGCTGCCCAGAGAAGCTGTGGATGCCACATCCCTGGAGGCACTTGGGGCCAGGCTGGATGAGGCCCTGGACAGCCTGATCTGGTGATCAGCAGCCCTGCCCACGGGAGGGGGTTGGAACTGGGTGATCTTTGAAGTTCCTTCCAACCCAAGCCATTCTAGGATTCTGTGATACTATGATTTTTAATTCCTTGAACTATTTTAGTTTTTCTAAATGAGTCCCTCCCTGGTGTGTTTTGTGGAACAAGAATAAGTGCTGTAAGTTTTCTGTAGATAATATTCAATGAAATATCAGTGTGTGATTGATCAAATACTGAATTTGTATTACAGTGAACATATCTAGAAGTTCCGCTGCCAAATCTTGTTTCTGGAATTGCGTACCTCACCCAGCTTCTCATTTACATAGTAACTAGCAAGGTGGCTAACAATAAAGAAAAGCTCATCTAATTTCAAGTACGGGTAAAACTAGGTGAAGTAAATTAGTTTTCCCATATGGAAAATACCAGGATATAGAATGCATAACATTTGAGCAGATGTTGCCCACGGGTTTCAGAATGACCGTTAGCAATGTGTACTAGCTGTGCTTTTCCTTCCATTGTGCAGGCTATGGAGGCTTAGCAAATAAACCCAATTCTACTCTCTGTCTTCTAAAACACTAAGAATTCAGAGCTGAGTACTATAATGGTAATATCATTCCTAGCACATCCTTTTCATTTTCTTTTTCTTACAGTACCAAAAGGTGTATGTGTTTCTGAAGGAGTTGAATTTAAGGTAGGTCTTCTTCCAGATACTTCTTTCCATGGGTTAATGCAGCCTGAATCAGAATTTTATGAACTAATTATTGTCAACAATCACATAAGAAACAAGATTAAAGTGGTCCATAACTGTTTCCTGCCACTAACCTTATGTGTTACTGGAAATATTAATGAATAGGTAATCCTAGAGATTAGTAGCTTCATTAGTAAACAAAATAATTAGAGATCCTTAGGTTTTAGAGAGTAGAAGTCAGAATTGTGATGGAACACAAATTTAAAAGCTTATTAGATGCTGTGAGATTAATAGATAGATCAAACTGAAGAAAAAATGAAGTATGGAGTTTATGAGATAATGTAACAACTCACACAGTATGGTCAGTACACTTGGGTGTGTCAACCTCATGCAAAACTTGTGATATCGACAGTGTCAGTTTCACAATTAAAGATCTGAGACATTCTTTCCAGGAAGTTCTGCCAAAAATAAATACTGAGTATGATCATTATTTTTCAATAGTCCGGGGGATGTATGTTTCTTCACACCCACCAATTTCTTGCCATTGCCTGTTTTCTCTCTGATTTCCTTTATCTTTTCAGCCTGGAGCAGTGGTGCCAAAAAGCTCTTGTGAAGACTGTGTGTGCACGGATGAGCAGGATGCTGTGACGCAAACCAACCGCATCCAATGCATCCCAGTGAAATGCCAAACCACCTGCCAGCAGGTCAGTGCTGCACGCAGTCCCCACCACCAACAAAGGCTGTTGAGAGAGAGTACTGTAAATCTGGGGCAGTACAAGTGCTGTCTTGCTGAAGGGTAGCAGGATATTATCTTCTGTTCAAGTTTTGTAAAGTCCTTTTTACAGTGCTGGCCATTTTTGCTCTAGCAAACAGAAGAAATTACCCAAGGAGGGATGCCTTGAAGATGAATGGCTGCAGAGCTACTAAGGAGAAGTCTTACTGCTGAAAGATGATGTTTATGCCATTCTGTTGGTGTTGTTTTTGGCTCAAAAATTAAGATCACTGAGAAACCACATGGCTGTTTATGTGTTTCCAGACACTACTCAGTACTCATGAGTTGAGAGTCTGAACAAAAACTGCTCAGTCTATTTCTGAACATAAGCAAAGAATGGTTCCTTCTCTTTCTCATCCAGATAAGGCTAGACTCTCTACCCATCCTAAAAAATTGATAAAACCATTATCCTTCATCTTGAAGCCAGCAGCACCCATGAAAAGACTGATAGATACCTAAAGCACAGGGAAGGAAATAACTGATGCATAATCTTCATGTGTTTGACAGTGACGACTCTGCTGAATAATCATATCATATCAAGCACTGGTGGTAGACTTTGCAAATAATCTTATGATGAATTAATTTATTGTAACTTGTGTGTTAGCAAAAAGAAGAGTAGCTTAAAGCAGGGTCTACACGGTAAGTGAAGCGCCCCAAAGGTCACTATTAAAAACTGGAAAGAAATTGCCAGCTTTAGTTGTCAGGCTTAAAGTGGTTCCAACAGCTTTCTAAAGGAAAACAGAGGTGGGCTCATTTCCCCTGCTATCTCCAGTGTGGCTTTGATCCAAAGGTATTTCATGAACAAGATAGTGCAGCTAAATGGTGGCCTTATTCCCACAGGGTTTCCGCTACGTGGAAAAGGAAGGTCAGTGCTGCAGCCAGTGTCAGCAAGTGGCTTGTGTGGCAAACTTTCCATTTGGCAGTGTGACCATTGAGGTGAGCGCTCCCTTGCTTTGCATGCCAAGCTGAATTGACTTCAATGCTTTTAGAAGTAGTGCCATACATTTTGAGGCTGCAGAGACCTTTCAGAGATTAGAAATTATCTGTATTTGCAAAGTATACATCAGAGTTTATATGACTGCTCTCTTTGCTGTGAGCATCTTGCAGACAGTGCTGTTTCGAAAATAATTTATCTCTGTCGGGAAGGGAAATCATGTCACTCCCTCTTCCTGGCATGCAGCAGAGAGATGGAATTTGTAGGGGTGGTGGCATTGTGTAATACTGCAGAGATAAGTGAGCTGGCTTCACATTATATTGCTCCAGTACTGGAAACAGAGTCGTTATCTTGCCCTGAAGATACAGGGCTGAATAGTTTGAGCAAGCCATAGAACTGTACTAACACTTGTTACAAATTTGGTGGGCAGAAATTGAAAGTGTTATAGCTGCTATAGTGTATGTAGTGCACCTCAGTAACACAGCCAGGTAATACACTAGGTCTTCTCAGCTTAGTGTTGCGTAGATGTGAGCTGAGCCTCAGGCTGGCTGGCTGCTTTTATTATCTCCTGCTATTGCTGTGAACAGTCAATGACACTGTCTCACCCAGTGGCTGTTGTTTTATGTGGTATTTCTCCTCTGGTAGCTCTTGAGCTCTGCGTCTTTTCTGTTTCATCCTTTCCTTCCTTGAAAATTTATGTTGAAATTGGCTTCTCTTGTGCCAATATAGAATTTTTATGCTTCCACTTAAAAGGTGGTTACCATGAGGAGGTTTTATCCATTAACCTCTATCATGAAGATTGTTTTCCTCTTTCAAACGATTTGCTTTTCTTCCATCTATTAAAAAACAGCTGAAATCCTGTAGAATTACTTTTCTTTTGTTTATATTTCATTCAATCCATATTACCAGATATACATCATGGTATCTCTTAGCATTTCTGTTCATACCTCCATATTTATTCTGCCACCAGTTTGTGCTCCTTTCCATGTAAGTGACCAGAAAAGGGATTTTGTGGAGGCTGGTAGTGAATGAGCTTGGTAGATGTGAAATCAGCATCTCAGCACTATCAGATTGATTTGAACATCCCAGCCCTTCTGCCAGGGGCTGCATTACTATTGCATTATTCTGCTTGTATTGTCATACTATGTTATGACTTATTTATTCTTCCTGTTGTTTTTCAGGTTGGAAAGAGTTATAAAGCACCATATGATAACTGTACTCAGTACACATGCACCGAATCAGGGGGCCAGTTCTCCTTGACTAGTACAGTAAAGGTCTGCCTACCATTTGAAGAATCAAACTGCGTCCCAGTAAGTATTTTAGAACTAGGAAAAAAGCCTCTTGAAATGAGCCATGCCATTGCTCTGGGAGATTTCTTTACTCTTTTGAATGGGTCACTTCACTTTTTCTTGACCTTTCTGAGTCAATCATCCTATTCGAAGGAAATGTGCTTTTTCAACTCTGGATGAACTGTCCTAGGAAGCATAACAAAAGTATCTGTGAGCAGTGCGCACACTTTTTGTGAAGTAAAGCACTAGAACTTGAAAGAGGAGAGTCATGGGACAATGACAAAGCAGGATTTTTCATCAACTGACAGCCACTGACTTGAATTACCTTTGGGGTAGGTTTTGTGTAAGTCAAGCTGTTCAATTTCAGAGGCAGGTGTCATTCTTTGGCTTTGAATTTGCCTCTTTTGTGCTGGCTTCAACAGAACCTAGGTAAAGTCAGGTATGTGTTACAGAGCATCCCACGTGGCTTGAGTAGATTTAAAGAAAAGATGCTCCCTGATGGATTTTTTTTTTTTTTTAAGCTGTTCTCCATAAAACTGGTACACAGTACACAAATGGGTGTAATGAGGAGTTGGTGTGTTGCTAAGGATGAGGGCATCTTTTTGAACTCCCCTTGTTTCTACCAGCTGCTTAACAAGATGTGCAAGCTAGACTTGAGTATCCGAACTTCTCTGGTTTGCTTTCAATACAGGGGACTGTTGATGTGACTTCAGATGGCTGTTGCAAGACTTGTGAGTATGTTAAATCACTGATCCCCTACTCAAATATGGCTAGGTTCTCCACTGCTTGTAGCCCTCTGCATGCACTGAGAGCTTGCACTTTCCATAGAATGGAAGGCTGTTCATTTATCAGCAGAGCCTCATAGTTGAGGCTCAAAGCTTACTTTGCTCTTGCAATGAGAACACCGTAAAATCCACCCTAAAACTAGAGGTGGTCATAGAATAAATGTTAACAGGCATCACTTATAGTAGTTATAATACAAACTAACTAACTAGCTAACAGAACACTTCATGTCTCCTTGTCTTCATTCAGCAGCAGCTTACATGAACTTCATCATAAGTCTTTATTTGAGCCAGTCACCAGAGAAGTCTCTAGACAAATGGGGAATTGCTTTGTTGAATTGGTGCTTCTTTGTATTCTCTTTGTCGTTTCTTGTGTTGTTTTTTGTTTTTGTGTGTGTGTGTGTGTGTTGCGTGTTGCATTTTGTTTTGTTATGTTTTGCATTTAAACTACAAGACACTTTAGTAGAACGATCTGCCCTGGGCTTCCCAGCAGATGTCTTTCCAAATTTCTTTTAGCCCACTGGTCTAACAGCAATGTTTTCCCCCACAGGTATTGACTTGCCACATAAATGCAAACGCAGCATGAAAGAGCAGTACATTGTTCACAAGCATTGTAAGTCTGCTGCTCCAGTCCCAGTGCCCTTCTGCGAAGGGACGTGCAGTACCTATTCTGTGTAAGTAGGAAACCTTTTTCTGTGTCTTCCTGGCTTCTTGTTTAAAGAAGTTTCCTGGTTGGGAAACTGGGTGTGCAGAGCAGCAGCTGTTAGCAACGTGACAAAATGTCCTTGGTGCGATAGCAGTGCCTTTATCGTAGTCACGAAAATAGGCCCCTCTAAAAAGGGACCATTTAATTTATTAATTTCCTGTCCTTACTCATTTTTTTTCATGGCTCTGGGCTTTGATGGAGTTTTTTCCTGCTCTTTGGTCTCATCTGCATGAATTGTTCAAATGTTGCTACAATGTGTGTAAACCTCAAATCCCCCAAGTTTTTGGTATTTTCCTCACTGATTTCAGAGGATCTGGCCCTGCATGGCTAGTAGCATCCTGGGGAAAGCTTGTTATGTATAAGCATAAAAATAAATAGTAAATTTTGTTCCTTTGCTCATTAGAAGCACTTCTGTTCAGAGTGGGAAATACAGACTGTTTTAGGAAAAAAACAACTGGTAGACTGATGTGCAAATCTCATTTCTGTAGGTATTCCTTTGAGAACAATGAAATGGAACATAAATGCATTTGCTGCCATGAAAAAAAGAGTCACATAGAGAAGGTGGAACTGGTTTGCTCTGAGCATAAGACACTCAAATTCACGTATGTGCACGTGGATGAATGTGGATGCGTGGAAACCAAGTGTCCAAAGAGGAGAACATGAGCATAAACTAAAGGATACATTTCAGCTCCTGTTTCACGCTTCTCTAGCAAGTGGGTAGTTTAGAAAACAGCTGTGAGTAACCTTCAAGTGATGGTACTTCTCTCCTGTGCCTTTTCTTTCTGATATTATATGCAGTTATGGAAATTAGCTGAAGATTTTGCTCTAAATGTCTGTGGAATAAACTGCATTTCAAAGGGAACTCATTCTCTTGTTTCAGTGATGCTGCTAAAGGGGCAAGGTAGCTAATGGCTTTAATCCCATAGTGCTGTATAAACCAAGGTTATCACAAAGCACTACAAAGAAAGCTCATGCCTTTCAAAAGTCCTGCCTGAAGAAAGTGGACATTACAAAATCATGATGAGATGCTTCAACTGATTTTCCTCAGAAGGGGAACATTAATTATTTCCACAAGGTGGTTCAGTTGGAAATGCAGGTCTCAGTGCAGGGGCACATTGGTGATCTGCTCCCCCGTGGTCCCAGGCCTACTTTGGCAACAAAATCAAGGTCACTGCAGAAAAGCAAGGTGCCTTTTAACTTCTACACAGCAAATACTACACCAGGAGTGTAAAAACATGCTTTAAGTGTACACTACAATATTAATAGATTCACGTCCTCTCGCTGTTTTTTCATCATTAGCTAACATCAAAGTTCAAGCTGTGCGTTTGGTGTGAGAGGCCAATGTTCTGATCCACTGCTCCTTGCACAACTATGATTAGTGGTATAAGCAATTTACTCCCAGATAGCACGTTCCATGAGACAGGGTGTTTGTGACAGTATTTTATCTAGACAGGGGTCAAAATAGCTCAGCAATACCTTCAGAGCGTGCAGGTAAGGCAGATGTTTCAGCTGCTTGAGCAATTTGGGCTTTTTGTGACCTGAAAGGGGACTAAGAACTGGGACTTAAGAGCACACTGACCTACAACCTGCTGAGCAGGGGTTTGGGAGCTGTTTTGGAGCGCATAGCTTTGAACTAACACAGCAGCTAACAAGTGCGCTAACTCTTAGTTTACCATTTTAAAATGCTGCAGCTACTGAGCTCCAAGTAATCTCTTATTTAATTCTTTTTCATAATAAATCATTGTAATCGATGTCAGGTTATTTTCAAGTATGCTGTCTCATCATGGTGTAACCGATCTTAAAGCTGCTGGAATTCTTGACTTTGAATAGGTGTAGGAATTGAATGATATAATTTTTTCTTCATCCCTATGTGATAGGTCCATGCTTATTTGATCGTTACAGTGATGCAACAGAGCAGCCCACATTGTTTCTGTGGGATTCAGCACAGCTGGTTTTAAATAACTAGTTCTCCATCCTCTTTCTGGAATGATTTCTCTCCTCCTGAGAATGGTGTGTTAGAAGCCTTAGGGAAGGCACTCATTTTGCTGCACTGAGAGCCACTGTAGCTGAGCGAGAAAGCTGAAGTCAGAGGAGGTCTATTTCATTCTTTGTCTTTATTTTGTTTCTTTAAAAACAGTGAAAGATAGGCTGGTTGTTCCTAATAATAGCAGTGGGAACAGTTTATTGCAATGGGAATAACACAGTGCAGGCATTTTTGGTAAACACCAGCAAAAAAATTCAGCAAGATGTTTGTGCTGCTAACAAATTGCAAGTAAACCTTCCATTCCCAACTTCTGTCGTAGTCAATGGACCAGCTTGGGTATAAATGATAGAAATCCTCAAATAATTCAGATAAACATCAGTGCAATGCAACTCCCTTGGAAGGCATGTGTTGCACTTGCTTGCAACACATAATTTGCACGTTATAAATTGCACATTAGCCCAGATAATGTTTTTACTGATACAAATCAAGCACAGGCCTGCTTTTGCAATGCAAAGAACATCAGCAAGGAAGAGGAACGTTCCTTCCTTTCCATCTTTTCCTGAGGGGGAAGAAATCATCCTTGAATGCTTTTTGTCATCAGAAGACTAAACAGACTTGAAAGTATTCAGATACAAACTCATTTAAGCCCTGGAAATCAATCATTCTCAATAGGACTTCTCAGCTAGAATATTAGTGGAAGCCCTTTCAATTTCTGCTTTATTTTCAGATGGGAGAAGGACAGGAAACACAAAAAAATCTTATCAGACGCACTTAGAAGTCTGTTCTCCTGTGTATTTTACTGGTGCTGAGGCTTTATCCAAAAACTGAGAATGCCATTGACTGAAAGGCTTATTTTCCTGTTCATTTTTTTGACATGCATTTTGCTTTTTAGACAAATGAAAGGCAAGTAAAATTATTTTAGCTTAGAGCTAGAACAGCTTATTTCCACCTGCTGTGTGCTTTCAAACAGAGGAACGTATGAAACCCTTCTCTCTTCAAACCATCCTTGTTACTTCACTTACTCAGTCAGTCTGGCATTTACCTGGCCTGTGCTGTACTGTCTACAGCGCCAGTGGCCAGGATCCTCTGTTTGCAGATGTAGAGTCCTAGTTGGATAAGATGTAGGCAACAAGGTGAAGTCAATTTAACAAAAACGTTCAGGTTCCTCAGCTCAGAGACAGTCAATGGGCCAAACACCCTCCCTTGCCCCACATGCATGAAAATATAGGGACAAAAATCTGCCTGAAAGCCCCACTTGGCCTGTGGGGTATGACCAAGTTTACCAAGATAGGACTACAGCCAGCTCTGCCAGGAAAAAACTGTGCAGCTACTTCTCATATGTGCATGCTCAACCACTCATTTGCAGCCTCAGAGAAACTCTTCCAGTCTGCAAGTCAGACATTCTCCAGCATAATGCAAGAAAGATCAGTGGCGTTGCTCCAAGTACTGTTTCTTCAGTTCTGTGTGAATTCTTTGCATTGGCATCCACTTTACTAGGGTAGACTCAGGAGAACTACCTTTGGATGAGCCAGTCAAACCAGGGCTCAGCTGGTTTTAGCTCGTAGCTGTTCTTTTCTTATTATGAGAAGATGGTACTGAGGTTCTGAGAAAAAAAATACCAGGAAGTATACTGTCCCCATATTACTAAAATAAATATTTGCCAGAGATACTGCCTTGTGTCAGCTGAGCAAGTCCAAAGACACATTATCATGTCACTGATGTGAACTGTGCTAGATTGCCATTACAATGTGAACTCTGATTTGCCTACTGGTTAGGTGGTTTGGAAAACTGAATTCCTGTTTTTACATAGTTTAGCTAATTTTTTTGTTTATGTTTTAACAATTCTTGGAATTTGCGAAGAGGACGAGAAAACTAATTGTCTGCTCTGAATATTTATTTGAGTAGAGGCACTGTTCTTTTACAGACTTTTCTATTGAGTGACTCCCCTGCCTGTAGAATCAGACCACTGGTTTTATCTACAGTGTGCTGTATCAATATCAATCTATTCTAGGATCTGTAATCTTGGGTTGAAAACAAAGACCACGAACTGTACATGCTTTCTAATGCAGAAAGGATTGTTTAAAAGAATGCTGCAACTATTTTCTTTCAATGCAATAGCTTAACAATTAGAATGAGAAATTTGTACTGTAAATATGAAAAAAATTGTCTAAGTATGACTTGGGAAAGTAACCTGATTAGTAACAAACTAGAAAAAGAAGTGGCATGGCAAGTTCAGTGGATCATCTTGCAAGTAAGGGGCAACCAAGCATTGGGCAAGACTCTTCTACTGAATTCTGTGCTCAAGTGCGTGCTCTTGGCCTTGTTTTTATTTTCTTTCTGATCCCAGATAAGGATGAAGGTAATGGGCCCTCTTTTATGCAACTGTAACACTTCAGTTTATAAACTTTTTGCACTGGTATATACCATTTCATTTGTGAATCTGAAGGTGCCTCACTTGTTTCTGTCAGGCATCCCAAACATGGTCTATAAGAAAGAAGTGCGACAATTTTCCAAACACACCAAAACAAAGGAATCACTTGTGAAAATCTTTCTTTTCACACTTCAGAAGATCTGATTATATAATATCTTCAGGGCAACAATGAGTTTTAAGTATCAGTTTACCCTGTACAAGGCCATTCTCACATCAGTTTAATTCTTTGACAACATCAGTTCCTCTCTTAGTAAAGCAACACCCTCAGATGTGTGCCCAGTGAATTGGCTTTGTGTCAAAAGTGGATTAGATCAGGAAGCTGCAAAGTTTTAGTTTTTTATGCACTTTATGTTTCCCTAGCTATGAAGACAAACTTTTCATCTCTAGGATACTGGCTTTAATTAATTAATTGATTTGAGGGACTTTGTCTGGTGGCATCCTATAAATCTAGGTTTAGTGTTCTGTTTATAGATAGCCCCACTTCATCCAAGCTTGCTTTATGTGAAGGACTGTTTTAAAAATAATCTGGTTGGGAAGGAAATTATTTAACTGTGATCCTCCAGAGGAACAAATTCAGTGAAGTTCCCTACTGACATGACTGGGTAGAAGTAAGACAGGGTAGCTAGACTGTAGTTCATCTCATCTACCTTCAGGCAAAATAAACATGCATCTGAGACACTGTAAACTTGCAGTGTAGTTACTGACAATTAATATGCACTTCTCCTATGAGCTCAGCTGTCTCCTGGAAGTGCTCTCACCGAGCTCTTGTCTTCATACGCAGTCTAAGATAAGTATAGCTCTACACTGTCTGAATCCTTAAAAGCAATGTAAGAAGCTGATGCATATATACATCAACATATACATTTCAATTGAGAAGCACCTCAGAAATTTACCTCAAATTCTTACAACTGTGTGCCCTACCTTGAATATCACAACCATCCTCAGCACATTTAGTGAATGATTCTTTCACCCATATGTCCAACAAGAATGATACCGAGAACAGTATCATCAAATTCAGTACATTCTTTCAGGTAGGCTTCATCTCACTTATCTTTGACGTTTGTAGCGGACATGTAAATGTTTTTTGTGTGTGTTTTATTTTAATGTAGTTTGTAGTAATTGTCCTTATTCTCACCCATGCTATAGAGAGAGTCATATTTTGAATGACCTCAGTATCTCTTAGCATCACTTCTGCAAATCAAAAGGAGATTAAAATTGGGATAACTTGACAGCCAAGGAGTTTGTTGCCATTTCTATGTGTTTTATATGTCAGTTACATTTGGCTTGAATTTCCAAAGATCACTGAGGAAATGTTCACGCTCTGAAATGTCTTTTTTCTGTGTCAGCACCTCTCCCTACCCTGCTATTCAAAGATAGTTGTGAGGCAAGTCCCTTGCCACTCCTTTACAGCTTCTTGTCCTCATACCTTTGTGTATCCAGACATTTTTCTGTAGTGATCAATCCATTTCCTGCTATACCATAAAATTCTGGCTTAAAACCAGAGTTTAATCTGACCCTCGGGGAGCATTGTTCTACAAACAAAAGGCTACTGCAGTGCCATGTAGCCATGCCAGCAAACCATTGCTCTATGCTGCTACTTAATTGCATGGAATTAGCTTTTCCCTTAGATCTGTTTCTCTTCACTTCCCCAAGTGCCCCAACTTACTTATAGGTCTCCAAGCTCCACTTCTTATTTTCTATGTTCTTTAGCTTTCTAACATACGGCCATTTTAGACTTAGGCATGGAAAAGATTTTCTGGGAATGTGGTATAAGTGTAAATTCATTTTTTTCTTACTGTTACGCAGGAAAGTTTTCAGGAGCTGCTACATTCATCATGCCCTTCCTATATAAACAGACTTGGGAAACCCTTCAAAAAATTGTTATAGTCTGCTACACTCACTCTGTATGATGAAGTGCACATCTAGAGGCCATTTGCTGAGAACCAGGTCTGCTCTGTCACATCACTGTGGGTATTCTTTTCCAGTGTTAATGAACATGGTTGGACATCTGCACACTTCCAGCAACAAGTAGTTAATTTGGTGACATTTTCATAATCCGTGTTGTTCTGCTCATGCTGTATTGTAATAATGATCCTTTAAGCCTTCCTAAAATGAAAAGCAGTTTCAGGCACATTCTCACCCTACATGCACACTTGTATAATTGGATAATTAGGTATTCAATTACTGGTCGTACAAAGATTTCTGGCAGAAATAGGAGCTATGCCTAATAGTTCACCTTTTCCTCCTTCAAAATCAATGAGTGGAAAAACATCTGAGAAAAAAATGGAAAAAAATATTTTCCCAGCACTCTCATATTTTGCTTTCAGAGCAGTGCATGAGAGAATGCTCAACTTCCTGTCATTTTTATTAATAACGAATTAAGTGGCTTGCAATTGATGGTGATTGTTCACTTCAGAGTAAGACTCAGTGAAAGTAGGTTCTTTGCATCCCAGACATGAGTATCGTAGGGTCATATAACAACAGGATGTCCCAAGCTGGAAGGGACCCTCAAGCACCTTTGAGTCTAACTGCTGGCTCCACACAGGACCATGGAAAATTCAAACTCTAGGTCTACAGCAGTGTCCAAATGTCCTTGAACTCCAGCAGCTCTTGCCCATGCCATGCACTGCCCTAGGGAGCCTTTTCCATGCCACTGGCTCTCTGGTGCAGAACATTTTTCTAACCCCTACCTGACACTCCCCTGTCCCCTCCTTGCTGTTCCCTTGGGTCCTGTCACCAGAGCAGAGATCAGTGCTAATGCCACATAGCTCAACCTCGTGCATATCATCACACTTGACAGCAAAATTGTTCTACAAAAATCCTAAAGAAATAAGTCATTATTTTGTTTGATGAATACATACATCACTGTGAAAGAGACCGGGAGTTCCACAAGATGCTTACATCTCACTGGTACTGAATCACTTTAAATTCTCCTTCCCAATATCTTCAGGATGTTTCTGTTCCTAGCTTCTAGTGTATAAATCTGGGATAATTTAGGAATATTATTTTTTAATTATTATTGTGTTACAGGATTAAAAGTGAGCTACGTTTTCAGTTTTTCATTTCCCTCATAGGGCAGGCTACTTTACACCAGAAGGATTCTCCTAACAAAACAATAAGTAAAAAAGTTTTCATTACTATCAGCAAAGACAAATTTTTTTTGTACACGGCGCAAGTAAACCACTGCAGGCTCCAACTATGTGAACAAAATAGTCTGTCAGTAATGCGTGCAAAAGATTATTAGTAATTAAGAACCGTTTCTCCTTGTTCCCACAGTGAAAACAACAGAGTGAACACTGAAATATGTAATCTTTGTTGTTAATGGATCCTAACTGGACTAGCAAGTCGTGCTTCAGCTGCACAGGTTGCCTTGAAGGAAATACAAATTCATTATGTGTTCAGTTCACATCATGAGAGATAGAGTGGCTCAGGACAATCCTTAGAGTGAAATTAATGCTTGCACCAGCCGGATCGCAGAGTGAGAAAAGCCCTTTCTCTCTCTGAGTCTGGTATTTGGTATGAGCTGACATGAAAAGCAGTGTGGTGAAGTGACAAACATGGTGTGACAGCATCCCCAGCTACCCAATTTGCTGAAGTGGAATGTTTTTAAAGCAAAAAGGGTTTTCTTATGCAAAAAAAAACCCAAAAAAAAAAAACAACAAAAAAACCCAAAAAACAAACAAAAAACAAATACCACCACCACCAAAAAAACAGAATCAGATGCTTCCAGTCCATGGAGCTGGAATTCAGTAAACTAACTAATAATCAACAGGATTGCTCTTAGAAGAGGAACTGCAAAGCCCTTGGGCCAAGCTGATTTTAAAAGGCTGAGTTCAATAGGTCCCCTTTCAGCTGTACTGAGGAAGAATGAGTCCTTCCCTTAGCGCAGCTGTGGTGACCAGCTCTCTGCATAGTCCTGGGGAGCCCTCCTCACCCTCACATCTGAAGTCTGCTTTGGGTCAACTGAAGGCCCCTGCACCTCCTCTCCCATCTGCACTCCCATTTCAAGATCACCCCATGTCTCTCACTCTCTAGCACGGTTTGCTCTCCCAAACCTCCCCACCAAGGCTGTGCAGTTATTGTGAGGGAAGGAGCCATCTCCTCCTCCAGAGTGGGTTCTCTGCA